TTTTAACTAAGAATTTCCACTTGTATGAGTTTCTGCCTCAAATTAACATTCTGAATCTTTTTAGTTGCTGATAGTCCAACTCCCCCGCCACCACCTCCGCCGGATGACGTTCCCATGTTTGATGACTCTCCGCCTCCACCACCACCACCTCCAGTGGACTATGAAGACGAGGAGGCTGCAGTAGTCCAGTATAACGATCCTTATGCAGATGGGGATCCTGCTTGGGCCCCCAAGAATTATATTGAGAAAGGTACGGTATTGTCATCATTGGAGTGATATGAAGGAAGGTAACCTAGTTACAGAGTTTGAGAACTATCAAGAGCCTCTCTTCCAGTGTTGCTCAGCCGCCTTTTGAAGTGCTTTACCATCCACAGTGATTGGCTTACTCTTGCACTGTACTTCATTCACCAAAAAAGGGGGAAAATTCAATTCTGTGCTATTTTCAAAATGTATTTCTGTAGATTTCTTCTGAAAAGTGCTTGTAATTTAGTTGAAAACCTTTGATTATCTTTGATATAAATTGCCTTCCATGGGCTTTATTGGGTTAACTGACTTCCTGCCCAAGTTTTGAATATGTAGCAAAGTGAATTTATTATTTTCTTTTCTTATACTTTTTAGCAGTAAATATTTTATATGTGAAGGAAGTTTTGACTACCTTATATTTAGATTTTTTTATACTTTAAAGATGTTATAAGTATGCGGATAACACACTTGAATAGTCTTTTTTTTATTTGAAAGTCAGAGTTATAAAAAGGGAGAAATAGATCTTCCATCTGCTAGTTCACTCCCCAAATAGCTGCAACACCATAGCCAGGAGCTAGGAGCTTCTTCCAGGTGTCCCACGTGGGTGCAGAGACTCAAGCACTCCGGCCATCCTCCACTGCTTTCCCAGATACCACAGGAGCAAGCTGAGGGCCTGGCACTGTGGTACAGTTAGCTCAGTCTCTGCCTACTCACGGCCATCTCATGTGGGTGCTGGTTTGTGTCCCAGCTGCTTCTCTTCGGATTCAGCTCTCTGGATAAGGCTTGGGAAAGCAGAGGAATATGGCCCAAAGTGCTTGGGCCCCTGCAACCATGTTGGAGACCCAGAGGAAGCTCCTGGCTCTTGGCTTCTGATCTGCCCAGCTCTGGCCATTGCGACCATTTGGAGAATGAACCAGCAGTGGAATACCTCTTTCTGTCTCTCCCTCCCTCTGTATGTAACTCTCTCAACTAAATCAATAAATCTTAAACAAACAAACAAAAAAAGGAGCGTGATCTGAAGTATAGCGGCTGGGACTTAAACCAGTGCCTAAACTGGTGCCCATATGGGATGCTGGTGTAGCAGGCAGCAGCTTAACCAGCTACATCACAGTGCCAGCCCCTTGAATTGTGTTTGTACCTAGATTTTAATTTATAAAGCAATCTTTAAATAACTATGAAGTGGGGCTGGCGCCGCGGCTCACTAGGCTAATCCTCCGCCTTGCAGCGCCGGCACACCGGGTTCTAGTCCCAGTCAGGGCGCCGGATTCTGTCCCGGTTGCCCCTCTTCCAGGCCAGCTCTCTGCTGTGGTCAGGGAGTGCAGTGGAGGATGGCCCAGGTGCTTGGGCCCTGCACCCCATGGGAGACCAGGAAAAGCACCTGGCTCCTGGCTCCTGCCATCGGATCAGCGCTGGCTGCAGCGCGCCGGCCGCGGCGGCCATTGGAGGGTGAACCAACGGCAAAGGAAGACCTTTCTTTCTGTCTCTCTCACTGCCCACTCTGCCTGTCAAAAAAATAAAAAATAAATAAGAAATAAAATAACTATGAAGTGGGAAAATGAGTTCATAAATTTGGGAAGATATGTTTAATACACTTGGCAGGAGAGCAGAATTAAAAGCATATTTTCACAAGTTGAGGTGCTGAGTCCTGAACCAGAGGTCAGCTTGCTGTTTCTTGGATAAGACCAGATAGTATTTTAGACTCTGTTGGCTGTATGGTCTGTCACAACTGCTGTGCCTGCACTTGTAGCACAAAAGCAGGCACAGACAGTATGTTAGATGTGGCCATGCTGCAAGGAAGCTTTAGTTAAAAACAAGAAGGCAGCAGCTTGGATATGTGTATTGAGTTGTTCATTTGCTGACCGGTAGTATAAATCAAAACTGGAGATTTAGTAGGGTTAGATTTAAAATCTTTTTGTCACTTTTATAATCACAAGGTGAATGAATCCTGGATTAATTGCATTTCAGTTGAGTGTATGATAACAGTTTATGACAAGGCTGGTTTTTTTGTTTTATATTTATTTTATTTATTTGAAAGAGTTACAGAGAGAGGTAGAGACAGAGAGGGAGGTCTTTCATCTAATGGTTCACTCCCCAAATGGCTGCAATGGTCGGAGCTGGGCCAATCAGAAGCCAGGAACCAGGAGCTTCTTCTGGGTCTCCTATGTGCTTGCAGGGGTCCAAGGGCTTGGGGCATCCTCTGTTGTTTTCCCAGGTGCATTAGCAGGGAGCTGGATCAGAAGTGGATCACCCATCCTCGAACCGGTACCCATATGGGATTCTGGTGCTGCAGCCTGAGGCTTTAACCTGCTGCACCACAGTGCTGACCCCAACATGACTGTTCTTAAAGCCATTTTTACTTACCTGTAAGCTAATTTAACTTTAGCCTAATATGTGCCAAATTGTATACTTTCCAATTAGACAGCTTTGGTTGTTACCTGGTTTACTGAATAAAAGTTAGCTTTGCCTAATAGTTACTTTGAAAATGGTACTTCCCCTATGATGGACACTTTGTAGATATAGGAGCAAATGGATTAAAATATCTTATAAATCCCTGAACCCTGAGATCTTTCTTAAAAAGATTGGTAGAACCTTTTGATTTCTTTCGTCTAATTAAACTGAAATTTGGCCCTAATATCACGCCAGTGATTTAGTCACATTGTTGGCCACTGATTGACCTATATTGAAGGATACAGGAATTAAGACTTTTCATGAAAATAGTTGGCTTTGGCATATTATAGTACAATTGGCATAAAATTTCAAAATTCAATTATATGTTGAGTATAGTATACTCATGTGCTACTCTGTCTCTTTTCTCCGTAGTTGTTGCAATATATGATTATACAAAAGACAAGGATGATGAGCTGTCCTTCATGGAGGGTGCAATCATTTATGTTATAAAGAAGAATGATGATGGCTGGTATGAAGGAGTCTGCAATCGAGTGACTGGTCTCTTCCCTGGGAACTATGTTGAATCAATCATGCACTATACTGATTAGATTTTTGCTTTTAAAGTAGGATCTTATTACTCAGTCATACTGTGGGACTATTACGGTTAACAGAATTGTCTTAATATGTTTTAAAATGTGCCCATATTTTCAGGACATGCTGTTTTATTGGTATAATTGAATGTCTACCTATAAGCATAAATCATTGAGGCAGTTTGTATATTGCTAAACAGCAATTTATACAAGAGGCTGTCCCTGATTATGCTTATGTACTTACTTACACAATGTTAACTTTATGACCAGCCTAAATATTCTGGGGAAGCGGGGTATAATATTTAATGAATTATATGATTCAGATTGTATCATTACATGTTTCAGTGAGCATGGTTACTAATGCTATGTCAAACTAATATTAAAATCAGAAAACTTAAATGCTGGTGCTGGTCATACTTTTTTGTTTAGATTCTCTCATTTAAAAAAATACTGTTTAAAGCATGCATAAAAATTTATGTGTTGAAATATACTGAAAAATTCCAAGATGCTTCCAATTTGTGTGCTATTTCCCTGGAGTATTCACACTTAGGTCTCCTGAAATGAATTGAGTCTCTAAGTTCCCCATGCAAAACAAACAAAAGGCTAATCTGTAATGTTATAATTTGTACCTAAGTTTTTTAATGAATGAAATTTGAATTATAAATTTTTTCCATTCATAAATATATAAGTGAACCAAAGGTCTTTGTCCTTTCCTTCACTGGTTTGCTTTAAAAAAAAAAAAAGAGAGAGAGAGAGAGAGATACTGATTTATTATAGAATTATGGTTCTATTTTCTCAATATATTAACTTGGAAAAAAATTTTAGCCTTAATCTGTCCCAACAGCAATGTGATGGATTTTTTGCAGATTTAAAAATCTGAGATGGTTATTTACAAGTCAATCTACTGAATTCCTTTTTGAAAGTAACTAACTTTTGAAGCTACGAAAATGTGTCAAAGTGTACACATTTATTCTGTAAGTAAAATTTTTAAGGATTGCCATACCTGTCCTTTACTTTTACAGTGGACTATTGTACACTGGTTTGATGAAAGGAAATTATAAGTATCTTTTACATATTGTAAAAGTAAGTGCGATTGATTTGTGAATAGGCACTATTTAATCCATTACCTGGCACTAGCAACATAAGATTTTAAAATACAATAATTTGGAAAGAAGGTGAGTCATGTATTATTCAGTGAACAGAGATATACTTAACCAACAGATTTGTATTGTCTTTTGACATAATTGAAATGCAACACATGCACTTTGTGTGTCTCCTCTTAATTTAAGGGAGGGTTAGAGGGATGTCTTCTCTTATCTTGTGTATAATTCTGTATTGCTTAGGATATTAAAGTAGAGCACTCAAGTGTGGGTTTCTGTGTATTGAGGATTTGTTTGAGTTTCAAATTACAGTTATGTATTGGGCGTTACAGACTTCTAACAGCATAGTGAATGGTAAGACTAGTGCAAAACATTTATTTCTGACAATTAAAGACCATTATTGCTACCAAATCAATGTGACTGTTTCATATACATTTTGCCTTTGTTAATTTCAAACCAAGTGTCATTAGTGATCAGCTAGCTACCTTCTATTCCTTTTTTAAGTGGAATGTTCTCTTAATTTGTATATAACCTGTTGTCTAAATTTTATGTACAGTCTTTTATAATAAACCATTCTCCTATGAGTTTTTCGATACTGTTAAAATACAAATAATGTGGATGTAAGTGCACACTTCACAATTTTCTGATCTTTACTCCTATGGTGAAATAATAGAAACCATTTGAATTTTAACATTGATTATTTATTTGTGTAATGGCTTTACATGTGGATATTAACAGTGTAAACAATACCACATAGAACCATCAAGATACCTCAATTAGAATTTATAAGACTACAATGACAGATTCAGATGATTTAAGTACATTGAAAAAGTTTTCTGAAAAACTTTGCCAATAAAAAAAAAACCTGCCCATTAATAAGGTTGAAATTGTTTTTTAAAATGATTTTTGGTTATCTGCACATGAAGCAAACAACTTTAGGCACAGTCTGGTAAAGTAGCTGCCAGAAAGAACAGAAGTTGTTGTTATTTATCTCTCGTGAGTACAATTTCCGAGAGCTGAATGAGGGCATCTCTTTCTGGGGATGGTCGCAGTTTGCTGATCTCTCTGATGGCTTCATGGCAGTACCGCTGGGCGAGGTAGGTTGTCTGTTGCACACCATCACTCTACAGAAGTGGAACAAAACAGAACAGTCAGTCAGGGACTGGATCAGACCTTAAATTTCTGCCAAAATGCATTAAAACATACTGTTTTTTCAACTTGTCTCTAACGATTTATTTATTTGAAAGGCAGAGTTAGAGACACGGGGGTGGGGAGGTCTTCCATCCACTGGTTCACTCCCCAGACAGCCGCAACGTCCAGAGCTGGGATGGCCAGGAGCTTCTTCCGGGTCTCCCACATAGGTGGCAGCGGCCCAAAGGACTTGGAGAATCTAATGTTGCTTGCCCAGGCCATAGCTGGGAGCTGGATCAGATGTGGAGCAGGTAAGACTCGAACTGGCATCCGTATGAGATGCCAGCTTTATCCGCTACGCCACAGCACTGGCCCCTCCAACTTCCTCTGCCTACCTGTTTTAGGTCCTTTTCCAGACTGAAGCAGATTTTTATTTTATGAGCATGCAAAATTACAATAACATATCACACTAGGAAAGTATAGAAAGGGCTTATAATGAAAACCAATTGTTCCTTTCCCTCAAAGGCAGCTGCTTTCCTCTTAGTTTTCAGTATCTGCTGCCTTTCTGTGAAGGAAGATCAGGATTTAGCCCACCCCGAGCTGTGCCTCCTGATTGTCTTCCATTCAGAGTAGAACACTCCTAACTTTGTGGTTAAGGCCTCTGACTTTCTAGACTACCAGCAGCTCAAAATAGAGCACATTTTTGTTGGCTGCGCCTTATTGTGGAGGAGCCTCTCCTCTCTGACACATCTGACTGAAGTACATCTGCAAATAAGCAACCCAGAACGTGTGGACAGGAAGTCAAGTTTTATAGTCGGTGTATGTGTGACTTTATTTTGTAATCAGATTTAATCATAGTTTGAGTAAAGAATTCTAGGTTTAAAATGTTTGTCATAATTTAGAAGGCCCTGCTCCAGTGTGTTCTAGTGTTTTTGCTATACACTGAGCCAATTTTGATACCTTTTACTTGCATAAGTGATTACTGATTCTCTTCCTGAAATATTTGTTAAATGATTATACCCATTTTCCTAGTTTTCCTGTTTCTATTTTTTTGAGTTTTGTTGTTGTTTATGAGAGAGGGAGGGGGAACACACCCCCAGTCTGCTGGCTTGCTCACCAAATGCCCACAGTGGTAGCAGACACAGACACACACCCTGGGGCAGGAGAGGGGGCTGGTCTGGGGGTGCTTCCCCGGGGCACCCATTCACTGGCTGCTTCCCGGAGGCCCACTGTGGCTGGAGTCAGGAGCCAGAGCTGGGAACCAAACCCAGGCACACTGCCGTGGGGCTCAAGGGTCTTTAACGGCTAGGTTAATGCAGGTGCCCCTGTTTAAAGTTCACATTTCCTCAATTTCATAGGGTAACCCTTCTTTGGAGTTCATTTTTCACCATTATTTAAGATTTTTAAAGAGCTCACGCTTAACTCTTTGAAGGTATTACCCTATTGTTTTTGAATACGGTATATTTTTGGACTCTGTATTTTCCTGTGTATTTCGTTTTCTTTTCTTGTTCCACTTGAGAGGGAGGGCAGAGAGAGGTCCCATGTGCCGGTTCATTCCCCAGAAGCCCTCAATGGTGGGACAGTATTAGAGCCAGGAAATGCCAGTTCAGTTTAGTACTTCCATATGGTTAGCAGGAATCCAACTACCTGAGCTGTCACTGTTCCCTTCCAGAATCTTCATGAACAGGGAGCTGTACTCTGGAGCCACAGCTGGGTGTCAAGCCCAGGTACTCCACGGTGGGAAACAGTGTCTGAACTAACCATTAGGCCAGATGCCTGCTTCATGGATCTTCACTTGTTTATTCTGGTCTACTATTTAGTTCAGCAGGCTAATCAACTCTTTAATGATACTGAATTGTCCATTCATATTTAATGTGGAAACAGGTACCAGAAGCTCTGTGGCAATACAGGGATCTGGAATATAGAGCTCTTTGGTGACTTCTGTTTAGAAAACATTACTGGGGATTTTTCTGTAAGCGTGTTTCTGGGTAGGCTTAGTGGGACTTTACTGTTTTATGTAACAGCAATTTCCCTCTTTCAGTCCCACTTCTCAATTCAGATGTCAGTAGTAACAGTCAGCCCTCCTCATCCATGGTTTCCACATCCTCAGACTTAACCATGATCAAAAATATTTGAAAAAAAAATGGCATCTATACCAAATATGTACAGACATTACAAAATCATTATTACTAAGCAATATACCTACTGCCCTATAAATAGTACATAAGTAGCTGTTACATGTAGCCTTTACACAGGAGTAGATATAAACAGTGCAGGGAGGAGTTAAGGTATGTGAGAGGACATGCATAGTTTATAGGTAAGTACTACATCATACATCACTGTATACAAGGGACTTGGGCATGGGAGGGGGTTCCTGGAACCAATTCCCTGATGGGTGCCAAGGGGTAACTGTTCTCTGACTTCTGAAGCCAGAACTTCTTCCAGGGACCGGAATTCTTTTCAGTTGCAATTTCTCATAATGAGTTATTTTCAGTATTGCCAAACTAACTTCCACAAAAGTGGTCACTTAGCATGATATGACGCCTAACAGTCATTTGAAAGAGAAATCCTTCGGAAGGGTGTTGGTTTTTGGAAATCTGAAAATGCTGAAAGGGGGTCCCGTGCAGTGGCACAACAGGTAAAACCACTGACTGCAATGCCTGCATCCCATATGGGTGCCGGTTTGAGCCCTGGCTGCTCCACTTCCCATCCAGCTCCTTGCTAATGCACCTGGGAAGCCAGCGACGGATGGCCCAAGTCCTTGGGCCTCTGCCACCCACATGGGAGATCTGGAAGAAGCTCCTGGCTTTGGCCTGGCCCAGCCCTAATTGATGTGGCCATTGAGGAGTGAACCAGAGGATGGACGATCTCTCAGTCTCTCTCCCTCTCTCTGACTCTGCCTCTTAAATACAATAAATCTTTACAAAAATGCCGAAAGGTAATTGTCTGCTCACTCCTCTTTATTCCCTAGATATGCTGGCTGTAGAATGCTTTGAATTGGGAAACCGCTTACTCTTAAAGACAGTTAGCAAAACTGGAAAGTAAAAAGCTCTGAAGATGCCATGACAATCTGTATAAACGCATAGCTGCCAACATTGACTTAAAATTTTAAAACAGAGAGATTGTCCACCTACTGGTTCACTCCCTAAATGCCTGCAACAGCCAGGGCTGGGCCAGGCCAAACCGGGATCCTCGAACTCCATACATGTTTCCCGTGGGTGGAACTAGAACTCTGTCCGTGTCATCCATGTGGGAGTGAGGGACCCAGCTACTTGAGCACCATCCACTGCCTCCCAGGGTGCACACTAGCAGGAAGCTGGAATCAGAAGTGAGCTGAGACTCAAACCTAGGCACACTCCACTACAGGATGCTAGTGTTCAAAGAGGTATTAACTACTGTGCCAGTTTTCCTGTTACTGCCCTCAGGTTTTATCTTTAAATAGCTTTAAAAGAAAAAGGGGTTTATATTGATTTCTTTAAAAGTCAGAGTTATGGGGTGGTGAGAGAGTGGGAGGGCAGAGAGAAGTCATTCCCTGGTTCTCTCCTGAAATGGCTGCAATGGCCAGGGCTGGACCAGGCCAAAGCCAGGAGTTAAGAACTTCTTCTGGGTCTCCCACATGGGTGCAGGGGCCCAAGCACCTGGGATGTCCCCTGCTGCTTTCCCAGGTGCATTACAGAGCCGGATTGGAAACGGAGCAGCTGAGAATCCAACTGGCACCCATGTGGTATGCCAGCATCGTAGGTAGTGGCTTTACTCACTACGCCACTATGCTGCCCCCCCACCTTTAAAAAAGATTTATTTTTATTTCTTTGAAAAGCAGAGTTGGAGGGAGGGAGGGAGGGACAGAATAAACGGCTGTTTATTTAGTCACACTCTGATAACTGCTGCACGGGATGGACTTGGAAAGCTCACCATGAGCAGGCGATTTTCACAGCCTCACCCTGGCAGGATTCCGAGGACACAGACTAGGCCGAAAGCAAGTGCGGGGGACTGGGAACACGGTGAGGCTATGATGGACTTGGGGGATGGGGCTGACTACACATCAGAATCACTGTGGTGACTGCTCAAATTTTTTTAAAAACATTAACATCTAAGTCTTACTGAACACCAATTAAATCAGTATCTTTTGAAAATATTCTAGAAGAATTAAAAGTGAGTTTTTCCTTCTCGAGTTTTCGTCATAAGAGTTGACTGCCAGGTGGGCGACTGGTTGAGACACCTGCATCCGGGGCCATCGCTGTGGTGCAGTGGGCTGGGCCTCTGCCTGCAACACCAGCATCCTCCATGGGTGCCGGTTCGTGTCCTGCTCTTCATCTGCAGCTCTCTGCTAATGCACTTGGGAAAAGCAGTGCAAGATGGCCCAAGTGCTTGGGACCCTGCCTCCTATGCAGGAGGCCTGGGTGAAGTTCCTGGCTCAGCTGTGGACATCGCAACCACTTAGGGAGTGAACCAGTGGTTAGAACTCTCTCTCCGGGGCTGGCGCTGTGGCGTAGGGGGTAAAGCCACTGCCTACAGTGCTGGCATCCCATATGGGTGCCAGTTTGAGTCCCGGCTGCTCCACTTCCAATCCAGCTCTCTGCTATGGCCTGGGAAAGCAGTAGAAGATGGCTCAAGCCCTCGGGCCCCTGCACCCAGGTGGGAGACCCAGAGGAGGCTCCTGGCTCCTGGCTTCGGATTGGCGCAGCTCCAGCCGTCGCGGCCAATTGGAGAGTGAACCAGCCGATGGAAGACCCCTCTCTCTCTGCCTCTCCTTCTCTCTCTGTGTAACTCTGACTTTCAAGTAAAATAAATAAATCTTTAAAAAAAAAAAAAAAAAAGAGAGAGAGAACTCTCTCTCCTTCCCTCTCTAACTTTTTGAAGTAAATAAATCTTTAAAAAAAAAAAAATTCCGGCATCTCACACTGGAGTACCTGGGGTTTGATTCCTGGCTCCACTTACCAGCTTCCTGCTCATGCAAACCTTGGGAGGCAACAAGTGACTGGGTTCCTGCCACCCATGTGAGAGACCTGGGGTGAGTTCCCTGCTCCTGGTTTTTGTCCCAGCCAAGGGCCACTGGGGGCATCAGAGAGAACAGGAAGTTGGAAGTGTGCACTTTGCATGTGCGCTCTCCCTCCCCCTTCCTTGTCTGCCTGCCTCTCAGGAAAAAAAAATGTCGATCATATTTGGTCTCAAAGGTAACATTTTTTAGTTAAAATTACATTGGCTTAAGGACTATGCCACACACCTAATGATGTTTTCTTTTAAAATAATCATACCTGGGGCCTGCGTGGGAGATCATGAGGAGGTCCTGGCTCCTGGCTTCAGATTGGTGCAGCTCAGGCAGTTGTGGCCATTTGGGGAGTAAACCAGTGGTGGTGGGGCTTTTTCTCTGTCTCTCCCTCTCAAATAAATAAATAAAATCTTAAAAGTAAAAATAAGCATACCTGTAATACATACTGTCGTGCTCTGTCCACATCTCCCGGCAAACTGAACCGTCTCATTATCATGGCATTCATTTCTGGAAACTAACCGTAAAGAAAACTCTAGTTATTGGTCTTGGGAGAATCCAGTGGTTTAACACTCTAGGAAACACCAGCCAGGAACGTGACTAAGCGTTGAGCGGATGGGGAGCAGTAACTAGACTGGATGATGAAGAAGCTGAGACACGCCGTGTCTGCCCGGGCCTGTGGCCGTGCACAGAAGCAGCAGCCGCTGACCCGCAGCCCAGTGCTGAGCTGAGAGAGGCAGAGGAATGAAGACATCTATCTCTTAAGTCTCCTGGTCGTCTTCCCTCACTCCTGACAACCGTCCACTGCATCAGAATCGTCTGCATTCCCCACTGGCCCTCTCCCCTGAGGTGGGGACGGTGGGTCTGCGCGTGCGCTCCTACCAAATCCCTGGGTCAGGTGGACATGCTGGAAAACCGCTGTCCCAGAACAAGGCGGGAATTAGAGCGCCAGCTGAAACCTGTGCAAGTTTCTGAGCAGGGCTCTGCCTGCAGCACACACCCCAGAGTGAACTGGAGCGGCGGTGCGTGTCGGTTGTACGGTGCTAACAGTTAGATGTTTCAATACACTTGCCTGGATCCTGCTCCCAAAGGTTGTCATATATTGGCTTGGGGGTAGGTAGGCCTGGATAGTGGGGCTCTTAGGGTATAACCAAGGTGAAGAACCACTGAGTTCGAGGAGCTACAGGCAGAGGTTACCAACCAGGTTACTGACCAAGGATAAGCCAGTGGGTATGAGAGGAAGAAAGAAACCTGCGAAGGTTCTGAAGACAGAATCTATATTCCGCGACAGTAGGCGGCTGTTTGGGAGAACGGCCACTGTTAACGCGCGCCGCGGCACTGAATACTGCAGCTCCCTCCATGCAGGCTGCGCTCGCCACGCTGCACGAGTGCTGTCACCATTGAGTCCCGGGCTCCCTGTCTGTCTCACGAGCTGACAGGCTTGAACTCAACAACTTCACGGCATCATGAACTGAGAGGGAAGATGCGCCTGGTCTTGGACATGGTCAGTGCGTATCGCAGTTGCCAGCTTTTACCCAGCACTGAGCCTGAAGAATGAAATGAGTTCTATAACCTTCACCATGCTATTAATAATTCTAGAAAAGAAAATTGGGCACACATAGGAAAACCTCAATCAAATGATGGCAGATGAGCCGGGGTTCTGAACAGAGCTGCAAATGTGCTGAGGCTACTAACACGCTTACAGAATTTGAAGAGCCAGCAGTTGGTTAGTTCTTGAATGAAAACCAGTAATTTGCTTTACTAACTGGTCTTTTAAGATTAAAATAATGTCAGCTATACAGGAAACAAATCAGGGAGGCCTAAGTCCATCCGTATTTGTGGTAAAAAGCCAAGTAGGCATTTGTTTCAGTTTTTAAATTTCATATCCTTAAGCTCATCCTTAAAGCTGGTGTGACCCTGCTCTAGACATCTGGTACAACCACCTTGTTTACATGTATAAGCTTTTCCTGAAACACCAACAAGTGTGCTAAAATGTACTGACTTGGTGGGTTCTGCGAAGGCTGCTTTTTTTTTAACTATAAAAAGTATCAGAGAAAGCAAAATTTGAAAGAAAATATTTGCATTGAGTGAGACTATATCCTTCCTTGAGGAAACATGTAGTGTGTGCAGTTTTGATATGCAAATATGAAATTCTTCCCCTAAGCACTGCTCCATGCCCTTCATGTGTGAGTGAGAAATAAGAAGCCTAACAGAACAGTTGCCTGCCTACAGGTTTAGGGAGGAGTAAGACAATTTGTGTTTGCGCAGGCTGTTTTTAAAAGTAGGAGCGACCTCCTGGGGATGAATCAGGTTTTCAAGTCTGTCTACACTACACAGGTGCTCTGTGAATTGGACTGAGTTTACCCAAACAGAGCCTGGGTAACCAAGGCACCAACTAGTCACCGCACTAGCGTAAGCCGCTGCAGAGGCTGGCGACGGCAGTGGGAAATACAGCTACAGGCTGGCATTTAGGTTTAGTGACTTAGCAGACGAGAGAAGCAGAACAAAGCTGGTTTTTTTTTTTTAAAGCTACTTAAAAACCAAGGGATCTCATTAAAGAAAGGAAAACACTTCTTTTTGTTTCTGAAAGTTTCAAGAACCAACCAATAACACCCTTTAAAGATTTAACATGAGGTTTCTGTTCCTAAAATAACACATACAAGAAAGGGCACTGCTGTCACTGGAAACTCCAGAAATCCCCGCTACCAACTGTTCTGAGGAAACCCCTTCAGAGATGTGAGAGACAGTGGAATCCCAAAAAGAGGGAGATTCTGTCTAAAAGTGCCAATTTCAAGACAACCCACCATGCCAAGTTAAAAAGAGAAAGGTGGTTTCCGCAAGGCGGCTTGTCCTGGTCCAGCAAGTCCGTGCTCACAGGGGAGCGCCTCAGAGACCCTGCAGACAAAACTCGGCCCCTGCCCCGCCAGGACTGCACCCGAGACGCGCGGAGCCCTCTACGCCGCCGGCCACCGGCCCGGGGACACCAGCTGGCTGCTCCGTAGGAAGCCCTGCTGGTGCCAGGCAGGCTTGCCAGGGACTAACTCTGATCAGCTGTCAGTGGCAGTCAGAAACCCTGCTCCGGTTAAAATCAACCGTGCTCACAGAGGTCTTGGACCATTCAATGGCCTTCTGTGCTGCTCACACATTTTAAATTTTGGCCAGGCGCAGCGTCAGTTTCTTTATTTGTGTAAGGGACATCAACATGTCTGTCACAAAGAGGAGCTGTGCACGGAATCCTTTATGAGCTAAAAATAACCCACTTTGATTAACGTGCAAATACTGCACATCCTGATGTTATTTTTGGAACCTGTTTTACCCAGAATTACATTAAGCTGCATAAATCTTTTGGTAATTTCTTGCTGATAATCTTTTTTTATTTGACAGGGTAAACCTTAGTGGAGCCTTAACGGGCTGTTTTATTTGAAAAGTTATAAATACCCATCTGACTAAACTCTGCCTGTGTGTCATGAGACGGACAAGTCAGCACGCTTCTGAAGCGACTGCTGTCCAGTCACTTCTCGCTTGGCCTCCTTGTGTTCCCTTTTCGGGGGCTGTGATATGGCCTCGAACCCCCACCCCCACCCCATGGGCAGATGAGAAAAGTGCTGTCCGCAGTGAGCGGGTGCCTCGTGACGAGGGTTCCCAGTGGAGCACCCACAGAACCGGGGCTTGGGGCACGGGAACCTCCCCGTTGGTTCCTGGTCCTTCCCCTCCACTTTTTTTTTACAGAAAGCTTTTATTTAATAAATGTGAATTTAGTAAGTACAACTTTTGGATTATAGCGCTTCTTCCTCCATACCATTCTTTTTTTTAAACCAGAATTTTTCCTTCTCATACATTACTGTCAGATCAATATGTGGGAGGGGTCCATTCCCCCACCTAACGCTTGGTCCCCTTATGTCGGAAAGGGAAAGTAAGTTTGTTTCTTTAGAAATAAGTTCCTAATGAAACAATCAGCCGAGACCAGGGTATTCTCAGCCAGTCCCCTTAAGTAGCACTTAGCTGTTAATTTAACTAATCATGCATGGGCTGGTGACAATGAGTTTATAAGACTATAGCTACCAAAACTTTATTTTTGAGGCAGGTCAAATCCAGATCCCGCTCTCACCTGAAAGCCGCCGGCTGTCCCTGGAGCCAGCCTTCCCGTCGGCCCTGCTGAGACACTGGTTCTGTGGGCCGCGGGAGCTTGGGGGACTCACCTGCTGGCAGGCAAAGAGGACAGGGCCAGTGGCTAGGCCGAGCTTCAGATCAGCAGATGTCGGCTTGCCCATCTGGTCAGAACACGAGGTGAAGTCCAACACGTCATCTATTAGCTGGCGAAAGGCAAACGAGGGCTGTCAAAGCGCCACCACTGAGGACTTGCTGTACCCACACTAGGACAAACAGGAAGCATACGAACCTGAAAGGCTATGCCCACGTTTTTCCCGTACTGATAGGCTATCTCGTGCACCACGGGGTCCGGGCATCCTAGGACAGAGACCTGAAACACACAGAATTCGGGGGTGAGCTGCCAGGCAGGCAAGAACGGGCCCCGGCCCCTGGGTGAAGGGCCGGATAAACATTTCCTTAAAGAGGGGTAGTGGAGCTAGAGAGCAAAATACTGATTTCAGTGAAAGAATTTAAATCTTACATCCTTAAAGATTTACTTATTTATCTGAAAGTCAGAATTACAGAGAGAGAGGAGGGAGACAGAGAAATGTCCCACCAGCTGGTTCACTCCACTAGTGGCTGCAACAGGAGTGAGCCAGGCCGGAGCCAGGGGCCAGGGGCTTTATATCCAGGTCCCCCACAAGGGTGCAGGGCCGACTGCTGCGGCTTTCCCAGGCTATTAGCATCACAGGGGGTGGCTTGCCCACACACCAGCCCCTGAAGTCTTAAATTCTAAGACAAGCAACTGTCTTCCCACCTTCCGCCTCTCTCAGGCAGGATAAGCAGTGCTTCCCACTGCTTCGGAAAAACTCAGTTACCGCGCGGGGACTTCTGCTCAGAATATGCCAAGTCACCCTTGCTGACCCGCAAGGAAAGAGACGCTCCACCGTGAAAAGCTGGCTTCCGGCACCAGCCCGGGCCCGGTGACTGTGGCCTTAAGTGACCTCGCTACTCATTTCTTGCTCACTTTAGGGTTAGATGCGTAATCTAATCTTACACATGACATTGTCATGTACTTCCCCACCTGTACTCCCTCCTTTTAATAACCGCTGGGGACTACACTTCCTTCTAAGCAGTTCTTCCTGTCTACAGCAACCGAAGTCTCCGGTTTCAGATGTCCACCTTGCTCTCTCAGCATCAGAAGGCTCTTCCCTGGCCCTGCTGTTTCCAGACTTCAACCACCAGAGAGAGGGGAGCTCGGAAAGTCTTTTAAAACTCCCAGAACACGAGCTGACACTGGCCACTGAGTGTGCTTCCCTCGGCTCTGCTAAGCATGCTAAACAGGCCGAGGTGCGCTTTCAGAAAACAAAGGCTGGGTACAGACCACAGAGGGGGTGGGGAGGAGAGACGCTGCTCCACCAGAGAGGAAGTGTCCACACTGACTGTCAATGAGAAAGCCAGCTGAAGAACTGCGCCCTGCCCTTCCGCTCCTATCAGCGGGCTCCAGCAGGGGCGGCTCTGCTTAGCTGGCCTGCCCCAGTTGGATTTATGACCTTGATCATTACAGTGTGACCATGGCATGCGACTTCATCTGTGTACTTGAGTTTCCTCAACAAAAATGTAGGCTCTCACCTAAGAAATGAGTGTGATGCTTCAGCTCAGCCCTCAGGAAGTGCCTGGCACCTGGTGAGGGTCCCCGCACCTCTGCTAATTCAAGCCAGATCACTGGTGACGCGTTAATGAAGTCTGTGACCGTGGGACTTCTGGCCATGGTGCGTGACAAACCCACGCTGGATCAGCGTGGCCACTTGTCTGGGGAATCATGAACTCCTAACTGCTTCCAGCAGAAGACCTGACCCATGGGCTGTCGGGAGGGGCTCCTCTTTTCAGCTGAAGAATCCAGGAGCCCATACAGGGGCTGTTTACAAACTTTGGAACACGCCAAATGATCCATAAACCTGGCTCAAAGACCAGCAGGGGGGCAAGACGCTGCAGCCTGGGCTGGGCAGAGCCCCAGACTCAACAGCACTTCTGTTCTTAAGCAGCAGTAACTGGCTGTGACATGGTCTCCTGTTCACAAGGTTAATCTGCCCAGAAATACAAACTTTGTTCCTCCAAGATAAAAATCCGCTTCTGAAGTTCACCAGTTAGAAATTCACGAGCACAGGTGATTAGCGCTTTGCAGCATTTGAGTTAAGTCTCACAGCAGCCCACACGTACTCACGTGGTGGAAGGTAAAAGCTAATCACCCATTCGCCCAAGTTTCTCCCATGGGCAGCCCTTCAGGAGGCTTATGGAACGCAGGCAGGGAGGGAGCCGTTTCCTGGCCAAGCCCGCTGCAGTCAGCCCCTGACTCCACACACTCTGGCGCCAGGGGCTGAGCTCTTCATCACTTCGCTGTGCTGCTGCTAAATGATGACAGAAGCGGAGCTCAAAGAGCTCAGGGAACAGGCCCAGGTGAGCCGACTGCCGGGAGCTCTGTGTGCTCCCCTCCCCGCTCACCCTGCGGCCACACAACTGGGCTGGCACAGGGGAAGTGCCGACAGCCACCTCTGCACGCAGGCCACCCCCAGGAGCCTGTTCTCTGAGCCCGGGAAAGGACCGCCTGCACCCATGGCACAGGAACAGAAAACAGCACCACACACACACAATGGCAAGGAGGTGCCGCCATCCGAGATGCCTGGATTCCTTCTGGAAGCGGGTGGAGTGCGCAGAACGATAAGGCAGAGGAAAGCAGAGCCTGACTCAGTGTTTATGGGAAGCAGATGCCACAGGCAGGCTGTGCTGTGCCTGTGTTTCCTGGGCTCACCCAGTTCTCATGAGTCTCACCTCAGACACACAGCACAGCACTGCTTACACGGGAAGGGGCCACGCACCTGATATTTGAAAGAATTACAGAGAGAGGTAGGTAGATGGAGGGATGGATGGATGGATGGATGGATGGATGGAGATGAAGAGAGAGAGAGAGAGAGAGAGAGGGAGAGAGGGAGGGAGGGAGGGAGGAAGAGACACCCTCCATCTACTGCTCTACTCCCCAAATGGCTGCAATGGCCAGAGCTGAGCCAAGACAGGAGCCAGGAGCTTCCTCCGAGTCTCCCACCTGGGTGCAGGGGTCCAAGTATTTGGGCCATCTTCTGCTGCTTTCCCAGGTGTATTAGCAGAGAGCTGGATCGAAAGTAGAGCACCTGGGACTCGAACTGGCGCCCATGTGGGATGTCGGGGTTTTAACCCACTGCACCACAGCACTGGCCCACATCTCCATCTTTGAAGTATGGATTTGTGCACCCCAAAAGATACATTCTGATACGTGCCTGCATGTATTGCGGTGTTATTCACCAACAACAGCGGAGGGATGGGCATTCAGCCCTGATGACACTGACGCTGGGGTCCTTCCTCTCCCAGCTCTGACTCCTGATCTGCCACCTCTCGGGGTGGCAGCAGTGACAGCACAAGGAATGGGGTTCCTTGCAGCCACACACATGGTAAACTTTCACTGAGTTCCTGGCTCCTGGCTTCAGCTGGGCCCGGCCCAAGCCATTGTGGGCCTTTGGGGAAGTGAGCCAGTGGATGGAAGTTCTCTCTTTTTATCTGTCTCCCTCTTGCTGCCTCTCAAATGAATAAATAATTTTAAATAGTAAAGAATATTGGAGCCCCACCATTACAGAAAGCAATATCAAAATAGGCTACTGTCCAAAACCAACAGAAAGTATTGGGAAAAAAATATACACAACACAGAGAGAGAACTAATATTCTTAATATATAAAAAGCTTTAAAAACTGAGGGGAGGTGGGAGTGTTGTGCCAATGGGTTAAGCTGCTGCTTGGGATGCCAGCACCCCGTACTGAAGTGCCAGTCTGACTGAAAGCTGCCTTGCTTTCACTCCAGCTCCCTGCTAATATGCCTAGGTGGCCAGTACCTGGGCCCTTGCCACCCACATGGGTGACTTAGATGGAGTCCCGGGCTCCTGCTGTTGGCCTGACTAAGACCTGGCCATTGCAGCCATTTGGGGAGTGAACCAGCAGAAGAACATGTCCTAATAAATAAATCTTTAAAAAACCAATTAGGGGCTGGCGCTGTGGCACAGTGCGTTAAGCTGCCATCTGCAGGGCTGGCATCTCCTATAGGTGTTGGTTCGAGTCCCAGCTGCTCCACTTTGAAACCAGCTCCCTGCTAATGCCCCTGAGAAATTAGATGATGGCTCAAGTCCTTGGGCCCCTGCACCCATGTGGGAGACCTGGAAGAAGCTCCTGGTCCCTGGCTTCAGATCAGCCTAGCCCAGGTCATTGCAGCCATTTGGGGAGTGAACCAGCAGATGCAAGATCTCTCTTGCTCTGTAATACTAACTTTCAAATAAATAATAATTAAATCTTTTAAAAAATTAAAGATACAAAAGCAGTCTTTAAGCTTCAGAAAAGATACTCAGCTTCATTCAGAAAGAAACTAAAACGTCCGTGTGGTACCATTTCTCATCTGGTGGATGGGTGAAAATGTAGACATCCAATGCCACATTCAGTTGGTAAGTCTGTGGGTAAGAGGCAAGACACTCCTCTCACGCCAGCCACACTAGCGAGGGAAATTTGGTGGCGTGGGGTAAACACACCATGCAATGAGCCCTGTATTTGCCTTGCAGTTTACCTCCCATATAAAAATGCATTCACACGATGTTAGTCAGTGTAATATTTCTAACTGTCAAGCAAGGGAAACCTAAATGCCCACACACAGAAGAGTAGCTGAGTAACCACGCCACATTCATACAGTGGTGCATTGTAGGATATGATGCAGCTCTCCTGCAAAGTGATACAAACCAACACGGGACCATTTTCACAATATACTGTTAAGAAAGCAAGGTATGGAGGCGAAATCAAAGCAGTGCAGTATGCTACATTAAAACCGCACACAGGTCTGCTCTCTTGTGCAAAAAAATATACAAGCCAAAGGATCCAGAAGCTAATGAGACTGGTTACACAGGGTACAGAGGACGGGGGAGTGAGAACAGGGGAAAGCAGATGAAGGGGAAGGTATATTTGATAGACTCAACAACAACAAAATCCTTAAAAGAAAAAATGACTTAGCAAGAACAGGAAGGAACCCCTAACGTGAAATAGCAATGAACCAACCTATATTTCAAGTAACATAACCTCAGTTAGGTGGGGAAAAGGTCACTTTTGAACAGTGTTTTGACTATCCTCAGGCTAAAGGCAAAAGGAACTGAAAACAAATATGACAACAGTTAATGGGTCTGTTCTGCACACACGCACTAGTTACCAATTTCAAAAGCCCTGTGGTGTATTCTAGGATTGAGCAGCTCAGTCTGTTGTGGAGAACGCTGGCCAGGTCTCTCACTGTTGGGGAATAAGTTACACATTCTGCAGGGAAACATGTGAACTATGAATTTGGAGCTATCAGTGACCATGGACAGACAGGAATACACAGAAGCTGGGGTGGGCACTGTGGTACAGCAGGTGAATCTGCCACTTCGGATGTCTGCATCCCACATCTGAGTTCCTGCTCCATGTCCAATCCCACTTCCTGCTAATATGCACACTGGCATAACCAGGCGATGGCTCAATCCTTGCGTCCCTGGCACTCACATGGGAGACTTGGATTGGGTTCCAGGCTCCTGGCTTTGACCTGGCTCACCTCAGCTGTTGCATCTGGGGAGTAAAACAGTGGACAGGAGAGTTATCTGTGCCTTTTGAATAAATAAAGCTAAATTCTTTTTTTTTAATTTATTTTTTTACAGGCAGAGTGGACAGTGAGAGAGAGAGACAGAGAGAAAGGTCTTCCTTTGCCGTTGGTTCACCCTCCAATGGCAGCCGCGGCCGGTGTGCTGTGGCCGGCCCACCACGCTGATCCGATGGCAGGAGCCAGGTGCTTCTCCTGGTCTCCCATGGGGTGCAGGGCCCAAGCACCTGGGCCATCCTCCACTGCACTCCCTGGCCACAGCAGAGAGCTGGCCTGGAAGAGGGGCAACCGGGACAGAATCCGGCGCCCCGACCGGGACTAGAACCTGGTGTGCCGGCGCCGCAAGGTGGAGGATTAACCTAGTGAGCTGCGGTGCCGGCCAATAAAGCTAAATTCTTAATTAAAAACATTCAAATTTCTTTTTTTTTAAATGAAAAGGATGCAGGAGTCAAGTTATCTCTCCCATTATCCAAAATAAGAGACAATGGAGTCTTAAATAATGACAAAGGGTTATAATTCACAGGCTGAAATAAGAATCCGAGAGTCCACGCAGATAAGAGGTGCTTTACAACAGAATGCACACGTCATTGCGGCAAAGAGACAGAGGGAATGACAGACATTCCCACCAGCTGGCAACCATAACAGTAATCACCACCTCGGGGAAGGATCGTTAAGTCCTTGTGGATTCTAAAACCAGAGAGTGACAATTTGATGGGAAACAGAAGAACTGCATATTCCGGGAATACCTTTCCCACAAAGGGGAAATAAGGGCTGGACACCATGCTCACCAGGCGAGGGAGACGAGCCTTGCCAGCAATGGGGTGGAGACACCATGTGGCTCCTAGTGCCACAAGCTGAGAAGGCAGTGTGACTTTTGTGGGCTTCCTGCCTGCCAAACACTCAGAAGCAGAACCCCCATCTTGGAAAAATACCAGACAAACCCAACTGGAGAGGCTTAACGATGTAACTAACCCACACATCTCAAACTGTCAAAGTCAAGGAAGACTGCGAAAGACTGAGGAACTGGTTCACAGTTAAAAAAGACGAAAGTTTCATTACAATGAAATGCAACACGAGATCAGGGACTGGATCCTGAACCAGAAAATCTTCCCTTTTGTTGTAACAGGATCATCAAAACTGGTCACGAAATGTGACCCTTGGAACACCTTTCTATGGTGGCACTCTGGAGCTTTCAAAATCAGGTAATAGGAAGACAGCCCACTGATGTCAGCCCATGGGCAGCCCTGGAGAGAACAAAGTTCAGGAAGGGAAACCATAAGAAAAGCAAGATTACCATGCCCAATTCCCAGCTCAGCACTGACTGGCTGCAACACTGGACAGGCCGCCTGACCTCTCAGGTCCCATTCCCATTAGATTTTTCTGGGGCACAAGACAAAGCCCTCATGGGTAAGCTACATGATGCATTTAGCCTGATTATTCTATGTACGTAAATAAATAGCCAACCATAATTAACTATTTTACTATCAGAGTCATGAAGCCCACCCCATGATAACCCTGTCTTACGTGACACCCACTAAGCCTACAATGGGTGGTTTAAACAAGTGGGTGGGGGTAGTGGGGGATGGTATCCTTGGTAGAATGAATTACAAGGTGGTGAGTCTCTGTCAAATTCCCAAGTGTTTGGAATTCCAGGATAGGAATTCTGATGTTTAGATTTCCCTTCGCTCCTCTTTTTGGTCTAATTGGCTTTGCATGCATTCCTTTGGTGCTTACGAGGCTTTGCATTTGAAATCGCGAGAGCACACAGGGATAGCACTCTGACTACCTGGCACCTCCGGACCACTTGAGCCCACAGGCACTGAAACACAGACACGTGTATTCAGAGAGCTCACACTCCGCCTCCTGTCTCAGCAGCTCTGGAGCTGAGGAATCAATCACGTGTGAGCAGGTAGTTCCGGGATGATGCCAGCATGCCTCCTAGTGGACATTCTTAATAAGGGGCGAGCCTTGGTCAGACATGGCCACTGTTTACCTGGTCTTGGAAGAAAGAGGTGCTCCTGAGACAAGAGGTGGGCACTCTCTCCAGCTTCGTAAGCAGAGGGGAGTGACCACAACGAATCAAGGCTCCTCCGTGGCGCCAAGGCCACGTCCCCAGACCTCTGGGAGGAGTCCAGCACTGAGTGAATTCGCTCCTGTGCCAGCCCTAAAGCAATGCTGCCCTCCCAAGAACAGTGACTCTTGGTGTTTCCAGCGCCACCAGCTGCACGTGCCTCCGAACTGCAGTGTCACAACAGTGCTGTCCCTTATTCTCGGGCCCTGGATCTGCCCGAGAGATTCTGGCCATAGAGGGTGTGATAATCCAGAGCCGCCTCTCGGCACCCGCTGAAGACGGGCCATTCTTAGCGATACTTAGCATTCAGTGCCCACCAGATTTCCATCTTCTCTCTCTTTTACACACACTTGGAAACACAAACATAATAGCCTTTTCAATGAAAACACAAAGACGCCCGAGATCGTGGCCAGCAAGTGCTACATGATTCATATTCCTCCGGGTGTCAGAGTAGATCCTTCCAGGAAGCCAACATTGCCCCCATTCTTTCCTGGCTCCCAACTGCACATGACTTGACCCTTTCCGGAACAGCGACACTTAGCGCCATAAGAAGCCCCAGGGAGAGCTCGCAGTCACGAGGACAGCCATTTGCACTTGACTCGCGAGCTCTTCCTCGCTCGCTGCCTTAATTACACGGGTCTACACTTACTCAGGTTTCCTGTCTGTGTGCCTGTTAGGCTGAGCAAAGTGTGCAGGTGGGCAGTCCCGTGGGTTAACGATCCACCCAAGGGCTGGCAATGAATACTGCACATTTTAGCCTACAGACTAAAGGCAATATGACCTGATTTTCAAAAAATACACATGTAGGGCCGGCGCCGCGGCTCACTAGGTAATCCTCCGCCTTGCGGCGCTGGCACACCGGGTTCTAGTCCCGGTCGGGGCGCCGGATTCTGTCCCGGTTGCCCCTCTTCCAGGCCAGCTCTCTGCTGTGGTCCGGGAGTGCAGTGGAGGATGGCCCAAGTGCTTGGGCCATGCACCCCACGGGAGACCAGGAGAAGCACCTGGCTCCTGCCATTGGATCAGCATGGTGCGCTGGCCGTGGCGGCCATTGGAGGGTGAACCAACGGCAAAGGAAGACCTTTCTCTCTGTCTCTCTCTCTCTCACTGTCCACTCTGCCTGTCAAAAATAAATAAATAAATAAATAAATAAATAAATAAATAAAAAACCACATGTAGAGAGGGCGGGCCAGGAGGAAGCCAGTTACAGTTCATACTCAGTGTATGCTCGGAAAACATGCGGCTTACTATGTTTCATGAGAAAATATTGAGGATCCATATGCATAAAACAGTACATACACCACCACCACCACCTCAACAGCTCAGTTTTCTGCCAAGCGATTATCAACATCTGAGAACACATCACTTAACTGTTCCAATGTAAAGTGCCGGGAGCAGTGCTCGCAGCAAGTCACGAGATAAATTATTTACGGTGAGTCGGTGAGTCGTTCAAAGTGTTAACAGCATTTGCAAATCAGAGTGGGGCAATATATTATAAAGCTTAGTCTCACTCAATTCTTAGGAGGCAAAAAAAAAAAAAAAAAAAAAGCAAAAGTTAGTATCTGCATGCCAAAGAAAGTCTGCAAAAATGAAAACCACACAGAAGCTGCCTGTGTGGGGGCTGTCATTCCTTCCCCCTTGGCCTTCTGGGACTTGGGACGCTCTTTTTAAGGCTCTGCGGGAAGCGTCTCCTAGGACGAGCTCCCAGGACGGAGCCATGTGGCCGTGTGTAGCGTGCAGAGACAGGACGTACATACTGCTTTACAACTGTTGGCAATCAGGCTGGCCGTCTTCTTGAAGGTTTTTTCCAGGTAGTGTGCAAATCTCTCATTCTCATTTTCTTTCGACCCTAGCTGCAAAAATTCACCTGGAAAGAAGGAAACGGGGGTCACTGGAGATGCGATTTCACTGCCCGGCTAAACACCAGCGCTGGATAAAAGAGACAAGAAATCAGAACCAACCTACCACGCACCAGGTCTTCGATAACCTGCGTTAAAATAGATATGACAGCCGTATTTCCGATCCGTGCCAGCGCTATCGAAGCTGCAGACAGAATTAGATCTCCAGCAAGAACGGCCTGGAAGAAGAAGGGCAAACGCTCAGAGAAAGCAGCAAGGCCAGGGAGCCCCAGGTGAGGCCAGGCACACAGAGCCAGCGGGGTTAGCCTGGCCCTGGGTTTCCCCTTTCCCCTTCCTCAGCACCGCTATGGAGGCACCAGCTACAGTCTGGGAACACTGTTGGGCCCAGGCTCCCTCTGAGACCACCTTGTCCCTCTCCCAACTCACAGCTGAAGAAACGGACACCTGGCTTCATCCTCCACCCCCGAGCCCCCCCCCCCCCCCCAAGAATGCAGCTGTCTACAGTTGAGCTATTCTGGGACCACTTGTTCTTCCTTCAGACCATGTTGCTGTGCCTTCCCACTTGCTGTTCCTTCTGCTCAAAAAGTCCTTGCCTTCTCCACTTAGTGCACAATTAGCTAAGACACCTCCTCCAGGAAGTCTTCTCTGATCCACCAGTCTGACTTCCCTTGTGTGTGAGTGTGATACCTGTGCCCACAGCTGCCATCATACTCTGCATCCCAGCCAGTGACAGCCTATTTACCACATTCCTGGAGGGCACCGACTAGGAATCATCGCCACTAGTACTTAGCACGCCCCAGCCCCTAGCACAAAACATGCTTTTGTCGATGAGAACTAATCAGGAAATCTTGGCTCCAAGTTCAATGTTCCTTGTGCCATATTACACTGATCCTCATTCCTAGACAAAATATCTTTTTCATGGAACAACAGCAATCAGTATTTTTCCAGTCTGCTTTAGACTGTGTGCAGATGACCAACTTGTATTGCCAACTAGTTATAAATTAGACACAGTTAAATCATACGCTGTAATAAAACCCACTGTAGGGGCCAGCACGAGCATGGGTTTGTGTCCTGGCTGCTCCACTTGCAATCCAGCTCCCTGCTGTGTGCAGCTGGGAAAGCAGCAGAAGGTGGCCCAAGTGCATGGGCCCCTGCTACCCACCTACCTGGAGACCTGGATGAAGCTCCTGGCTCCTGGCTTCAGCCTGGTCCAGCCCTGGCCATTGTGGCCATCTGGAGGTGAAACAGCAAATGGAAAACCTCTCTCTCTGTCTCTCCCTCTAACTTTGATTTTCAAATTAAAAAAAAAAAAAAAAAAAAACCCCACACACTATCTATAGAGCTACATTAATTTGCATATTTAAAGATATACATATTATATGTTATGGTTATTAGTCATTAATGCTAGGCTTTACAGCAATTCATAGAAATTTCAAGATTAAAATTTAATAACTACTGTCTAATTTCTATAGTATTTTAAATAGTGATATATATTTTACAAATTAATCATTTTTCATGAAGGAACTTCACAACATTTACAGAAAGGAATTAAAAGATAAATATTATTAGAGATGTTTATTATTAAAGATAACTATTTATTTTGGTGCAAAAAACTTTTAATTCCATGCACATGACAGTCTCCCAAATTTCATACAAAAGTGCATTATGAAAAAACTATACATTTCAAAAATTTCTCGTACTAAAATAAACTTCTTTTAATTCCATTTTCCTGCATGTGTTTTGAAGTACCATTGTACAATATATACCTTACGTAAGGCATCCCATGGTAAGGGCACACGTACGAAGCACACACCGTAACACACACGTGTCCATGGAGACCCACCTCCGGCCCCTGCATTATCAGCGGCCCAGCGCTTGGGACTCCTGGCCTCAAGGAGCCTGCAGGCCAAAAGATGCCAGCAAGTGAAGATGAAGCTCCCAGACTGTGGGCGAGGAGTGAAAGGCAGGAGGGGCTGAGAAACACAGGCCCAGAAGAGCCAGGGCCAGTGCAGACGGCTCTGTGTGAACGCATCTGTGCGTGGGGCCCTGGGTAGCTCTGGTGCTGAGGCGGAGAAGGGAGGCGAGGGCAGCAAAGCGCCCTCCTCATCTGCACTCAGATCTCTAGATTGTCTTCCCTGCCTAAGCGAGGGCTCCACACAGGGTCTGTTCCAGGCCTTGCCTAAAAGGAGCCCGCTGACTTCAAGGAGCAGTCACAGTCACTCCCCGGCCCCAACAGCCCTCTCCAAAACGAAACGCCATCCTTTCCACAAACTGCAGGAGTCAAGTTCACAACCAAATCACCGGTCATGGCTGTTAAGCAAAGCCTGTTAAGATGAGGATGGGGGCCGGCGCTGTGGCGCAGTGGGTTAATGCCCTGGCCTGAAGCGCTGGCATCCCATATAGGCAATGGTTCTAGTCCCGGCTGCTCCTCTTCTGATCCAGCTCTCTGCTATGGCTGGGAAAGCAGTAGAAGGTGGCCCAAGTCCTAGGGCCTCTGCACCCATGTAGAAGACCCAGAGGAGGCTCCTGGCTCCTGGCTTCGGATCGGCTCAGCTCTGGCTGTTGCGGCCAATTGGGGAGTGAACCATCGGATGGAAGACCTCTGTCTGTCTCTGCTCTCTCTGTGTAACTCTGACTTTCAAATAAATAAATCTTAAAAAAAAAAAAAAAAAAAAAGATAAGGCTGATGAACAGAGGAGAATCAGATGCTAGGAGCAGTGGGGGAGGGAAGAGGGTGAGTTCGTCAACCAGACACCAACAGAGAGCCAACAGAGAGCCGGCTTTCCGGGCGGAGCGCAGGCGTGGGGGTGCCTGCCCGCCAGAGGCCTGTGCATCTTCATTTGCTTTTGTTCAGCCTGACCACCATTCTTCAACAAATCAAAGCCCCAACTCTGCACACTCCCTTCAAAGAATGCTAATCAAACGGGAACTGTGCTTTAAAGTACACACACGTGAGGTACTAAAATACCTCATTTTCATGGTAGAACAGTATCCCCAAGTTTTTCCTTTTTGGTTTAATTCATTTGCCTTGACAGTTGTGTGAGTGGCACTAATCCATAAATGTCTAAGGAATGACAGTGAATCTGAGTAACTCAAGCCCAGGAGCCAAATGCATGGTTCCTCATGAAATATACTTTTTGGCTACTCATGAAAACCCCTATCCTTATAACCAAAGGAACCCTATATGAAAGTGAACAGTGCAAAACACCAAGCTCTCCAATACCTGCACACATGGAAGACAACAGCTGAGCAAACATCTTTTACTTTTGAATGACAGAAAGAAATCTGGAGAACCCATGTGATCCAAAGATCAGATGATGTAGCAAGGAAGATTTTTTAAAAGTTAAAAAAAAAACAACAAAGCACCTACCTTCTTTTCACCCCAGATCTTATTAACTGTGTGTTTTCCTCTTCGAGAGCTGGCGTCGTCAATAACGTCGTCGTGAACCAGACTAGCAGTGTGGATCATTTCTGCAATTAAGGCTATGGAGCGCTGGCTGGCTTGCACATCTCTAGTTAACAGAAAGCAATGCTTTTTAACAGAGACGCCGCCTAGAACCTCCTCTGCACTCATCTTGTGAAAACGGGACATCGGATCTAGGATAAAGAATTTTATTTCTCTAAGAGAAACTGTATCAACACCTTGGCCTCCCTACAGAGCCACTCTGAGCATTTGGAGAACATCTAACAATGCAGGAGAGGACCTGGCAAAGACTCTATGCACTCCACATTCAGAGGCGGGATTTGTACAGTTAACCAAAACAAACAAGCAAAAAAAGGTAAAATCTCCCACATGCCTGGCCACTGGGCTGAAGAATCACCTTTATGTCCTGCAGCTGTCTTGGTCAGTTGTCCAAATTAAAAATTAGGTTACAATAAATTTCAGAGGTGGATGGGGAACATAGGTGAGAGACATTTTTAAAAAGTATACTGGGGGGCCAGCACTATGGCACAGCAGGTAAAGCCGCTGCCTGCAGCATGGACATCCCACATGGGCGCCAGTTTGAGTCCCAGCTGCTCTACTTTCGATCCAGCTCCCTGCTGATGTGCCTGGGAAGGCAGTGGAAGACAACCCAAGTGCTTGGGCCCCTGCACCCACGTGGCAGACCTGGAGGAAGCTCCAGGCTCCTGGCTTCAGATCGGTCCAGCTCTGGCCATTGAGGCCATTTTGGGAGTGAACCAGTGGATAGGAGACGTCCCTCTCTGCTTCTGCCTCTGCCTTGCAAATAAATAAATCTTAAAGTATATCGGAAATGCCATTATGGTGCAGTGGGTTAAGCTGCCATTTGTGACATTGGCAACATCCATATCAGAGCTGCAGTTTGGGTCCTGGCTGTTCCATTTCTGACCGTCTCCCTGCTAATGTACCTGACAAGGCAGCAAAGGACAGTCCAAGTGCCTGAGACTGTCACCTACATAGCAACCTGGCCCAGCCCTGGTTGTTAAGGTCTTTACAGAGTGAATCAGCGGACGGAAGATCTCTCTTTCTCTTTCAAATAAACAAACAAACAAACAAAAACCCCTGTTTTTGAAAAAGTATATTAGGCCAGGGAGTGCAGTGGAGGATGGCCCAGGTGCTTGGGCCCTGCACCCCATGGGAGACCAGGAAAAGCACCTGGATCCTGGCTCCTGCCATCGGATCAGTGCGGTGCGCCGGCTGCAGCGGCGGCCATTGGAGGGTGAACCAACGGCAAAGGAAGACCTTTCTCTCTCTGTCTCTCTCTCTCACTGTCCACTCTGCCTGTCAAAAATAAAAAAAAAAAAAAGAAAAAAAAAAGTATATTAGGGAACTGTCATTATGCTCAAAGCTTTTTACATGGACTTAAATGTTTAGCATAGCAACTTCAGTAACCAAGAAAGGATGTTTACCTTTGCACTGGAAACTGAAATTTTTATTTCCCAAGTTTAACGCAACTATATGATAAGCTTTCTAAGGATTTTACAGTTAAAAGGCCAGGTCCCAGTTTTTGTTTGTTTATTTTTAAAATTTATTTGAGAAGCAGATACACAGAGAGCTGCTATCTCCTGGATCATGCCCCAGCTGTCAGCAGCAGCGCCCAGGTGAGAACCAAAGCTAGGAGCCGGGAACTCAATCTGAGTCTCCCACGTGGTGGGAGTACCTGACCCACTGCTGCTGCTTCCCAGGATCCACGCAGCAGGAAGCTGGAGCCAGGCATCAACACGAGGCAGGCAAGCATTTTAACCACCAGGCCAACCACCTGCCCACTGCCCCTCCAGTTTCTTTTTAATCATCATTATCCACAGGGAGTATTAAAAACTAAATTTCAAGGTAGTAAAACTGGGGAAATAACCAACCAAACCTTTTGAATATAAAACATATGCCTGACTTAAATGCATTCTACCAAAACATTCCATGTATTCCAATGGCTTACTTTTCAAGTATTGTCAGGTTGTATCTCAAGAAGGGAGAAAAAGGGACAGAGATGCTAAAATAACTTTTTCTTCAAAAATCATATGTGAACATCGGAACAAACTGGTGCCCATTCTAATGCCTCAGCCTAGTAGAAAGCAGTACTGAAGGGTTAACTACGTGAAAGACACTGAATCAGCAAGTGACTACCTTCCAATCATGCTTGCAGCATGATGTTTATAGGACCACTGGCTGGGTCCTCTTACCCAAGGCCTTAGAAGTCAACTCAGCCCCTTCCAGAGGTGCGTTCATTATTTATTAACCTTTCACAAGAGTTAACAGTTCTTGGTACTTGCAGATGAGAACAGATTCTTCCGGGGGAAGGACAGAGAAAGCTATGAAGAGGAGGGGTCACGTCACCACACAAAGTCACTCCAGCTCTGCTGGGATGCTCACATCCCACACCAGACTGCCAGGGCTAAGATCAGCTCTGCTCTGACTCCAGCTTCCTGCTGACGCACATGCTGGGAGGCAGAGGGTGATGGCTCAGGTGCTTGCTTCCTTGCCACTCCTGTGGGACACCCTGTGCGCTCCTGGCTTTGGCTGGGCCTTGTCTCAGCTTTTGGGAGGCATTTGGGAGAATGACCCAGCAGATGAAGATCTGTGTCTGTTTCTGTCTGTCTTTCCAATAAAATGGAAACAAATATAATTTAAAAAATTAAAGAGAAACACTTCAGTAGATGAGAAAACAAAAGGTTTGGATGACTTTTAAGAGCTTCCTCTGAATCCTTCTTGAAGATCCTTGGATTCTGCATTAGGAAGCTTAAATATTGTTTTCAGGTCAATTTACAAGGCTCTATCTTCTCTGAGTTGAATGCACAGGAAAAGATAGACTTTACAGTTTTTAGTCACAAAGGCCACCTTTTAGGATATTCTCTCAGTTGACCCTCCTCCCAAGATGGACACTAAGAGCTAGCAGCACTCATGTTAACGACGGTGCTGGCCTCTTGCCTTTCTCCCACATTCCTAAGGGGGCCCCGCTGCTTGATCACAGATTACGGCAGCACACGGGGCTCCTGCCGGACGCCACAGGGATACGGCAGTGCTCGCTGACATTCTAGGGTCTGGCTTTGCAATCTGATGATATTAAATCAAAGGTTTCTTATGGTATTTTAGAATGTCATAGGCTACTACAGATGCATATTAAAATGTCATTTTGCATAGCCAAATTATGGACAGATAGACTCAGGATTCCTGCTGAGAACAAATGCTATTTGGCACTGACGCAGCCTCTTCCTAGAGTGAGCATCCCATTTTGGATGCTTCATAATTTTATTGGATGCATTTCTTTTCCCTACGCAATTGGGCTTTAATGTGTGTCAGCTTCCATCTGGAAAACACCACCACCGCTTACTGCCTAGTGTGGCATGCCGGTGGCACAGGTGACCAAACTCACAGATGACAGGACCGTCTCACACTCCCTTTAAGATGAAATCTTCAGCCTTCAGAAAGCTGGTCACCTTTCCACTTCCTCCCGTGACATCACGGCTACGCCTTCCCCGCTTCTGGGAAGGGTGACAGGCCAGGTGCCACGAGAGGCCCTCAGTCAAATACCTTTGTACAAACACCGGCTGCCGGGAAGAGTGTGTGAGAAGCTGGCAAGCCCCGCAGGACATTCTTCTCCCTTCATTACATTAATATAATTTTTCTTATAATTTAGAAAATGAAGCACAGATAATAACAGATGGAATAACACAATGACCTCCCCCCAAACACCAAATGCAGCTTACTTTTTTTTCAAAAAACTCTTTTTCCCTATTTATACCAATACAGAATATGAAGTCTGTAAAAAATTACAAGTGGGGCCAGTGATGTGGTGCAGTGGGTAAAGCCGCTGCCTGAGATGCCAGCACCCATACTGGCACAGGTTTGAGTCCTGGCTGCTCTACTTCTGATCCAGCTCCCTGCTAATGCACTTGAGAAGAGCAGAGGAAGATGACCCAATGCTTGGGCCCCTGCCACCCATGCGGGAGATGGATGAAGCTCCTGGTTTCAGCCTGGCCCAACCCAGGCTGTTGTGGCCACCTAGGGAGTGAATCAGCAGATAGAAGATCTCTAACTCTTTCAAATAAACTATTTTTTTTTAAGATTTATTTATTTTATTTGAAAGAGTTACACAGAGACAGGAGAGGCAGAGAGAGAGAGAGAGAGAGAGAGGAGAGAGAGGTCTTCCATCCGCTGGTTCACTCCCCAATTGGCTGCAACGGCCAGAGCTGTGCCGATCCGAAGCCAGGAGCCAGGAGCTTCTTCCAGGTATCTCATGTGGGTGCAGGGGTCCAAAGAGTTGGGCCATCTTCTACTGCTTTCCCAGGCCATAGCAGAGAGCTGGAATTGGAAGAAGGGCAGCCGGGACTGGAACTGGCGCCCATTTGGGATGCCGACGCTTCAGGCCAGGGTGTTAACCTGCTGGACCACAGCGCTGGCCCCTCAAATAAACTTTAAAAAAGTACAAAAAATTTTTTAAATTACAAGTAACCCCTGTGTGTGTGTGTACGCGTGTGCACGCATGTGGTGGGAGCTGGATGCTATTGGCATCAACATCAAAAGTGGCTTGGATCTCGGGAGCAGTGTGAGGGACGCCTGGGAGGTCAACCTGCAGGCCCTTCCCCTCTCACTGCCCGTTCTCCCTCAGGGCCTCAGGAGCACACCAGGCTCACAGAGAAGTCTCTCTCTTTGGTGGGAACAGTGGTTTTTGGTTTTTCTAAGAGCTTGGTTGTGCCAGTCATTAGGATTCACCAGCAGTTTTAATACCACAAGAAAAGAACTGACATCCAAGGGTAGCAGCTCCTGGAGTTTTCACATTTACCTCCAGACAGGACAGGTGCCCGCTAAGCTGCACTGTACGTGACGCAGGTTCACGCTGCACTTTATTTTCTTGCCACTGAAGCCTCCGACCCAGGCAATATATGGGGAGTGATTCCTTGTCGATGTCCTGGATCTGTGGCGTTTCCAGGCTGGCCTGGTGCAGGGAGACGGGGAGCCACACGCTCCCGCTCCCAACTACTGCAGTGCAATGCAGCAGTCAGCTTTTCCAAATTGGACACGGGTATAAAAGTGTGAGGTTGACTGACCACAGACAGACACAGCAGCCTCATCCCAGCCTGCCTGGTGCGGGAAGCGCCTGTCGTCCCACGTTCACAAGCCCTGCATCCCTCCTGCTCTCATATTCTTACACTTGAACTTGAACTCACCAACCACGAACACCAGCTCATCAAACCTCCTCCCCCTATGAAGCCTTCCATTACTCCAGCCTTTACTTCAAAGACTCATTCTAGTACTAAGTAAGGACCCATCATCCAAAGGGCCGCCTCCTGGTAAAGACAAGACCATTTCTTCAGGCACCAGTCTCCTTGCCTATCCCACACACAGCAGCAGCAGCAGCGGCTGCTCGGGGAACCACAACACTCAGAAACCAAGGAAAGTTCCAAGCGGGACAGTGAGCTGACTGCCATCGCTCTGTGAGTCTTCCCAGAAGAGTCTCCTGTCATCTCTGTTGTTATAGAAGCCAGGAAACTTACCACCTCTGGATGTAAGATTCTTATCACACCTGGGTTCTTAACCCAACAAACGATCTAATTACCCAGCTTAACAAATGATTTAATTACTTGATGAGTGGATAATTAGCTACTGTTACAACTGTGTCATAACATTACTAACCATCTCATCATGTAGCCAGCTTTGGAAACTGGACTAGTTTCAATGTATCAACAGACGGGCACAACACACCTAGGGGAGCCCTGTTCTCCTGATCCTTGGCAGTGAGACGCCTCAGCACTGGGGGAGTTTCCCACAGGAAGGCATGGTGCCAAGGTCAACGCCAGCAGGTGCCTGTCAATGAGGCTGCTGAGCAGGACTGCTCTGGCTCGTTTGAGGCTGAGGCAGACACAAGCTCCACTATGTTCAGTGAGTTCAGCAATCCGATAGACATTTGCTTATTTATTTATTTATTTTTTATTTATTTATTTTTTTTTTTTGACAGGCAGAGTTGACAGTGAGAGAGAGAGACAGAGAGAAAGGTCTTCCTTTGCCGTTGGTTCACCCTCCAATGGCCGCCGTGGCCAGCGTGCTGCGCTGATCCGATGGCAGGAGCCAGGAGCCAGGTGCTTCTCCTGGTCTCCCATGGGGTGCAGGGCCCAAGCACCTGGGCCATCCTCCACTGCACTCCCTGGCCACAGCAGAGAGCTGGCCTGGAAGAGGGGCAACCGGGACAGAATCCGGTGCCCCAACCGGGACTAGAACCCGGTATGCCGGCGCCGCTAGGCGGAGGATTAGCCTAGTGAGCCACGGCGCCGGCCGACATTTGCTTATTTATTTTTAATTTTGATTTCAGGCAGAGAGCGGGAGAGACAGGACAGAGAAAGCTCCCGCTCACTGGCTCACTTCCCAAACGCCCCCAATGGCTGGGGCTGGGTCCAGAAATACAATCCAGGACTCCTTTGTTGTGGCAGGAACTCAACTACTTGAGCCATCGTCCCTGCCTCCCAGGGTCTGCACTGACAGAAAGCTGGGAATCAAACCCAGGCACTCCACCGTGGGACACGGGCAGTCCTACCATCAGGCTAACTGCCTGCTCCCAGAAATCTTGATAAGGCTCTTTGTTACTCTGGATGCTTTGATAAAGTAAGTGCTGCCCTACAGTTAGGGCGGGTTTGGCTGAAGGCTTTGAAAATTTTCTCAAATGTTTATTTGTGGCTAAAGTCGTTTTCTTCAAGGGGCAGATGTTAAAAAGTCTGGAAAAGGCAGATGCCATCAGCCAAGATCCCAGCGTGACCGGGCGGCTCACATCACAAGCTACACCTGACCAAGAGGCTCATTCGGTAGATGCTGCCAAGGGAACGGTAACCGTGGCAAGGACACTTCCCAGACATAGAAGTCGACAGCCGCATGAGAGGGCGCCACTCACCGGGAGTTGTTGTGGTGAATGTTGCATGCTCGGGCCATCAGCACCACGATAACCGGCCGGAAAGCTTTGCCTTTCCCGTCAAAGTAGTACTCGGACATCTCCTTCAGCTCGGCGGTGGAGATGAGCAGCTCCTGAAATGAGGCTTCCCTGCGTCAGACTGGCATCGCAGCTGCACAGCAAGTCAACAGGATTTCTTTTACAAAGCTCTGGCTTGATTTCACTGTACTCACGTCAGCTGGGAAATTCAACAGTCAACTCTGCTGGACAAGACTCCACCGTGAGCCATCATCCCAAGTGCCCTCCCTGCCTGCCGGTAGTTACACAACGCTTGGCCTAGCCTCCAGTGGGGGTCTCGGGGCTGGGGCAGGTCCCGGCACCTGCCTCACCACCTGTCTCTGCAGACAGCAGGAGGATGCACTAGGTGGCCCAGGACTCCAAGCTAGTGACACATGGACGGAGAAAGGAGCAGAGGCTGGTGAGTGGCTTGGAAGATGGAGCACAGAGGAAGACAGACTGGGAGTCTGAACAGCAGCCTAGGGCATGTCCTCGATGGGCAGTGAAGCCAGGCACTGAGACAGGGAGACAGAAAACACTGCTGCTGGCTTAGACTTCAGGTGGCAAAAGACATCTCAGGTGAACACCACCACCCAGCAGCCCAGCATTAGTCCTGTTCACTGGATTCCTGACTCAGCGCCATGCACCGCGGCCTAGGCCATGGATGCAGACATAAGGAAGACAACCCTTGCCTAGGAGGAGCCCAGGGTCTAGGCGAGGGGAAGTGAGACAAGAACTGCAGGTGCAACGACCTGTCACGGAGGTCGCACAGGGAGGACAGCAGCAAGAATGAAGGGACAAGAGACGTGCGGTGGCCGGACCAGCAGCGGGGGACTGATGGCGAAAGACAGACGAGAAGGATGTGGGGTGAGAATCCAGGTGTCCTCCCTGTCCCCAGGTGGTACCTTCGAGAAACAGGGAAAGCGGAAGAAATCATTTGTGGAGAGAAGGGAGACTGCGTGGAGCTGCCTGGGGAGCAGTTAGCTACAAGGCTCTGGGGACACAGTGCAATCTGGACGATGACCGGGGAGGGCTAGCTATGGAAATGGGACAGACAGGTCACACAGAGAGGAGGGGCCGCCAGAACCCCAGGGGATGCCCGAAGGAAAGGGCCTAGGTGGAGGTGACAAACTCAAGACATGGCCCAAGGATTAGGAGCACAAGGAAAGTGGGAAGCCAAGCGAACCGAGTTCCAAGGAAGGGGAATGGTCAACAGTGTCCTAGGTTTGCTTTTTTTTTTTATTTGAAAGTCAGAGTTACACAGAGAAAGGAGAGGCAGACAAAAAATGACCTAAATGAAGGATCTCTGTGAGATCCCGGTGGAAAGAAGGGGCCATCAAAGAAGGAGGTACCTTTCTCTGAAGTGAGGAGAGAACCTCCACTGTGATATGGCCTCGTCTAAATAAGGTCAGAGTCTGTGAACTCAAGAGGCTTCCATAGCCTTGGCAGCTCATGACAAGAGCCTCGGGTGATCACTGACGTCATAAATAAGAGTGTCAATTGTTCAATCAACAACAGGAGTCACTGTGCACTTGCTCCCCATGTAGGACCTCTGTCCTTAATGTGCTGTACTATGAGAATTAACGGTAAAACTAGTCTTTAAGCAGTACTTTGTGTATCTGTGTGGGTGCAAACTGTATATATTAAGTTGATCTTCAGTATATAAAGATAATTAAAAATGAATCTTGGTGAGGAGTGGGATGGGAGATGGAGTAGGAGATGGGATGGTTTGCAGGTGGGAGGGTGGTTATGGGGGGAAGAGCTGCTATAGTCCAGAAGTTGTACTTCTGAAATTTATATTTATTAAATAAAAGTTTTCTATTAAAAACAAAAACAAAAAAATGAGAGGCAGAGAAAGAGAGACAGAAGTCTTCCATCCGCTGTTTCACTCCCCAATTGGCCACAATGGCCGGAACTGCACCGATCTAAAGCCAGGAGCCAGGAGCTTTCTCCTGGTCTCCCACACGGGTGCAGGGGCCCAAGGACTTGGGCCATCTTTTACTGCTTTCCCAGGCCATAGCAGACAGCTGGATTGGAAGGAGCAGCTGGGTCTCGAACCGATGCCCATATGGGATGCCGGTGTCGCAGGTGGCAGCTTTATCTGCTAAGCCACAGCGCCGGCCCCCCTGTTCTTTGTTATCAATGTTTATTTCTTTCATTTACTTGTAAGGCTGAGAGCGAGAAGAAGAGAAAGATCTCCCTTCTGCTGGCTCACTCTCCCAAAAGCCTGCCAATGGCCAGGGCTGGGCTAGGCTGAAGCCAGGAACCAGGACTCCATCCCAGTCTCCTACGTGGGCGGCAGGAAATCAAACACTTGAGCCATCATCTGCTGCCTCTCAGGCACATTAGCAGGAACCTGGATCAGAAGCATAAGCTGGTAGGACTTGAATGAGGCATCTGATACAGGATGTGGGCATCCCAAACAGCAACTTAACCTGCTGTGTCACACACCCAGCTGAGAAGGCCTAGGAAGACAAAAAACAAAAGGCATCATGGGATTTGCTGAATGGAAGCTACTGGTGACCCAGACAGAAGCAGTGCCGGCGGTAAAGATGGGACGAGGCCGCGGTGGCGTCCATGTGAAGGGCAAGGGCATGACAGATGGTAGTGAACACTGTAATGGAAGGGAGGGGAGGAGGGAGACACAGGGTGAGGGGATGGTTCTTTTAAAAACCAAGATGGAGAGGCTGGTGCTGTGGTGTAGTGGGAAAAGCCACAGCCCATGAACCATCATCCCACATGGGCACTGGTTCAAGTCCTGGCTGCTCCACTTCCCATCCAGCTCCCTTCTAATGGCTGGGAAAGCAGCAGAGGATGCCCCAAGTTCTTGAGCCCCTGCACCTATGTGCGAGGCCCAAAGGAAGCTCCTGGATCCTGACTTTGAACCCACCCAGCTCCAGCAATTGTGGCCATGTGGGGAATGAGCCAGCAGATGGAAGATCTCTCTGTCTCTCCCTCTCTTTAGCTCTTTCAAGTAAATAAATAAATCTTTAAAAAACAAAATGAGTGAGAGCCTGTAGATGAAGGAAACAGGGCAGCAGTTCCCATAGAACTGAGAGTGAAGCAAAGATGGGAGTTGGAGGCTGAGGAGTGACTCCTGAGCAGGAAGGGACGTCCACGGAGGTGGGAGGAAAGGCAGCAAGCAGGCGGGGCAGGGGCGCAGAAGCAAAGCCGAGGGGGCTCCTATCCCTGCTCTCTGCTGCATCCGTTACAGAGCACGTGGTGCTGCCAGAGACTGAGAGCCAGCTGCAGGGGCCCCGGGGAGAAAGTGGAGAACTCAGAGAGGGGCAGGAAGCTGACGAGGGGCCTGTGGACAGCTCCAGAACCACATGAGGTGCCCAGCCACTGCAGGTTTTCAGGGAACACAGTTGAATGAAGAAAGCCATATCTGGGGCAGGCTAACAATGACCTCCAGAATGACATCAGGAAGACTGAGGGGCGGTGGATGTGAAAAGGGAAGGTTAGCTAGTGTAGGGGCTGGCACTGTGGCATAGCCAACTAAGCTTCCACCTGTGGTGCTGGTATCCCATATGGGTGCCAGCCGGAGACCCTGCTGCTCTTCTTCCAATCCAGCTCCCTGCGAATGCACCTGGGAGAGCAGCAGGGGATGGCCCAAACGCTTGGGTCTTTGCATCCACATGGGAGACCTGGAGGAGCCTCCTGGCTCCTGGCTTCGGACTAGCCCAGCTCAGGCCATGGTGGGCATTTGGGGAGTGAGCTAGCATATGGAGGATCTCTCTCTAGCTCTTTTTGTAACTCTGCCTTTCAAGCAGATAAGTAAATCTAAAAACAAACAAACAAACAAAAAAACCCAAGATACTCCAGACTCCTAGCTTTGGCCTGGCCCTTTGCTTTTCACATAAAAAATAAATCTTTAAAAAAAAAAAAACCTTGATGATTCCAACTCATCAAGTTTGCAATGGCATCGTCTCCATCTGAAAAACCTGTATTATTTTATAATGATGAAACTTATACTAAGTTTTAGTAAACTGAAACATTAGGATCAAAAACACCAACCTTTCTGATGTCCTCGTACAGGCCTTTCAAGTCTCTCCACCCAAGTTTAAAAGGATCAGAGAATTTCTCACCACTCCGCGTTTTACTGCAGCAGCACACAGCCGGTGTCGTGTGCTGAAACCTGGCATGAGCAAAAATGCAAATGACTTCATGTGTAAGTCCATATCATGTCCACATACATGTCACACGTATACCAGAGCACTTCAAAAGTTCATGGTTGAGGCCAGCATTGTGGTATGTGGGTAAAGCCACTGCTGTCTGTAACACCAGCATCCAGTATGAACTCTGGTTTGTGTTCCAGCTGCCCCACTTCCGTTCCAGATCCCTGCTAATGCTCCTGGGAAATGCAGCCAAAGATGGCCCAAGTGCTTAGGCCCTGCACCCATGGGAGACCTGGATGAAACTCCTGGCTCCTGGCTTTGGCCTGGTCCAGCCCTGGCTGTTGTAGCCATCTGGAGAGTGAATTAGCAGATGGAAGATCTGTCTATCTGTCTCTCTCTGTGTAACTATTTCAAATAAATAAATAAATCTTTAAAATGGAATTAAAAGGCAAGTTTATTTGGGTGCCAATTTTTTATAAGGGGTCTTCAAAAAGTTCAGGGGAAATGATGTGTATTATGGAAAAAACTTCAAGTGAATTTAAACAAATTGTGGTCCCAAAATAAACTTATCTTTTAATTCCATTTTTCCATGAGCTTTTTGAAGTGCCTAGGTATGCAGTAGAGGCAGATGATACAAAATTAAGCCCAAACACTTGTTGGAAATTAAGCATGGCTCTGAGAAGGTCATTACATTTTTAAAAAAGATTATTTATTTGAAAGAGCTGCAGGGAGGGAGGGATAGAGGGAAGGAGAATGAGAGGGAGAGCGACAGAGAGGGAGAGAGAGGAGAGAGAGAGAGAGAGGAGAGATATCTTCCATCTACTGGTTTATTCCCCAAATGGCTGCAACAAGCCAGGGCTGGGCCAGGTCAAAGCCAGGAGCTTCATAGAGGCCTCCCTCGTGGGTGGCAGGGGCCCAAACACTTGGAACACCTTCCGCTGCTTTCCCCAGGCCATCAGCAGGGAGCTGGGTCAGAAGTGGAGCAGCTGGGGCACAGACTGACACCCACATCAGATGCTGGCGTCAAAGACCGAGGCTTTACCTGCTCCACCACAAAGCTAGCCCCAGGCCATTACAATTCAAAGAAACATTTGGCGGGACTCTATTCTTGCTAAGTGATATATCATTGATCATTTTTGTAAGCAAGATCCTGAAAACTGACAAAATCAAACAAAGACTGAACTCTGTTCATTGTGTTCTGGGTTGAGATCTCATTTTATATTCCTGTTTTTTCTAAATGGTAGAGATCACATAGAATGGACACTGTAGCACTTAAACAATAATAAACTTGTTGTCCTAGCCCTCAACAATTTAGAATACAAATTTACCGGTGCCGCGGCTCAATAGGCTAATCCTCCGCCTGCGGCGCTGGCACACCGGGTTCTAGTCCCAGTCTGGGCACCGGATTCTGTCCTGGTTGCCCCTCTTCCAGGCCAGCTCTCTGCTGTGGCCAGGGAGTGCAGTGGAGGATGGCCCAAGTGCTTGGGTCCTGCACCTGCATGGGAGACCAGGAGAAGCACCTGGCTCCTGCCTTCGGATCAGTGCGGTGCGCCGGCCGCAGCGGCCATTGAAGGGTGAACCAATTGCAAAAGGAAGACCTTTCTCTCTGTCTCTCTCTCACTGTCCACTCTGCCTGTCAAAAAAAAAAAAAATTAAGAAAAAAAAGAAATTTACCGGAAATATGATTAACAATGTAGGCAGTTCCAATATGGATTATATACTTACCGTGATATACCACACACATGTGGAAAAGCAGATGTGAGACTCTTCACAAGATTAAAACAGAGCATCTATAAAATAAAAGTACGAAATTTATTAGACTATTCCTGAAAAACTTGTTTAGAACCCCACTTAAAAAATGTATTTATTTATCTGAAAGGCAGAGTTCAGTAGAGAGGGAGCGACAGAAGGGGTGCTATCTGCTGCTTTATTCCCCAGACGGATGAGGCTGGGAGCCTGGGACTCCACTTGGGCCTCCCACGTGGGAGGTTGTGGTTTTCTCAGGAGCATTAGCAGGGGGTTGCATTGGGAGTGCAGCAGGCAGGACTGAACTGGTGCCCACATGGGATGCCGCTTTACCACAGTGCTGGCCCATAAGAACTCCACAATCTATAATACATTTAATCTTTATCTTTTAATCACCCACTTACAAGTAGACTGCAAACTTTAGAAAAAGGATAATTTATTCAAAAGCAATACTTGTCGTTACACAAAGTATACAGAAAAGCAGAAAATAAAAAGCACCTACGGCCGTCACGGCGGCTCACTAGGCTAATCCTCTGCCTGTGGCGCCGGCACACAGGGTTCTAGACCGGTCGGGCCCGGATTCTGTCCCGTTCACTCCTCTTGCAGGCCAGCTCTCTGCTGTGGCCCAGGAGTGCAGTGGAGGATGGCCCAAGTGCTTGGGCTCTGTCCCGCATGGGAGACCAGGAGGAACACCTGGCTCCTGGCTTTGGACTGGTGCAGCGCACTGGCCATGGTGGCTATTTGGGGGGTGAACCAATGGAAGGAAGATCTTTCTCTCTGTGTCTCTCACTGTCTGACTCTGCTTCTAAAAAAAAAAAAAAAGCACCATAATCTATCCCCTTCCCCCAAAGAAAGCCAAAGTTCTCATATTCATATGTTTCTTTTTTAATTTTTTTTTTTTGACAGGCAGAGTGGACAGTGAGAGAGAGAGAGAGAAAGGTCTTCCTTTTGCCATTGGTTCACCCTCCAATGGCCGCCGTGGCCGGCGCGCTGTGGCCGGCGCACTGCGCTGATCCGATGGCAGGAGCCAGGTACTTATCCTGGTGCCGGCCCATATCTATGTTTTGGCCCATATCTATGTTTTAAAGATTTATTTGAAAGGTGATTTACAGACAGAGGGAGACAGCGAGAACTGGTTCACTCCCTGAATGGCCGCAACGGCTAGAGCCAGGCCAGGACGAAGTCAGGAGCCAGGAGCTTCATCTGGTCTCCCACCTGGGAGCAGGGTCCCAGACACTTGGGTCGTCTTCTGTTGTTTCCCCTTGCCTTAGCAGGGAGCTGGATTGGAAATGGAGCAGCCATTGGAAGTGGAAGATGGCCTAACTGTCTGGGCCCCTGCCACCCATTTGGGAGACCCAGTTGAAGTTCCTGGCTCCTGGCTTCAGTCTGGTCCAGCCCTGGCCATTGCAGCCATTTGGGGAGTGAAGCAGCAAGCAGATAGAAGATCTCTTTCTCCCTCAAACTCTGCCTTCCAAATAGATAAATCTTAAAAAATAAAACATCTCCCTCCCATTTAACTAAGATTGGTCAGAGAATAGTAAAGATTAGTTGCTGGTTCGACTCTTGGCTACTCTGCTTCCAATCTAGCTCCTCGCTAATGCATCTGAGAGGCGGCAGATGATGGCAGAAGTCTTGAGTTCCCAGGGGAGACCTGGATGTAATTCCTGGCTCCTGCTCCTGCCTGGTTAGTGCCTACAGTTGTAGCCATTAGGGGAGTGAAGCAGCAGATAGAAGAGGGATCTGTTTCTCTGTCCTTGTCTCCCTCTGCCACTCAGCCTTAACACAACAACCTCAACAGCACATTTCAGTATTATTAATCAGATTCAAGAGCAACAGCAGACAACTCCTACAAAACTCAGAGGTGGTAACAAATATGAATATTAGGCCAGGAATTGTGACAGGCACGGGGGACTGAAAGATAGACGGCCAGCTCTGAAGAAATCAGGGCTATAGAAACTTTTAAAAAACATTTGTTTATTTATTTATTTATTTGAAGGTCAGAGTCACACAGAGAGAGGTTCACTCCCCAGTTGCCCATAATGGCTGGAGCTGCACCAATCCGAAGTCAGGAGCTTCTTGCGAGTCTCCTGTGCGGATGCAGGGTCCGTGGTCTTCAGCCATCTTCTACTGCTTTCCCAGGCCATTGCAGAGCTGGGTCTGAAGAGGAGCAGCTGGGACTCGAATTGGCACCCATGTAGGATGGCGGCACTGCAGGCAGCGGCTTTACCTGCTATGCCATGGCGCCGGCCCCTATAGGCATTTTTAAAAGTAGTAAACTCACTAATCTAATGAAGTAGGGTCATTTGAAGAAAATATTTTGATAAAAAAATTTAGCACAATGAAAAGAAAAACTAATCTAATTATTAGTAACAGTCTTTCAACATGCTTTGACACCACTATCCATTTTATCCTTACAACTTCCTGTTTTTTAAAGCTGGGGAACTCAAAGTCCAGAAAAGTCAAGCCTGAAAAACCGGATATGTAAATGTTTATGATCTATCATAAGGAAACTATATGCATGATGTGATCTCACTGAAAATGTAGACCTATGTACATAAAACACACAAAGAGAGAGCAGGGTTTGGAAGAACAGAAACTAGGGTGTTAAAATTAGCTAATCTGGAATCAAGAGTGTGGCATCAGAAGGAGATGAAATCTTGAACTTACAAGTTGAAGCAGAGGGACTGAAATTTTGTAGCTTTTTGTTTGAAGTGACCCATAATTCTTATATCATATTTACTCTAAAACATTGGATAAACTAAAAATTTGTGAGAAAATAGCTATTAATGTAATACCACCAACACATTTGTGCCTACATGCTTTTTTAAAATTGATTTGTAACTTCTTTTTTTTTCTTTTCTTCATTTTTTTTATTTGACAGATAGAGTTTAGACAGTGAGAGAGAGAGAGACAGAGAGAAAAGTCTTTCTTCCGTTGGTTCACTCCCCAAATGGCCGCCATGGCTGGCACTGCACTGATCCGAAGCCAGGAGCCAGGTGCTTCCTCCTGATCTCCCATGCCGGTGCAGGGCCCAAGGACTTGGGCCATCCTCCACTGCCCTCCCGGGCCACAGCAGAGAGCTGGACTGGAAGAGGAGCAACTGGGACTAGAACCGGCACCCATATGGGATGCTGCCACCGCAGCGGAGGATTAACCAAGGAAGCCAGGGCACCAGCCCTGATTTGTAACTTCTTAGTATCTTTTAAGGTCATAGACACATAGTTAAAATAGGCAAGTGTAACCCTTTACCATTCTCCAAGTCATAATTATAACTTTAGTTGTATTGGATGTGAACCATTGGAAATAAGACACGGACCAGTACATTTCCAAACTATAATATGGAAGAGTCAAAGAGTGTTTTTGTTTGCTGGATAAACTGGATTAAAATCCTGTATGCCACATTTAAAAAAAAAAAAAAAAGAGTGTGGCAGTCTTGTTTCACCCCTCCTTGTCCCATCCATTTTCTGATTTCTCTCTAATGAGCCAGAATAGCTTTAGACATGTTAAAACAATAAATGTTGACTTTTAGCATTACGTGGTCATTAAATCAGCAGGAACATTTATGACATCCAGGCAACGACAATATCCCAGGAAAACAAGTGATAATCCTGCCCTTTGATTCTTACCATCAAAAGACAACCTATTTCTTTCAGACTTTGTTGGTAATTAATTCATACAGATTCAATATTTTCTTATACTACTTATAAAAAAGAACATCTTAATGGAAGAGCAATAATTATTCAGTTTGAGATCTTATGCTACTCCTCTAACCGGGGGTGAAAGGTTAAATCACACAGCTAATCCATACAAGGTGTTCTTTTTCATTAGACAGTAATAGCAGCTGTTAAAAGCAAGTTAGTTATAGGATAGATGTGGTTCAAATCTCAGCACTTCCTGGTTGTGTTGTGACATCTTTGTGATAATATCTCCTCCTGAGAGTAACAGTACATGTAAAGCTGTGGCTCAGAGCCCAGACACAGTACACAATTAATACAGTTATCTTTTAAATCAAGCTTCGCTGTGCTCTGACAGCACCTTAGGGCCATGACTTTTGCAAGTGAGGTTGGATAGTCAGGTCTTCAAAGGAAGTTGTGAAATCAGAGTTGCGGCATTAGCTAGCAGTATCAACAAACACCTTTCCTTTCCAGCTTCGTTCCCTATCTTTCTGTTATCCACCCAATCTTGCATCTCAAGGCTGTACCTTTTAAAATAAGAGAAAATGCCAGGTAAGAATCGAAGACATATTGACAAGTGGTTTGGAATGATCAAATGCGCACTGATGTTTATCCTGTTAGAAGATCTGTTTAACAGATCCCATGAATGGAGAAGTCCACAGCACATACCACGGGACTTCAAAAACCTCCTGAGGGCTGGCGCTGTGACTTAGTGGGCTGAGCCTCCGCCTGCGGAGCTGGCATTCCATGTGGGTGCTGGTTCCTGTCCTGGCTGCTCCTCTTCTGATCCAGCTCTCTGCTTATGGCCTGAGAAAGCTGCAGAAGATGGCCCAAGTGCTTGAACCCCTGCACCCTCATTGGAAAGCAGAAGAAACTCCTGGTTCCTGGCTTCAGATCAGCCCAGCTCCAGCCACTATGGCCATTTGGAGAGTGAACCAGCGGATGGAAGACCTTCTCTGTGTCTCTTGCTCTGTATGTAATTCTACCTTTCAAATAAACAAACAAACAAATAAAATCTTTTAAAAAGTTCATGAAAAACATGTTTTATGGAAATCTATTCGTGGGTTTCAAGATTTTTTGGCACCAAAATAAACTTATCGTTTAATTCTTTTTCCACAAACCGTTCAAGTTTTCTCTTACAGAAATCAGGAAGTAGAAGTGTGTTGGGCAGCCAATTGCGGCTGAACCATCATTGCTCTTTGTCCCCAAGGACTATTACACGCTGAGAGACTCGAAGGAACTCAAATGCACATGCCCGAAGCACACACGATGCCAGTGTATTACCGATGCAAAAAATCACAGACACACGGGTCAGAAATACGCTGTGCTAGCAACCAGAATCAAGGAGCCAGCAGACAGGGATGCCAGGAAGCAGGCAAGCATTCTCTCCAGGGGAACACGTTTCCCCGGTGAGGCTGCTGGGTGGGCACAAAGTCAACACAAGTAGAAAGAAAATAAAGAAGTATCTAGTGCCATCAGACCGGGGACGCACCCATGTTTTCAAACGCCTGCCGCTGTGGAACGAGAAAAACCTGAAGTCTGGCCAGGACAATACTGAAGTGGACCCCCACAGAGCTCCCACATGGTCCCCCATCCGTACATTGCTCTTCCCGCATTACAGTCCAGCGTGTCCACTGGCTGAGCTGCCGTATGCATCCGCCTGGACTCAAAGCAGACATCTATAAACGCCAGCTATACATCCCATCCTGGTAAAGGATCTCTGACCACCCGGCTGCCCCTCTTCCAGGCCAGCTCTCTGCTGTGGCCAGGGAGTGCAGTGGAGGATGGCCCAAGTGCTTGGGCCCTGCACCCCATGGGAGACCAGGAGAAGCACCTGGCTCCTGGCTTCAGATCAGCGCAGTGTGCTGGCTGCGGCGGCCATTGTAGGGTGAACCAACAGCAAAGGAAGACCTTTCTCTCTGTCTCTCTCTCTCACTGTCCACTCTGCCTGTCAAAAAAAAAAAAAAAAAAAAAAAAAGAAAAAAAAAAGAAAAGGATCTCTGACGAGCACACAGATTTCAGAAGCCTACCAAACCTGATGGGAACTGGAGAGTCCAAAATTAAGACAAACTTTTAAACAGGAGGTCCTGCAGACAACTGCGGTGTGGCTGAGATGCTCCCGATTTGACAGGGGGTCCCTGGGTTTTGCTCAGTTCCCTGAACCCTGAAAATGCAGGGCTCAAAGGTCCCCAGAAACACACCCACTGACTAACGTGCAGGGGCCAGCGGAAGAGATGAACCCTGGGCTCTAAGGCAGCAGCCGGAGCCCCGAGGCATCACGGACATGGCTGAGATTCTGACCTTTATTTCCAGAAGCCACAGGGCCACTGTGCAGATGACCCCAAGGTGTCTCTCGTTGCCCCACCCGCCGGCCCTTTCTCCTTCCAGTGCCCTTGCAGCACCCCAGCCCTGCCTCTTCCCCCAAGACCTTGCCCAGCTATCCCCAAGGCCAACTGCACCCCTTCTTATCTTGGGGAGCTCGGGTGCACCTTTTGCTCTCGAACTCCAGGGCAGGCCCAGCCTCCCGCGTGGCCGGCTCCAACTCGAAAGGAAACCCCTGCCGATGGCGCCCAGGCTTCACCTGTCCACAGCCCGGGAGGGAATCTGACCACACCTGCGTTTCTCGCAGGACCCCGGCTTCTCACCGCGTCCTCCCCCACCCCCGGGACCCCGCTCTGCGCCCCTGTGCGGGGCGCCCCTCCTCGAAGGCACACGCGCGGCTCCGTGTCCCCTCCGCCACGAGCGCCCCGCGCCCCGGCTGTCCCACTCAGGGCCACCCGCGCCCTCGCTCCCGGCGCACGTGCTCCCCGCGCCCATTCATTCCACGGCGCGGCTGTCATTGGCGCCGTGACCTCTGCGGCCACAGCGGGCGGGCGCCTCCCGGCCTCACCTGCGCGCGGCCGTCGGCGGTGGCGCGCGGTCCAGGCGGCCCCACGCTGGCGGGGGAGCTGGGCCCGGGGCTCCGCGCTGCTGGCCCCCGGGAGCAGCCGCGTAGCCACCGCCACCAGCGCGAGGCCATGGTCCGGCTCTGAAAGTCGCGGCGGGCCGGCAGCCCCGCCTCCGACCAGCGGCCCGCCTCCCGGGACCCGGAACCGGAAACCTGGCACCGGAAGCAGTTGGGCCGGAGGGCCCGCCTCCGCTCGCTCCTCCCGCGGCGGCTCAGCATCGAAGACGCCAGCTGTGGGCTGCCGGGAGCTGAGGCGGCCGCCGGGGACCGGGGCCTGTGGGCTTTCTCCGTGCTGAGGCGGACGAGGGCCGTCCGCTGCTGTGTGCTGAGGCGGCCGCCGCCCGGGGAGACTCCAGGCGCCGCCTCGCACGGCGCGAGCCCTGGGTCTGGAGCCCTTCCCCGAACGCCCTCGCGGGTGGGCGGGAGCGATCGCTGCCCCAGTCCTAGCCCGGCGTACCTTTGAGGGGCCCCGAAACAGCCCTGTTGACGCTGCGTGGCGAGGCGGAAGAAGTATGGCCCCGAGGCTCGGCTTCCCGGGCCGCTGCCTCACCCGGAGGCCTCGGTTTCCGCGTCTGCTTCTCTGGGGCGTGACCTGCCACGCCGTCGTCCGCGGCCTTTTGCAATCGGTCCTGGAAGGAAGGGCCGGCCTTGTGCTGCTTTCCAGAAACGAGTCAAGCCACGACCCGGGCTATTGTGAAACGGGAGCGAAGTCAGCCCTGGCTCTCGACTTTTGGACTCTCTCCTCTGAGGACCTTCTAGGTAGAGTTTGACAGTCTTGCTCGCATCGGGATCTGGGAGTCCCGCTCCCGGTGTGGAATGCTTGTTCGTGTTGGATCCACTTGTGCCCTGCCTGGGGGTCCCGGAGGACGCACAGGAACGGCAGCCGAGCGTGGGGGTAGAGGGACCTTGCTTCCTTGGCTCTGTGGCCACATCCACTCTTTGCTCACGAAGTCGCAGAAATCCGTAACAGCACTCGCAGACACGCAGTGGGAGAGGGCCTAAGCATTTGTGATACAGAAGTAAAAGACACTTGGTCTTCAAAAATTTAATTTTTTTTTAAAGAAACATTTATTTGAAAGGCAGAGTTACAGAGAGGGAGATTCCACCTGCTGGTTCGCTCCCCTCCATGGCCATAATTGCCAGGACTGGGCCAGGACACAGCTAGGAGCCTGGAACTCCATCCCAGTCTCCCACATGGGTGACTGAGGTCCAAGTCCCCTCCCCTTGCCCCCACGGGGCCCATGCATGACCTGCTGCCTCTAGGTGCATTAGAAGGAAGCTGGTTGGGAAGTGGAGCAGCCACCAGAGAACCTGCCCCCATATGGGATGCCTGTGTAGCAGGCAGCGGCTTATCCCACTGTGCCACGATGCTGGCCACCAAAAAATTCTTGTAAGGAAATACACAAATAGATAACTGTCATTCTCTGATACAAATTTTTCTTCTTAACTATCCTACTTGCACTAAAGAGCATAAGTTGCACATTTTCATATTTATTTTAAAAGTATGCTTTTTATTGATTGAAAGCATAATATAAAGACTATTAAGCCGATTTTATGGTGTTTTTAACATCTTGAAGAATAGCATGTAAGAACAGATGCTTTACAAGTTAAGGTGGTTGATATACACTGTGGTTTATCTTGATACAGATTAGGTTATATATTAAGAAACATGCAATACACCAAAGTAACCAAAGTAAAATGTAGCAATCAACACTGCTACTCTACTTGTGACAATGCTAATATATCATCATCTGCCCCTTTCAGATAAGAAAACAGGTACCAAGGAATGAAGCCACATTGGCAAATGTAGCACTACACAATTCCACCAGGCCATTTTAATTTTCATTGCAATTTCCAGATTGTTCCATCAAAGCAAAAACTTTTAAAAAATGTTATACGACAAGGCTGACTAGGGAAAGAGGATGAAATTCATTCAGGCTTCCAATATTGTACAGCCAAACTCCTGAGGAACAGTGACCTCCCAACAGGACATGCAGAACTCAAAAGCAGTTCTTTTGACCCAGCTAGACCAAGCATGAACCTGAAAGGTAAAAACAGAGCTGTGCAAGTAACTGCTAAACAACAGACTAATCTTGTGCACAGTATCAGCAACTTCTTTTTTTTTAAATTACTCTAGTTATATGAATGAAACAAGTACTGATGGATACAAATGGACTGAGTGTCATTGAGAGCATTTTCAATTTGTTTCAAAGTTGTCGTTTCAATTTCAGAGGGACAGTTACACAGTGAGAAGTCTTCTTACTATATTGATAATATTGTTGGAAACATTATGGTAGAACCAGATTTTATAGCCATGGAAAAATTGTAATACTTTATATATTACCATCTCTTGGTTCACAGTACTGTGTAAAACATCTCATCCTGATATTACCACTTTAATGAATTACCAGGCTGTCTAACATCTCTTGAGAGAAGAGGTTCAAATAGTTGTGCTGAAAGATTAGCAGATTTGTGGATTTTATAGTCCTATGCAAAACTGAATTCCAAAGAATTCCTATCACTGAATTTCCTAAGATGTTAGCTTTTAGTATGTGACAGTTGCTTCAAGTGTCGTAGGGTGAATATTGGATCCCCTTGAAGCCTTTATTTAAAAAAAAAAAAAAGCTTTGATTTAATGAACACAAATTTCATAGGTACAGCTTTAGGAATATAGCGATTCTTCCCCCCTTACCTGCCCTCACCCCAACTCCTGTCCCACTCCTACTCCCTCTCCCATCCCATTCTTCATTCAGATTTGTTTTTAATTAACTTTATATACAGAAGACCAACTCTATACTAAATAAAGATTTCCACAGTTTGCACCCACACAGACACACAAAGTATAAAGTACTGTTTGAAAACAAGTTTTGCAGTTAATTCTCACAGTACAACACAATAAGGACTTACCCCCTTTCATGGGGTTAAGTGCACAGTGACTCCTAATGTTGATTTAACTACTGACACTTATTTATGACATCAGTGATGAAGCTTTTTCTGTTCACATGACCAATGATCACTGTATTGACTGGTCAACTACCTTGCCAAAATGTACAAGCATCACTGCAAAAATCATAATTGGGAAAGAAACATACTCTCTGCCCACGCTGTACTTAAGTGCTACATCAGAGTGCACTGATGTATGACTTAGTTCCAGAGAGAGACTGTCCTACAAGAGATGAACAAGGGTAATTAGATGTTTCACTCCTAATGCTATTGTCAGGTTTTCTGTTGTAGATGCTGAAGTCATCTGGTTTTTAATGGACTCTCCATTTGCTTTCCCGTGAGGCTGCCTGATTCACTACCTCCTTAAAGGAGAAGTGTAATGGGTTAACTCTGGCCTACATTTGCCAGGTTTTATGACTCAAAGAAGGAAGGTAGAAGATTACTCTTATTGCTGTTAAAACCACATTTAGCTCACCTGGGCATAGATGGAATAAATTGGAATTAGTCCCAGCAGTTCAGCAAATTGTCCTTATGCCAGCTTTCTCCACTATATAGGAATATAATTTTTATTATATAGAAAACTCCTTTATAACTGAGTTGCATCTGTGCTTTTTATTCAGTTCCATCGAGATCTACATCTATTTTTAGGATAACTTTTAATTATAAAATTTTATATAATTTTAAGTATAATTTTTAATTTTAATATAAGCAAACTCTCCCATTTCTCTGCAAAAAAAGTCTTATTTTTCTAGATTTGCATTTTAAATTTGCCTGTTTCGTCCAAAAATCTTACTAGATTTTCACCAGAATCCTGGAATATTTGTGAAATAACTTGGTGATACATTTTGACAATGCAATCTCTATCAAGAAACATATTTTTGTATTCTTTTTAAAAATAATCCCATTTAATATGCTCTTTAAAAAAAAAGATTATTTGAAAGGCAGAGTTACAGAGAGGCACAGACAGAGAAAGAGGCCTTCCATCTGCTGATTCACTCCCCAAATGGCTGTAACGGCCGGAGCCTGGCCAATTTGAAGCCAGGAGCCAGGAGCTCCCTCCCGATCTCCCATGTGGATTCAGGGGTCCAAGGACTTGGGCCATCTTCCACTGCTTTCCCAAGCCACAGCAGAGAGCTGGATTGGAAGTGGAGCAGCCGGGACTCGAACCAGTACCCATATGGGATGCCGGCACTGCAGGCACTGTCACCCGCTATGGCACAGCACCAGCCCCTGTGTCCTTAATAATATACCTCCTCTCTTCTGTTGTTTTTTTGTTTGTTTGTTTTTCTTTACTTGCTTTGGATTAGGAAAAAGGATTAAGGGTTTTAAGAACTGAACATAAAATAAGAATAAAGGAGTTCTGAGTAAAGCATACTCAAAGCTAATTTTTCCCCTATATTTTTTTAAAATAAAGTACATGTACCTAAATACGTGACCTTATAAAATGTGGCTTGTTTCTTTAGAGGCAGTTTTTAAACTTTTGCCTTGATATCAGGTATGTATGAAATATTTTGAAGTTTTTCATGAGATCCAGAGCAGTTATGTATGTCTAGTAAACCATGTGTGGCCTGAAGGCATGTGATTAAGATACGTTGGTTCCACTGAATTGACTAGGACTATACTGCAACTCACTGCCATTTATTAGTCCTACTTATAAATACGTTGCACATCTGAGCTGTCTCCCATGAGTGAAAATCTTGGTTGACAGGGTGGGTATGTGTCTTGTTTTAAGCTTTTTCTATCTCCCATCTTTTTGGGACAGTTCCATATGTAAGGGGACTTCAAACAGTTTGAGGAAAAAAATGAATCAAAAGATAAGTTTCTTTCGACAGAAAAAAATGCTTTAAATCCGGGTATAATTTTTTTCATAAAATGTATTTTTTGTAAGCTTTTTGAAGACTCCTTGTACAGGCTGAATATCCCTTATCTGAAATGATTGGGAACAAAAGTGTTTTGGATTTGAGGATGTTTGCATGCACCTAATGAGACTGCTTAAGGATGGGATCCAAGACGAAACATGATGTTCCTTTATGTTTCATATATTACTTATACACATAGCCAGAAGGTAATTTTATACAGTATTTTAATGCACCTGCATTTTACTGTGACCTGTCACATGAAGTCAGGTATGAAATTTTCCAGTTGGACCATCACATGGATCCTCAAAAATATTTAGATTTTTGGAGCATTTGGGGTTTTAGATTTTTAGATTAAGGATACTCAACCTGTGCTACATGACTATTGAATTGACAGTGTTGAAAAGTACAAAAAAAATTCCACTAGTCTTCTAAATAATGAAATATGAAGGAAATGGTGATTTAAGTTGATTTTCCTATATTCTTTATAAGGACCATTTATAGTGTATTTGCAATAAATGAAAACATTAAGAATTATTTGGTTTGTCTTGCTTTTATCAGCTGTGTTGCCGGTTGACCCAGTTAAAGAAAATTATGTTCGTAAAGTGAAAAACTGCATTTTTTCAATTGCCTTTCCTACTCCTTTCAAATCAAGAGTTCGGCTTGTAGCAGTTTCAAAGGTTAGACTTTGTTTTTTTTTTTTTTCACACCACAAATAATTAACTCATTAAACCATTTGTCTAAAAATAGGTAATTTTTTTAGAGTCCATATTGGTTGTTTTGATAAATGACTACTCAGAGACTGTCATTGCAACAAATAATTTTTGATACTTATTCTTGGAACATAGTACTCAGTTGCATCTTAAAGTTATCTTCCAATGAAAATATGCATTTACAAAAACAGGAGGGATATGAGTTAAATTCTTATCCTACATAACTTTTAGAAATGGTTTTTAATAAATTCTAAATTGTGGTGAGATAAAAATAGGATATTTACTTTTTTCTAATGCTTTAAAAGAATTCATACTATATTATTTTTCCATGCACCAAAATAAATCCATGAAAATATAAGAATATTTACTAGAATTACCCTCATGTAGCAAAAATGATCATAGACCATATGGTACAAATTTTAGAAAAAAAAATGTATTCTTGGAAGAGCTTTATTTTTTAAAGTTTTTATTGTATTTGAGAGGGAGAAAGGGGCAGAGAGAGGACCCTCTCTTCCACGGTTCTCTCCCTAAATGCTTGCAACAGCTTGCCAATGGGCCTGAAGAGAACCCAGGAGCTGGGAACTCAGTCCAGGCTCCTGTGTGGTGGCAGGAGCTCAGTCACGCAGCCTCAGCCTCTGCTTCCCAGGATCTGCACCAGCAGGAAGCTGGAGTTGGGAGCGGAGCCGAACATTGAAATGAGGCACTCTAGAGTGGGATGTGGACATCTTTACCACTAGCTGAAAGGCCCACCCAGTTTATTCTTTTAATTGTCTTCCATTAGATCCCTTTCCTTGAAAATTTTTAAAACAGTTACTTACATGTGTAATAAGATATTTTTTCCTGCCTCAGAAAGTTCTAGAAGATATTTTGGACCTTGATTTATCTGTCTCAGAAAGAGATGAATTTATTCAGCTTGTAAGTGGTGAAAAGATCCCATTTGGATCGATTCCATTGGCTCATCGATATGGTGGCCACCAGGTAAGAGGAGCAAAACATCACTTCTCTTATGCAAATCAAAACATTTGATGGAATATACTGTCCTGTTAATTATTTTTGCATTAATTTCTGTAGTTAGTATATTGAAACTTCAACAAGATGTTTCTAAAAGACTGTGTCAATGTAAGATGCGTTTAGATTAGTGATTTCTTGCTGTGATGAAGCTACAGTTTAAACTTTTTTATTTGACAGGTAGAGATATACACAGTAAGAGAGAGAGACAGAGAGAAAGGTCTTCCTTCTGCTGGTTCACTCCCCAAATGGCCGCCACAGCCAGCGCTGCGCCGATCCGAAGCCAGGAGCCAGGTGCTTCCTCCTGGTCTCCCATGCAGGTGCAGGAGCCCAAACACTTGGGCCATTCTCCTCTGCCTTCCCAGGTCACAGCAGAGAGTTGGACTGGAAGAGGAGCAGCCAGGACTAGAACCCGGCACCCATATGGGATGCCGGCAGTGCAGGCAGCGGATTAACCAAGTGAGCCACGGCGCTGGCCCCCAGTTTAAACTTTTTTAAAAAAACTGAATTTGAAAACTGGAACAGACAGATGTAAAATTTCTGTAAATTATTGCCAGAGAACTCATTTCAATGTAGTTTCAGCAGGAGACCTAGGCAAAATCAGTAGCACAATGTGTCAATATAAAAGCCTCAGAAGGACAAATAGGTTATAATCTTGCCAGGAAAGCTGTAGAACTGGCAGAAAGGCAGTAAATCAGGATTTCTTGGGACTGTTAATACTGTAGCAATCAGGAAGCAATAATGGCACATTCTAGAATTAAAGCAAGATGTTGAAATAAGTTCAGAGAATGGTATCTGATTAATAATAAACAATGGTAATAATAAACACAAATAATGGTATCTGATTAATAAACAATGGAACATTGGATCAACTGTTGAAATTACTGTGGCTTTTCTGTAAGTTTCTGTAATTTAGCACTCATTTATTTTGGGGCTATTCTGTTAAATGCTAGTTTACTCAGGAATAATTTTTAGGACAAGTGAGAGTACTTCAGAAGATTTATAGAAAAATAGAATGAAAAGATAAGTTTATTTTGGAGCAAAAATTTTGAAATCTGTATATGAGGGGTCTTCAAAAAGTTCATGGAAAAATGCATATTATGACAAATGATAAATGTTTAAGGTGATATGCTAGTTACTCTGATTTGATCATTGTATAGTGTATACATGTTTCAAATCATCATGTTGCAGCTCATGAACAGATCTGTATAATTATGTATCAGGCTGGTGCCGCGGCTCACTGGGCTAATCCTCCGCCTTGTGGCGCCGGCACACCGGGTTCTAGTCCCGGTCGGGGCACCGGATTCTGTCCCGGTTGGGGCACCGGATTCTGTCCCGGTTGCCCCTCTTCCAGGCCAGCTCTCTGCTGTGGCCCGGGAGGGCAGTGGAGGATGGCCCAAATGCTTGGGCCCTGCACCCCATGGGAGACCAGGATAAGTACCTGGCTCCTGCCATCGGATCAGCGCGGTGCGCCGGCCGTGGCGGCCATTGGAGGGTGAACCAACAGCAAAGGAAGAACTTTCTGTCTCTCTCTCTCACTGTACACTCTGCCTGTCAAAAAAAAAAAGAAAAAAAAAAAAGAAAAAAAAATATGTATCAGTCAAAAGTAAGTAAAAACTGCATGTATTTAAAAATTTTTTGCAGCAAAATAAATGTATTTTTTAATTCCATGGTTCCATAAACTTTTTGAAGTAGCCTCAAAGGAATAAGGTTGGTGTAGGGTTTACACTAGGAGATTAAAAGTGCTTGTCTGTTGGCTGAAAAGTGCTTGTCTGTTGGCTGTAATAATAATTCTGATAGCTTCAGGGTCTGTTGTGCTGGGTTGGTAAATTCCTTTCTTCTTCAAAGTCCTGTAGGCTAAATAGTAAATTAATACAGACCATTAGAATGGAAAAGGACTTTGTCATGTATGACAAACTTCACCCTCCGTTTCTTGATCTGTAGTGTGAGAGGGTTGACATAGATCATTCCAGAAGTTATGAGAGGTACCATGGCAAAGAAATATGCTCTTGTTATTTCATACACCAGTTCTGAACCAGGGTTTTGTTGTTTTGTTTTTAAGGAAAACTATTAACTATATTTGTCTGAAACTTCTGAAGAAAATGATCCTTATGGTCCTTTGTAGTACCAAATCCAGGGACTTATGCTTCAAAAGCAATCTCACATATGAGTTAAGTTTAAGCATTTTATGCCAGTGGTCACATGTGCTGTTTAAGTACAAATATAACCCTGAAGCCCTGCAGAGAGTTGTTGTTTTTTTAGTATAGCAAGTTAGGTTAAAGCTTTTTTTTTTTAAAGATTTTATTTATTTATTTAGTGAGAGGTAGAGTTACAGACAGTGAGAGGGAGAGACGGAGAAAAAGGTCTTCCATCCTCTGCTTCACTCCCCAAATGGCTGCATTGGCCAGAGTTGAGCCAACCCCAAGCCGGGAGCCAGGAGCTTCTTCTAGGTCTCCCACATAGATGTAGTGGCCCAAGTGCTTGCGCCATCTTCCACTGCTTTCCCAGGCCATAGCAGAGAGCTGGATAGGAAGAGGAGCAGCCGGGACTAGAACCGGCACCCATATGGGATGCCTGTGCCAAGGCAGAGGATTAACTACTGCGCCACAGTGCCGGCCCCTAAGTTAAAGCTTTTTGTCAATTCCACATTCATGCCTTGCTTCTTCCTGATCTGAAATTACGTTATAAATATATTTTTTAAAAGGAGATGTTTGAAATTTCATGATTACAGTGGTGTCTATGATTTCTCTTTTGTTAAAGGAGACTTTAGCTTCTGGATTTCCCTCCCAACTCTGAGTTGTCATTCTTTCTCCTTCCTTTTCATAGTGTGGGATATACTTAGAGTATTGTCAGCTTTAGAAATTTCTAGACTATTCTGACTGTACTTGTGCTCTTCTAGCTATTCTATTGCTAAAATTAATTAGTGCCATATATTCCTGGTTAAGATGAAAAATTAAAATACTGGATAGATATTTTTCAATTTCATGTTTATTCTAGAACTTCAGGCATCATTTAAATATTCCACAACTGTTTACGGAAATCCCCGCATGTGCCAGGGGCTGTATAGGTGAATGAGACCTATCCCCTTGCCTCACATTTCTAATGCCCTAGGGAAGGTGATAGATGAATAAAGCGAGATTGTGAAAGAAGCAGATATGAGGGTTAAGGGAGCTTCAGGACCACCTTCCTACTCCTGGAATATCAGAGACACCGTTCTGGTGGAGCAGCATCTATGCTGGGAATGGAGCGATGTCTTAGTTCGGCAAGTGCTTGTTGACAATAAGAATGATCACCAATGTGGGGCACTTGGTAGATGTCCGACATAGCACGAGGTGCTTCACATACATAGTGTTCATTCTCACAGCAACCTGGCAAGGGGTCTCCCGTTTTACAGAAATGAAAGGTCCGTCTCAGTGAGATTAAGTAACTCAAACAAACTTCCACAGCTAGTAAGTGGCATAGTTGGGATAATAACAACCAGAAACTAAATTTTAAGTGAAAAATTTGAAAGCAGTGGACCATCCAAGTTCAAGAGCAATTTTTTTCAATTAAAGTATGTTCATAACTTTATATTACATTCCTATAAGTACTTCAAAGAGTTCATGGAAAGTGGAATTAAAAGACCAGTTTGTTTTTGTGCAAAAATGTTTTGAAAGCCACGTGCAGTTTTTTTTCATAATACACATTTTCCATGAATTTTTTGAGGTCCCCTTATAGTTAAGGCAAACTTTATACTTATAAATTATTTTTAGTTCACATTATTTAATTAAATAGATCAATTCTGTGTTCTATTCTACACCTAACATGCTTGAACTCAGCTCTAAGATAATGAATTATGTTTTAAATTTGTATTTTATTAAGTACATTTTACTCATGTCTTATTGATTGAATTTATTTTCATTTTTATTCCAGTTGTTGATTATTATAATCTTGAAAATATAATACTATTTTCTTAATTTTGACAAAAATGACTTTGGCTATAAAAATTACTACAAAATCTATAAACATTAATAAATGTAGATGATTTTCCTTTTTGTCTTTAGTTTGGGATATGGGCTGATCAGCTTGGGGATGGAAGAGCCCACCTTCTTGGAATTTATTTGAACAGGTATCATATGTTTTCTTGTATAAGAGATTTTCTTCTAAATATTAACCTGAATCTGCTAATATGTAGATTTTTTTTCAAGGCGGGGTGAAAAATGGGAGCTCCAGTTAAAAGGCTCAGGAAAGACACCATACTCTAGGTACAATTTGGTGATTTTTTAAAGTAATTCAAGTAACAATTGATGCTTAATTACATATGAAAATATTTTGCATTTTGTTTCCTGCAGAAATGGCGATGGCAGGGCAGTACTTCGTTCCTCAGTGAGAGAATTTCTGTGCAGTGAGGCCATGCACTACCTTGGGATTCCAACAAGCAGGGCTGCAAGGTAATTCCTCTTTCGTCTAAGCTATGCTTTAGGACTGCCTCGGGTTATATCCATAAACGTGTCAGGAAATGAAGCAGATAAATCTCTGATAGCGTGATTTCTTATAGTCTCTTCCCACTTCAAGTATTTCTGGATGGCTTGACAGCAACTGAAACATAACTTTAACTGTTGGATTCTCTCACCTTCCAGTCTGGTTGTGAGTGACGACGATGTGTGGCGAGATCAGTTCTACAATGGAAATATTACGAAAGAACGAGGTAACAGCTGTTGTAACAAAATACCTTACTTTAGGCCATTTACCAACAGCAGAAATGTGTTTCTCACGGTCTGGAGGCTGGGGAGTTCAAGATTCCATTGCCAGCAGATTGGATGTGCGGTAAGGGCCGCATTCCTGGTCGGTAGATAGAGCCTTCTTGCTGCACCCTCTCCTGGCAGAAGAAGGCTTTCTCTTGGGCTGCTTTCCTGAGGGTGTGGATCTCACTCATGGGGGCTGGACCCTCAGGACTTAATCTCCTTCCACAGGGCCCCGCCTTCTCACCTACCCTTTGCTGCTAGGTTCTAATGTATGAGTGTGGGAGTAGCATACAAACTTTCAGACCCTAGCAATATGTCTTCCCCAGTTATTAAATAATTATTTTATTTTAATCTTCTTTTTGTACTTTAAATTTTGAAAATTGACACATAATATTTGTATGTGTTTAAGAGGTATAGTATGAAAATCCAATGCACATATATGACATGTAATAATAAAATCAGGGTAGTTAGCATTTCCATCTCATCAAACATTTGTCATCTCTAAGCGTTTTTCTAAGATTCATAACCAGTAGTCCTCCAGAAGTATTCACACTTAAAAGAATGAAGTGTTATATTTACTCTAATGATATCTTTCTCTGCTTGAATTTCCTCTGGATATAGTTGTACGTGACCCTGTAACAACTATTCAAGTCGTTTTTGTTTGTGGTGATTGATAAGAGATTCCAACTATAGAACGGGAATATTGTTATGTGACTGATACAACACTACTCACATTTGTGGCTGTGATATGTATATTTATATCCTTCAATGAGTGTGTATATGTGTGTGAGTGTGTGTGTGTTTATATATATATGTTTTCATGTGTGTATGTCTGATGTTGTTTATCTTAATTCTGATCCATGATCTTCCTGGTTTCAAATGGCCCCAAATAGTTTTCTGATTAGACCATCAAAATTTCCCCACTTAAGTCTTCACATGTATTCATATGCAGATACTTGGATTGTTGTTATGCTCTGACATTTGTGTAGTGGTAAAACAAGAATAGTGCTGGGCCAGACAAATAGAACATGTGAATGCTAGAACTGGCTTTGTGGCCTGGGTAAGTCACTAAACATTCTGGCCTTCAGTGTCTCCATCTAGAATGAGGAGGTTGGCCTCGATACCTGTGTGTCTTCCAGTGCTAACATTCAGTGATCTAATGACTATTTATTAGGTAAAATATTTAGAATAATTTATTGAGCTGTTACATAGTCGCAGGTCTTAAGAAATCACAGTCATTGTAGAGATAAGACCCGAACACATGGAACAAGTAAGCAGTCAAAGATCAGAGGTCAGTAAAATGGGATCAGTTTAGCTTTATGGAGGAAGCGGGGATTGATATTGAGCATGAGGTTAGGTAGGATCTCAAGACAGGGAAACAGGGCAGTGAGGTACATGGACAAGGAGAAGCTGGCACAAAACCCAGAGGTGGCAGTGCCTGTGGTGGTCTGTTGAAGAACAGCACCCACAGAGCAGTGGCTTTCAGCACCCTGAGACAGACTTCATCTTGTCATCTAAACACATGCAAGGACAGAATTTGTAGGAGGCGGACACATTGTATCATTAATGTCTATAACCAAAACAGTAGGCAGTAGTAGAAGGCTGCAGGCAAAACGCATGGATTCATTTTATTTCTTGAGTCTTTACTGTGTTAACTTTCTTTTTTGGGGGAAGATTTATTTATGTATTTATTTTTAAAGAGATTTATTTATTTACATGAAAGAGTTTCACAGAGAGAGGAGAGGCAGAGAGAGAGATTGGTCTTCCATCCGCTGGTTCACCCCCCAATTGGCCATAATGGCCAGAGCTGCGCAGATCCGAAGCCAGGAGCCAGGAGCTTTTTCCGGATTTCCCATGTGGGTGTAGGGGCCCAAGGACTTGGGCCATCTTCTACTGCTTTCCCAGGTCCTAGCAGAGAGCTGGATCAGAAGTGGAGCAGCCAGGACTAGAACTGGTGCCCATATGAGATGCTGGCACTGCAGGTGGTGACTTTCCCTGCTAAGCCATAGCGCCAGTCCCTAGATTTATTTATTTATTTGAAAGGCAGAGTTACAAAGAGAGAGGGGGAGAGAGAGAGAGATTTTCTATCTGCTGGTGCACTCCCCAAATGGTCACAATAGCTAGGACTGGGTCAGGCTGAAACCAAAAGCGTGGAACTTCCATCCGGGTCCCCCATGTGGGTGGGAGTGGCCCAAGTACTTGAGCCATCCTCCACTGCTTTCCCATGCCCACCAGCAGGGAGCTAAACCCGAATATGTGTCGAAGGTGGTGGCCTAACCTCCTGCACCACAATGCCGGCCCTCTATGCTTATTTTCAATTAAATACCAAAACTGACGGCATTTATAAGGGCCTGTGTAAAATAAATAATTCATGAATTTTCCCTGTTTTAGAATAAGGCCCAGGGGAAGGTCACAAGTGATGATCCTAGGGAACTTGAAGCGTAGACCCTAACAGCCTCTCACACTTCAGCTAGATCAGGGCATTGCTGTTTCCAAAACCATTGAGGCCGTGAACATTCTGGCTCAGGCTGTTATAACATCAGGGAGAAAAGTGTCTGATCCTACATGGGGTAAAAATTTATTGTGATCAATTCAATGAGTGTATTTTTTTATTAAAACAATTTCATTTTTATGCATATGGCTTAAAGTAGTTTTACACTAAAATAAATGTTTCTTTTGAAGGTGCAGTAGTGCTTCGGGCTGCAAAGTCATGGTTTAGAATTGGATCGTTAGAAATTTTGGCTCACTATGGTGAACTGGATTTACTGAGGTTTGAAAATTATATTTTTTAAAGCTGTGAAAGTGGTGTTTTTCTTAGCTTTATTCAGCTAGAATGGACATACAAAAATCATACATTCAAGGTGTACAGTGTTATGTTTTGGTGTATGTACATATTGTAAAATGATTACTACAGTCAACCTAATTAATTATATTAATCACCTCATTTTTTTAAAATTTGTAATGACAGCACTTAAGATCAGCCCCTTAAAAAAAAAAGATCAGCTCCTTAGCAAATTTCGAATGCAAAATACACTGTTGTTAACTACAGTCTGTACACTAGGTCTCCAGGACTGATCTAATACTTTGTAAATATCTTCCCATTCCTTTCACCACTGCCCCCAGCTGCTGTGAATCACTATTCTGCTTTCTGATTTTATAAGATTCTCTTTTAGATTCTACGTAGAAGTAGGATCATGGGGTGTTTGCCTTTCTGTGCTTGGCATCATATCCTTCAAATTCATCCATGTTGTTGCAAATGACAAGGTTGCCTTCTTTTTTAACGCTGAATCTTGTTCTTGTTTCAAAAGTTTTTGCACCAAAATAAACTTATATTTTAATTTCATTTTTATGAATTTTTAAAACTTATATCATTTTACTTCTTTATTTTGACTATTATAAATATGATCAATATATTTTACATGTTCATTTCTTAGATTTATAGTAAAGAAAAAAATTATAATGTCCTAACAATGTGTATATTTAATTTTATAATAATTGTGCATACACATAATAATTACATATATAATTTCTAAAGTATATTTTCTTTATTCTTTTTAAATTAACAATAATTGACCATATTTATGGGCTATATCTTGGCATTTCATATATACATGCAATGTATACTGATCAAGTTGGGGTAGTCAACTTTTCCTCTTCTCTCTTTTTTTTTTTTTTAAAGATTTATTTATTTATTTGAAAGTCAGAGTTACACAGAGAGAGCAGAGGCAGAGAGAGAGGTCTTCCATCTGATGGTTCACTCCCCAATTGGCTGCATTGGCCAGAACTGCACCGATTCGAAGCCAGGAGCCAGAAGCTTCCTCCGGGTCTCCCATGTGGGTGCAGGGGCCCAAGGGCTTGGGCCATCTTCTACTGCTTCCCCAGGCCATAGCAGAGAGCTGGATCAGAAGTGGAGCAACTGGGTCTCGAACTGGCACCCATATGGTATGCCAGCGCTTCAGGCCAGGGCGTTAATCCGCTGCACCACAGTGCAGGCCCCCTTTTTCCTCTTCTCTGACATTACATTATGATTGCAGGCTTGGTGCTTGCTTCTTTCTTATATTTGCTCCAAAAAATCAGTACCAGGTTATTGTGAACTCTAGTCTCCCCACTGTGCCATGTAACACTAGGAACTTACTCTTTTGATCTAACTCTGATTTAATACTTATTCTCCAAATTCCCACCCTGCCCCCATACCACTCCCAGCCCTTAGTCACCACCATTGTGTATTCAGATTATTTTTTAGCTTCCATATTGAGGGAATACACATATTATTTGTCTTTCTGTGTTTGGCTTATTTCACTTAATATGATGTTCTCCATTTCCATCCGTTTTGCTGCAAATGATGGAATTTCATTCTTCTTTATGGCTGAATAATACTCTGTTGTGTGTATATATCTCTCTATACATATATCTCACATTTTCTTTTTTTAAAAAAGAGAAAATAGATTTTATTTAAAAGGCAGAAGAATCAAAAGGTAATTATAAAATGATAAAAGGGGCCGGCGCCGCGGCTCACTAGGCTAATCCTCCGCCTAGCGGCGCTGGCACACCGGGTTCTAGTCCCGGTTGGGGCGCCGGATTCTGTCCCGGTTGCCCCTCTTCCAGGCCAGCCCTCTGCTGTGGCCAGGGAGTGCAGTGGAGGATGGCCCAGGTGCTTGGGCCCTGCACCCCATGGGAGACCAGGAAAAGCACATGGCTCCTGGCTCCTGCCATCGGATCAGCGCGGTGTGCCGGCCGCAGCGCGCCGGCCGCGGCGGCCATTGGAGGGTGAACCAACGGCAAAGGAAGACCTTTCTCTCTGTCTCTCTCTCTCACTGTCCACTCTGCCTGTCAAAAAAAAAAAATAAATAAATAAAAAAAATAAAAAATAAAATGATAAAAGGGACAATTCTCCAAGAATATATAATAATTATCAATATATTAAACTAATTTTAGAAAAACTAAATATATTAAGCAAACACTGAGTGAATTAAAACAAAAAATAAATACCAATACTTTAGTTATAAGATATTTTAATATTCTATTCCCAATAGTGGGTAGAATATTCAGACAGAAAATCAATGAGGAGACAGTGAACTCAGACAATACTATAGAATAAATGGAACTATCAGACATAAGATTAGGAACAAGGCAAGGATACCATTGCTACTACTTCTTTTTTTTTTTTTTTTTTTTTTTTTTTTTTTTTTTTTTAGACAGGCAGAGTGGACAGTGAGAGAGAGAGACAGAGAGAGAAAGGTCTTCCTTTGCCGCTGGTTCACCCTCCAATGGCCGCCGCTGCAGCCGGCGCACCGCGCTGATCCTGGCAGGAGCCAGGAGCCAGGTGCTTTTCCTGGTCTCCCATGGGGTGCAGGGCCCAAGCACCTGGGCCATCCTCCACTGCACTCCCTGGCCATAGCAGAGAGCTGGCCTGGAAGAGGGGCAACCGGGACAGAATCCGGCGCCCCAACCGGGACTAGAACCCGGTGTGCCGGCGCCGCAAGGTGGAGGATTAGCCTATTGAGCCACGGCGCCGGCTCATTGCTACTACTTCTATACTCAGTGTTACATTAGAAGTTTACCCAGAGAAATTAAAAGAGGGGAAAAATAAAATGCTTCCAAATTTGAAAGTAAAAAGTAAGATTTCATCTATTTGTGCGATGTGCTTTCATACAAAGAAACCACAAATACAAAACAACCGAGCAATGGGCTGGCGCCGCAGCTCACTAGGCTAATCCTCCACCTACGGCGCCGGCACACCGGGTTCTAGTCCCGGTCGAGGCGCCGGATTCTGTCCCAGTCACTCCTCTTCCAGTCCAGCTCTCTGCTGTGGCCCAGGGAGTGCAGTGGAGGATGGCCCAAGTGCTTGGGCCCTGCACCCACATGGGAGACCAGGAGGAAGCACCTGGCTCCTGGCTTCAGATCAGTGCGGTGTGCCGGCTGCAGCATGCCGGCCGCATAGGCCATTGGGGGGTGAACCAATGGAAAAGGAAGACCTTTCTCTCTGTCTCTCTCTTTCACTGTCCACTCTGCCTGTCAAAACAAAACAAAACAAAACAAAACAACCAAGCAAACCAAATCCATTAAAACTAAAACGCAATCAGTAAAGTCATAGTATACAAAATGAACATATAAAAAGCAGGTGTGGTTCTGAAGACTAGAACGAACTATTGGAAATGGAAATTTATGGAGGAGAGAGGGAGAAGGCATCACCCTTTGCTCAGAACTGCATATATAAAATATGTGAAATCTGTTCTCCCCACATAACAAAAAATAAACATTAAAATATCAAAAAAGAAAGGGAACATGTTCTGTTGGCCATCCTAAAATGGATATGTCTTACTGCTACTTGAAAATATAATTTTTAGTGATATATATAATGGAAAATTAAAGAAAATCATTTTATGTATAATATTATAAAAACCATTTTAAAAAGTCCCATTATGAATATAGCCAAAAAATTAAAGTACTTATTAAGTAACCACTTGGGATGTCCATATCTCATATCAAAGTGCCTAAATTTCAGTCCTGGCTACTCTACTTCTGATCTACCTTCCTGCTAATATATACTCTTGGAGGACCATATTGTCTTTATCCATTCATGATGGACATCTTGGTTGACGCCATATATTGGCTGTACTGACTATAGCTCCAATAAATATAGTGGAGCAGGTATCTCTAAGGAATGTTTATACTGTTTTCTATAGTGGCTATACTAATTTATATTCCCATCACCTCTAATCCAGTTCTATTTCTAATTTTTTAAAATGATTTATTTGTTTATTTGAAAGGCAGAATTACAGAAAGAGAGAGAGACAGAGAGAGATCTTCCCATCCGCTAGTTCACTCCCCAAATGGCCGCAATGGCCAGAGGTCTACCAATCTGAAGCCAGGAGCCTGGAGCTTCTTCTAGGTCTCCCATGTGGGTGCATTTTTTATTGGTTTTGAAGAAATATTTCTCCCTGGCTTTTTTGGGGAGGCAAGGAAAATATTATTAAAATCTTTACATTTTAAGCCTGATCTCATGACTTAATAAATATCAAGGTTGAGCTTAGGTGCTTGTGTATTCAATATTGTATTCTGATGAACACAAATGCTGTCTCCTTTTTCCCTCTAGGACATTATTGGATTTCATCATTCAGGAATATTTCCCCTCAGTAAATGTCAAAGAACCTAATAGATATGTGGTAAGTTTTTTTTTTTTGTTTTTAATTAATTAATTTATTTGAAAGTCAGAGTTAGACAGAGAGAGGAGAGGCAGAGAGAGCGAGGTCTTCCATATGCTGGCTCACTCTCCAATTGGCTGCAATGGCCGGAGCTGTGCTGATCTAAAGCCAGGAGCCAGGAGCCTCCTCAGGGTCTCCCACGTGGGTGCAGGGGTCCAAGGCCTTGGGCCATCTTCTGCTGCTTTCCCAGGCCATAGCAGAGAGCAGGACAGGAAGTGGAGCAGCGCCCTTATGGGATGCCGACGCCTCAGGCCAGGGCGTTAACCCACTGTGCCACAGTGCCAGCCCTGATATGTGGTAAGTTTTTTTTTTGTTTTTTGTTTTTTTTTTGTTTTTTGTTTTTTGTTTTTTTGACAGGCAGAGTGGACAGTGAGAGAGAGAGACAGAGAAAAAGGTCTTCCTTTTTGCCGTTGGTTCACCCTCCAATGGCAGCCGCACCGCGCTGATCCGATGGCAGGAACCAGGTGCTTCTCCTGGTCTCCCATGTGGGTGCAGGGCCCAAGCACTTGGGCCATCCTCCACTGCCCTCCTGGGCCATAGCAGAGAGCTGGTCTGGAAGAGGGGCAACCGGGAAAGACTCCGGCGCCCCGACCGGGACTAGAACCCAGTGTGCCGGCGCCGCTAGGTGGAGGATTAGTCTAGTGAGCCGCGGTGCCGGCCATGTGGTAAGTTTTTAAAGAGGAAATGCAATATAGGCACAAGTTGCTTAACGGACAGAGATGTTCTGAGGATTGCATCACTAGTATTGTTTGCACATTAGAGTGTGTGGACACATACCTGTGCTATAAGGGAATAACCTGTTCCAGGCTGCAAAGCTACACAGCATATTACTGTAGTGAATACTGTAGGCAATGGTAATACCATGAGAAGTATTTGAAAAAGATACAGTAAAACTATGGCATACTAAATAAAAGAGGGCCCCACTGTGCAAGGTCTGCAGGACAGTTGCTCTGAGTGAGTCAGTGTCAAGTCCTAGGACACTGCTGTACACTACCACAGGCTTTATAAACACTGCAGATTTTTTTTTAAGATTTTATTTATTTATTTAGGAGTTAGAGTTAACAGACAGAGATAGGGAGAGACACAGAAAGAGGTCTTCCATCTGCTGGTTTACTCCCTAAATGACAACAATGACCAGAGCTGAGCCAACCTGAAGCCAGGAGCCAGGAGCTTCTTCTGGGTCTCCCTTGAGGGTACAGGGGCCCAAGCACTTGGGCCACTTTCCACTGCTTTCCCAGGCCATAGCAGAGAGCTGGATCAGATGAGGAACAGTTGGGACACGAACCAGTGCCCATATGGAATGCTGGCACCACAGGTGAGGCTTAACCTGCTATGCCACAGCACCTGCCTCAACACTGCAGATTTAGGGGACACTAAATTCATTAAAATTTTTCTTTCTTTAATGATAAGTTAACCTCAGGTTACTGGAACACTTTTATTTTATAAACTTTTTAAAATTTATTTTTATTTTACTTTTTAAATTTGAGAGGCAAAATTTGGGCAGATGCACACACACATGTGTACACACGCACATAGACACACACACAGCTCCCATCCACTGATTCACTCCCCAGGTGCCCACTATGCTGTGACTGGACTAGGCTGAAGCTGGAAAATCTAAGAACTCAATCCAGGTCTCCTATGTGGATGATAGGGACTTAACTACTTGCTGTCTCCCAGGGTCGACCTTAGGGAGAAGCTGGCATCAGGAGTTAGTGCCAGGGATCCAACTGGGGTACTCCTACATGGAATGCAGGCATATGTGTGTTCCACTGTTGGCCAAGACATCATTATGTGGCACATGACTGTACTCTGTCTTCTCTCTGTGGCCTGCCACTGTTAGAAATTACTGCTTAGAATTCTAAAAATCAGTTAGGAAAGGAAGTGTAGAGCACTTTGAACATTTTGTTACAGGAAGATAAGATGAACCACTTCATAAACAGGACATCAACATGACAGTTGCTTCATTTGAAATATACCTACCAAAAGAGGACAGGTGTTCCTAAATCCTAACTGCATACATTATGTTTTGAAAAGCATTTGTAACTTGGTCCCATATATTATTTTTTGCACATGAGGTTTGTAGATATTGCTATGTTAGCAATGTCAAATAAACATATTAAACATAATATGTAGTATGAAAATGTGATTCCAGTTTTTGTGAGAATTTTTATTAGTAATTTTATCTCTAAAATATTTTTCAGAGACATATAAAAATTATACATATTTATGTGCTATCGTATGATGTTTTGATAGTGTGTGCATTATGTAAGGTCCAGTCAGGGTAAATGTATCTCCTTAAACCTTTAACAATTCTTTATGGTAAAGACAAAGTCTTGCTTTCTAGTTTTTCTTTTTCTTTAGAGAACCATACAGTATACGTTAACCTTACCTATTTTCAGCCTTGTTAGTACCTGTCAATCAACCTTTTTCTACTCTTCCCCCCCTTGCCTCCCCAGCCTCTGGTAGCCACTATTGTATTTATACAATATACATATACATTATTATATTTTACATTGTACATATACACATACATTATGCATCTGCATCTCTTTATATTCCATATATGGGTGAGATCATGTCGTATTTATCTTTCTGTGCTTGGCTTATTTGAGTTAGTACAGTGATCCCCCCCAGTTGCATCCATGTGGTTGCCAATGACACGATTTTACCCTTGCTTATGGCTGAGTAGTAGTCTGTTAGCTATATATATATATATATACACACACACACACACACACACACATACATATACATATACCTATATATATACGCACACACCACAATTTCTTTATCCATTTGCCAATAGATAGGTACTGGGTTGTTTCCATTTCTTGGCTATTGTGAATAATGCTGCAATAAACACAGGAGTGCAGATGTTACTTTGACAGATGGATGTCATTTCCCTTGGATAAATACCTACTGGTGGGATTCCTGGATCATATGGTAGTTCTGTTTTTTATTTTTTAAAAGAACATCTGTACTGTTTTCTACTTTGTTGGTCTGAGTTTATATTCCCGCCAACAGTTTGCAAGGGTTGCCTTTCTTCAGCACTTGTTATCTTTCATCTTTTCGATAATAGCCATTTTAACTGGAGTGCGGTGATACCTCAGTGTGGTTTTGATTTGCATTCTCCTGATGATCAGATGTTGAACACCGTACCTGGTGGCTATTTGAATGTCTTCCTTTGAGAAATATCTGTTTAAACCTTGCCCATTTTAAAAAATTGGGTTATTTATTTATTTATTTACTTATTTATTTGCTATTGAGTTGTTTGAGTCCCTTATAACTTCTGGTTATTAAGCCCTTCTCAAATATACAACTTGAAAATAATTTCTAGATTGTCTCTTTGCTCTGTTGAGCATTGTCTTCGCTGTGCAGAAGCTCTTAGTTTGATGAAATCCCATGTGCCTATTTTTGCTTTCATTTTCTGTGCTTTTGTGGCCTGATTCAAGAAAGTCTTGCCGATTCGAATGTCCTGAAGCATTTCCCCTAGTATTAGTTTCAAAAGTTCTGGTCTTACATTTACATCTTCAGTCTATTTTGTGTTGGTTTTTGTACATGGTAAGAGAGAGGAGTCTGGGCCGGCGCCGTGGCTCAAATAGGCTAATCCTCCGCCTTGCGGCGCCAGCACACCGGGTTCTGTCCCGGTTGCCCGTCTTCCAGGCCAGCTCTCTGCTATGGCCCGGGAGTGCAGTGGAGGATGGCCCAAGTCCTTGGGCCATGCACCCACATGGGAGACCAGGAAAAAGCACCTGGCTCCTGGCTTCGGATCAAAAAAAAAAAGAGAGAGGAGTCTGGTCCATTCTTCTGCATGTGAATATTCTGTGTCCCCACCCTGTTCCTTAAGAAGACTGTCCTTTCTTCAATGTGTGCTCTTAGCACTTTTGCCAAAGATCAGTTGCCAGTGATGCATGAGTTTAATCTAGGGTTTGTGGAAACTTTTAATTTGTATAATCTCTTTTCATTCTTTGATAATCTCCAAGAAGGGAGTTCCTTTTTTGTTTATTTGTTTCTTTGGTGACATGTTTCAAAGTTAAAATTTTGTAAATCACAGAATTTAATTTCATTATGCTAGATTTTTGCTTTTACGTTTCTGATTAGACATGAGACATTTGATCATAATACTGGATCTGAGCTTTATATTATTTCCGGATGAGTAATTTTTACCTTCTACCATTTTTCCTACAAGTGATCATTCCTGTTCTTTTAGTCATCTCTGACATACCTTTGAATTCCCATGTTCTGCCAGTGCCTTATCAGATAATCCTAAGAGTATGCCATAAATCATTGGAAAATCTGAGAACTTCTAATTTCATTTTAGGATTTTTTTTCCATCGTGGTATCTGAGACGGCACAACTTATTGCCTTGTGGATGTCTGTTGGTTTTGCTCATGGTAAGTTATCTATTTATATTATAATTTGTTGAAGTAGAATAGAAGAAGTTATCTATTTACATTATAATTTGTTGAAGTAGAAGACTTTCTTGTGTTTTCAAAAAATATTCCTGCTCTTGACCTTCTTTTGTTTTTAATGTATAATTTTTTACAACAGAGAAAATTTTTTTTTAATGTTTGAAGTTGCTTTGGATGGAAAAGTAATAACAAAATAGGGTGATGTTACCTGTGAAGCTCTTGAACCTTAGACTTACATGTATGAGTATATGGGGGTACCTCAGAAAAGCTTGCGGGGGCTTGGCATGAGGCCCAGCAGTTAAGGTGCTGGTGAAGATGCCTGCATTCCATGTTGGAGTACCTGGTTTTGACACCCAGCTTTGCTCCTGCTCCACCTTCTTAGTAATGCAGACCTTCAGAGGCTCAGAGATAGCTCAAGTAACTGGGTTCCCGGCACCCACATGACAGACCTAGATTGAGTTTCAGGCTCCTGGCTTCAGCTCAGGCCCTATCTGGGCTATTGCCAGCCTATGAGGAGTGGATCAGTCTATGGGGACTCTATCTCTGTGTCTGTCTCTCTCTTTCTCTCTGTCTCAAATTAATTAATTAATCAAATGTTTTTAATTTTTAAAAAAGATTTATTTATTTGAAATGCAGATGGAAAGAGAGAGAGAGAGAGAGAGAGAGAGATCCATCTTCCATCTTCCATCTCTTGTACGCTCCCCACTTTTACCCACAACACCAGCCCCAGATGTTTTCAGTTTTTAAAAGTTTGTGGAACTTGTGTGTTATTAAAAAAAACTGCATGGGTTTCAATGATTTTTTGACCACAGAAACTATGTTTTAGTTCTATTTTCCCGTGAACTCTTTGGAGTACCTATGTAAATAATTTTTAAAAGTCTAGATGAATTGATTTGAAATGATTAACAGTGATTACCTTGTGCAGTGAAACTCCCACTCACTCTTGTGCATTTTAAATTATTTACTATTAAACATGTGGTAATTTTTTTAATTTTAAAATTTAAAAATATCTTTAATGAGATCTGAATATAATATATTAGAGTCCTTCAAAAATATCATGGAAAATGGAATTATAAATTATTTTGTGCAAAAAATTTGATATGTTTGCATAAAGTTTTTGTGATATATGTGTCTCACAAACTTTTTGAAGACTTCATATAGATGTTTCCCACCCAAAAAAAAAAGATGGCAGTGCTCGTCATACTGCCCATATTCCATAGCTAATGACTGTCATGCAGATACATATTCATACTTTTATCTTTTCACAATCCTTTAAGATTAATTAATCTTACTCTTTACTAGTCTCAGTCCCATTCCAAATAATATATGTTCTTTATCCAGTGCTTGAAATGGAGAATAAATAAAGGAGCACATTCCATTTGATAAGGTAGTGGGTTTGTAAAACAAAAGACTCAAGTTCATTTTAAAGTATAGTTTTAGGGGCGTGCATGTGTGCATTGTGGCTCAGCAGGTTAAGTCACCACTGCAACACCCATATCCTATTTGGAAGTGCCTGCCTTTGAACTGTGGCTGCTTCATGCTTCTGATCCAGCTTCCTGCTGATGGACCTGGGAGGCAGTACATGATGACTCAGGGACTCGGATTTCCAGCACCCATGTGGGAGACCTGGATGGAGTTCCTGAGTCTTGGTTTCAACCTCACCCAGCCTGGCTGTGAGCCATCTGGGAAGTGAACCAGCACGAGGAAGATAGTTCTCTTTCTCTGTCTCCCCACTCTCCCTTCCAATAAATAAATCTTATGTATCTATATTTTTACCATATTTGATATCATCATTTAAATTGACAGTTTTTTAAATGTTTGAGTTATTTATTTGAAAGGCAAAGCTACAGAGAGAGAGAAAGAAAGAGAGATAGAGATTTTCCATTGGCTGGTTCACTCCCCAGATGGCCACAACAGCCGGGCCTGGGCTAGCTTGAAGCCAGGAGACTGGAACTTCATCGAGGTCTCTCATGTGTGTGCAGGGGCCCAAGGACTTGGGTCATCTTCTGTTGCTCTACCAGATGCCTTAGCAGAGAGCTGGATTGGAAGTGGAACAGCCGGGACTTAATTGGCACCCATATGGGATGCTGTCATTGAAGACGGTGGCTTCCTCCGTGCTACAACACTGGCCCCTTAAATTTATAATTTATAATCTAATTTCTTTCATCTCTAAAACAAATGACTTTTCCATGACCTTTCCATTCTGGATAATTTTATAGAGTTTAAATAACAATTATTTTGAAAGTATTGTGGTTTTAGAAATTTCTTTGTTTTTTTTCAGGTGTTTGTAATACTGATAACTTTAGCTTATTATCCATCACAATTGATTATGGTCCATTTGGTTTTATGGAGGCCTATAACCCAGGTATGTTGTGGATGTGTCTGTCTGTGTGTACCTGTGTATACATTTTCACCAAAAAATCCTTGCAAGTTTATTTTGAATACACTGTCACGGAGAACACATTAATAGGGTGGGAAAGAACTGGTTTCATTCACAAAATGGCCATTTTTAAGTGGCGGTTAGACCTTCCAGGTGCCATGAGCCATATAACCATGACTCCTTCTCGGTCTGTGCCCTCAAAGAATTGCATACCGGAAAAGAAAGGTGGGGTGTGGGCCTGAGCTCTGGTGTCCGATCCTCCATGGCTGTCTGCCTTTGCAAAAGTGACTTGACCTGTCTTTATGAATACATAAAATAGAAATAACGATAGAACAATACTTACCACTGGAGGGACCAGAGAAAGCTTTTTGGAGGACATTTAATGGACTTGGAGTTTGATGTGTGATAAAGTGGAAATTCTTGTAGAAATGCTCATACTTAAAAAGCTTTGAGTGAATATGGGGAGGTATTGGGTATTCATATACCTTTGAGTTAAATATTTGATGTTGGGAAGATTTTTAGCTAATGAGTATAAATTCATTAAGTGTAAGTAAAAACTTAAAGAAGCTATTTATTGTAATTATCCTCACCGTAAATCTATGGTATTTGTCTTAAACAGATTTTGTACCAAACACATCTGATGATGAAAGAAGATATAGAATAGGAAATCAGGCCAATATTGGGATGTTTAATTTAAACAAGTTGTTACAAGCATTAAACCCATTACTGGATCTTAAGCAAAAGCAACTGTGAGTAAATCCTAAATTACTAATTAAATCTATGTGGAAGTGTATTTCTATAACAATCATTTTTTGAAAAGCCAGAAAGCTACATTTTAAAAACCATCATATTATTTAATATTTAAAAATGAAAGCATTAGGCCGGCGCTGTGACTCACTAGGCTAATCCTCCGCCTTGCGGCGCCGGCACACCAGGTTCTAGTCCCAGTCGGGGCGCCGGATTCTATCCCAGTTGCCCCTCTTCCAGGCCAGCTCTCTGCTGTGGCCAGGGAGTGCAGTGGAGGATGGCCCAAGTGCTTGGGCCCTGCACCCCATGGGAGACCAGGAGAAGCACCTGGCTCCTGCCATCAGATCAGTGTGGTGCGCCGGCTGCGGCAGCCATTGGAGGGTGAACCAATGGCAAAGGAAGACCTTTCTCTCTGTCTCTCTCTCTCATTGTCCACTCTGCCTGTCAAAAAAAAAAAAAAAAAAAAAAAGCATTTCAAGGTGTATATTTTTTTCTAGTACAATTTTTTTTCCTGTAAGTTAAGGGTAATTTTTCCTTATTTATTGCTTTTGAGATGTTGTGAAATCTTATTTTGTTTCCTATTTGGTCCAAAGGTTATTTTCTAAGTAGTTGGAATTGTCTTATTTTGTCCATATATTTTTCAGATTGATTTATTTATTTGAAAGGCAGAGTTACGGAGATGCAGAAGCAGAGGATTTAATGTGTCAATTTTAATGTATTATTCAAGTCCTTTGTGACTATTTTTTATTTATTGGATAACTTTGATTTGTAAGAGATGCATATCAAAAGCTTCTACTTTAATTGTAATTTATCAAGTTATTTTGCTCTAATTGTTTGAAATTTATGTACTTTGCTATTATATTATTGATTCATACAGGTATTTTTTTAACTTACATTTTTTTTAAGATTTTTTATTTATTTATTTGACAGGTAGAGTTACAGGTAGAATTACAGACAGTGAGAGAGAGACACAGAGAGAAAGGTCTTCCTTCCATTGGTTCTCCCCGCAAATGGCTGCTATGGCCGGCGCGCTGCGCTGATCCAAAGCCAGGAGCCAGGTGCTTCCTCCTGGTCTCCCATGCAGGTGCAGGACCCAAGCACCTGGGCCATCCTCCACTGCCTTCCCGGGCCACAGCAGAGAGCTGGACTGGAAGAGGAGCAACCTGAACAGAATCCGGCGCCCCAACCGGGACTAGAACCCGGTGTGCCGGTGCCGCAGGCAGAGGATTAGCCTAGTGAGCCGGGGTGCCGGCCACGAAAGTACCTTTTATCCTAACAATGGGTGCCTTTATTCTGATTAGTCTTTTTAACCCTCAGTTTCATTTTATCTAACATTAATATTGCTGTTCATGCTTTCTTTTTGTTAGGTTTTCCTTGATTCTCGCTTTATGTTCTCCTTTTCTCAACATGCATTTCTTGTAAAAAGAAACAAACTATATAGCAAACTTTTAATTCAGTGTGATGGTTTTTACCCTAGTAAATGTGTCTGGCCTGTTCTCATTTATTAGAGCAATTGACTCATTCTATTTCTTCTGTCTTACATTGTGTTTCATCCTTATTGATTTTCGTGCCCTCTTTCTGTATCTTTTTCTGATTTGAGCTATTGATTGCTTTTTTTCTGCTTTGTTAGTTTGGAAAGTCTACTGAGAAACATTTTCTTGATTCACTGTTAGTTAGCTATTCTTTCCCACCACTTTCTCTACTGTTATGTGAAGTTTTCATATATTTTACAATATTATATAAAAGCAAGTTTTCCAAGTATTTCCCAATATATTTTTAAAGATTCTAATGATCTTTGAATACTAGGATTCTGCTTGCTTGTTGCTTTCTCCTCTCTCACAATGAGATGCTACCTTTAGAATGCTTGTGTTTTACCTCTGGTTATCCAATGGCTAGAGTCTGCTAAGACAGTGTAGTACTCTGAACCGCAGGCTGTTAGATTCTCCCTTGAAGTTGATTTCTTCCGTTTTAAGAGTTTTTGCCTTCAACATTCCCCCACTCTTCCAGTCATTTCACTGCCTATGTCCTTTTTGTTTTTTCCTCATGACTCCATATTAAAGTCTGTGCCTTGGTTACTTTCTCAAGTATTTCACTTATATGGGGTTTATAGGTGATACTGTTTCTGAATGTGAACCACCCATGTTTTAGTTTTGTTGTGACTAATGATTGACATTACGGTGTCAGAGTGTGGACTCAGTTGGGTGTAACATGTATTATCATGCCTACTTATCCGTAGACCTGAGCCATATTTTCCAGATTGGCCTTTTCAGTCAATTGAAATTTCAGTCTGCACCTGTCTGTGGTGTGGTCTCATTCTGAACTTAGGCTGAGCTGAAAAGGGAACATGATTGCTGTTTTTAAACAACAGAGTAAATAATAGATATACAAATTCATAATGTTGATAATTATGTAAATAAATAAACAAAACACTGACGTTGTATAGCATATTAGGAGATAAGTACTGTTGGGGCAAATAAAAGAGAGGATTGGGAATACAGAGAGGGAGGGGTTTGGAGTTTTAAAAGAATGGTCAGTGGGCCCGTGCTGTGGCATAGTGGGCTAAGCCTCCACCTGTGGCACGGAATCCCATATGGGTGCCAGTTCTAGTCCTGGCTGCTCCTCTTCCAATCCAGCTCTCTGCTATGGGGCCTGGGAAGGCAGTGGAAGATGGCTCAAGTGCCTGGGCCCCTGCACCCACGTGGGACACCTGGAAGAACTGGGGAGTGAACCAGCAGTTGGAAGACTTCTCTCTAACTCTACCTCTCAAATAAAATAAATAAAAGTCTTAAAAAAATAAAAATAAAAGGAATGGTCAGCAAAGGCCTCACTTGAGCAAAGGCTTGAAGGGATTGTGGGAACAACACACACAGGTATTTGAGGAAAGAGCACTATGGGTAATGGAGTAGCCTATGCAAAGGCCCTGTGGTGAGAGTTTGTGTGGTGTGCTTTAAGGTACAGCAGGAAGGCCAGTGTGCTTGCAGCAGAAAAACCAAGAGGGAGAGTTAGAGATGAGGTCAGAAAGATAAAGAGAGTGGGACTCAGACTGTGTTCAGCTTTTATAGAAGTTAAAGTACATTTAAGGATCTTAAGACAGATATTTAAGGATGAGTACAAAGTTGAGAGTTCTGATTTTTATATATTTTAAATGTTTCATTATTTTATCATACTTTCAGATAAATAAAATGTTATCCTCAGGGCCAGCACTGTGGCATAGCCACATAGTCACTGCCTCCAGTGCCAGCATCCCATATGGGAGCTGGTTCAAGTCCGGTCTGTTCCTCTTCCTATCCGGCTCTCTGCTATGGCGTGGGAAAGCTATAGAAGATGGCCCAAGTGTTTGGGCCCCTGCATCTGCATGGGAGACCTGGAAGAAGCTCCTGGCTCCTGGCTTCAGATTGGCTCAGCTCTGGCTGTTGTAGCCATCTGGGGAGTGAACTGTTGGAAGAAAGACCTCTCTCTCTGCCTCTGCCTCTCTGTAACTTTGCCTTTTGTTTAAAAAACAAAACAAACACAAGCTTCTTTTTAAAAAATGTTATCCTAATGGATGAGGTCTATGGTTATAGACCTTGTGTGTTATTTTGGATATAATTTAAAAAATATACCAAGAAATTCATTTATATAACTCTCTTGGTCTTAAAGAGGCGTATCAGCATTTATCCTATAAAGTAATTATTTATAGTGATGTTTTAATAGTGACATGATTTGACATGTATTATATTTGAATTGTTGTAACTTTATTTATTTTCATATTACTTAATTTGAAAGGAAGAGAGAATCTTCTATGTACTGGTTCACTCCCCAAGTGCCCACAACAGCCAGGGCTGGGACAGGTCAGAGCCAGGAGCCCAGAACTCAATCCAGATCTCTTGCATGGGTGGCAAGGACTCAAGTACTTGAGCCATCATTTGCTGCTTAGCTCATCAGCAAGAAGTGCTCATCAGCAGGAAGCTGGAATCCAAAGCAGAGCTGGAACTCTGATATGGGTTGAGGACATCCCAAAGTGTACCTTAACCTCTGTGCCAAATGTCTGCCTTCATGTATCTAAATTTTTGAGGCAACAAATTTATATTGATAGGTTTCTCTACAACATGGTGCATAGTTGAACCACTAAATCAGAATAACTAGCATGTAATATCCATGTTACTTAACATGAGAAGGTTCACTTTCTTCTTATATAAGATGCAATTTGAAAATTTTTTTTTTTTTTTACAAATTTGTCCATCTGTTTTAAAGGCAGAGTTACAGAGAGAGAGAGAAGGAGAAAGAGAGAGAGATATCAATCTTCCAACTGCTAGTTCACTCCCCAAATGGCAGCAATGACCAGGGCTGGGCTGTGCTGAAGCCAGGTGCTTTGTCCCAGTTTCCCACATGAGTTACAGGGGCCCAACCACTTGGGGTATCCTCCACTGCTTTCCCAGGCCATTACAAAGAGCTCCATCGGAAGTGGAACAGCTGGGACAGGAACTGATGCCCATATGGGATGCTGGCATTGCAGGTGGCGGCTTAATTCACTATGCCACAACACAGGCCCAAGAATGTTAATTTTTAATCAAAGTTTAACTGTACTTTTTTTTTCTTTCCATAGTGCTGTTCAGATTCTTGGGACATACCCTGATGTTTATTATACAAGGTTTGTCACTTTTTAAATACAACTATTAAAACATCCTAGTTGGTTTGAGAACAGTTTTCAAAATAGTGAGAATTTTAATTAAAAAATTGAATTGACGTTTCTCCTTTTAGATTCAGAAACTTGTTCAAAGCCAAATTGGGACTACTTGGAGAAAGGCAGGGTGATGATGATTTAATTGCATTTCTCTTACATGTGAGATGATCATTTTATCTTTTTTCCCCTCATTTACATTTGAATTACTATTGGGCCTACTTCTGGAAAACTGCAATTGATAAATATAATTACTTTCATTAGCTCATGGGAGAGACACAGGCTGATTTCACAATGACGTTTCGGGAGCTCAGCGAGATTACTCAACGGCAGCTACTGGAGCTCAGTATTCCCCAGGTATTCACTTGTGGATTTGACTTTCTTCATTTCCCTTTTTTATATTGGCATATAATTCACATACTATAAAATTCCATTTATTTTACGTGTACAGCTCAATGATTTTTCATAGTTAATGGATTTGTATGATCATCACAATTGAGTTTTAGAATAGTTCCACAAAGGTCCCTTGTGCGCATCTGTAGTCTGTTTCTGACTCCAAGCAACTGCTTATCTAGTTTCTGCCCTGAAAGGTTTTCACTTCCTATGTATTGCCTAAAAATGGAATCAAACAATATATGGCCTTTTTTAAAAAAGATTTATTTTATTTATTTGAAAGATAGAGTTACAGAGCGAGGTAGAGACAGAGAGAGAGAGAGAGAGAGAGAGAGGTCTTCCATCCGCTGGTTCACTCCCCAAATGACCACAACGCCAGAGCTGAGCTGATCTGAAGCCAGGAGTCAGGAGCCAGGAGCCAGGAGCCAGGAGCCAGGAGCCAGGAACCAGGAGCTTCTTCTGGGTCTCCCACATGGGTGCAGGGGCCCAAGAACTTGAGCCATCTTCCACTGCTTTTCCAGGCCATAGCAGAGAGCTGGATCAGAAGTGGAGCAACTGGGACTCGAACCGGTGCCTATATGGGATGCTGGTGCTGCAGGCCGCGGGGTGGCTTTAACCTGCTGCGCCACAGCACTGGCCCCCACAATACATGGCCTTTTACAATGAACTTTTTCACTTAGTGTATTTTTGAGGTTCATCCATGTTGTTGTCAACATCAGGACCTCCTTCCTCTCCATCACTGACTGCTAGTACAACGTGGTATATCACTGTATGGCTGTACCACACTCTGCTTAACCAGTTCCTGGCTGACATTTAGATTGTTAGATGTTTTGACTGCTGGAAACAAATGTCACTTTACAATAAAGTTAAAGGTTTTGTGGGGCTGGCGCTGTGGCTCAGTGGGTTAATGCCCTGGCATGAAGCGCCAGCAGCCCATATGGGCGCCGGTTCTAGTCCCGGCTGCTCCTCTTCCAATCCAGCTCTCTGCTATGGCCTGGGATAGCAGTAGAAGATGGCCCAAGTCCTTGGGCCCCTGCACCCACGTGGGAGACCTGGAAGAAGCTCCTGGCTCCTGGCTTTGGATTGGTGCAGCTTCAGATTGGCCATCTGAGGAGGGAACCATCGGATGGAAGACCTCTCTCTGTAACTCTGTCTTTCAAATAAATAAAAATAAATCTTTAAAAAAAAAGTTAAAGCTTTTGTGTGAACATAGGTCTTCATTTCGCTGGGGCAGATATTAGGGGCGGGATTGCCAAATTGCTTAGGAGTTATGTTTAACTTTTTAAGAAACTACCTAACCTGGGTGGGCATTGTAGCCCTGGGTTAAGCCACCTCATCCCCTATTGGAGTGCCTGGGATCAAGTCCTGCCACTGCTTCCAATCCAGCTTCCTACTCACACATACTCACACATCTCTCCATCTGTCTCTGTCTCTCTGCCTTTCAAATAAATAAAAACAAATAAATAAACTTTAAGGAAAAGAAATGACTAAACTGTTTCTTAAGTGGCTGCACTTACTTCAGTTTTAAGAATACGCATTACTGTTTAATTTCAGTGCTAATACGTTGTGTTTATGGAATGATGTGGGTATTGCCAGAAGACTCTTACTTGTAGTTTTTGAAACAGATCTATAAGGCCCAATTCTTTTAGATTTCAATCATTGCTTTTATTATTTTTGAGGTTAAACCCCAATTTTTTAAAAAAAGATTTATTTATTTGAAAGGTAGAGTTACAGAGAGAGAGAAGGAGACACAGAGAGAGAGAGAGGTCTTCTATCCTTTGGTTCACTTCCCAAAGGACCACAGTGACTGGGCCTGGGCCAGGCAGAAGCCAGGAGCCAGGAGCTTCTTGTGGGTCTCCCACATGGGTGCAGGAGCCCAAGGATTTGGGGCATCCTCTGCTGCTTTCCCAGGTGAATTAGCAGGGAGCTGGATCAGAAGTGGAGCAACTGGGACATGAACTGGCACTCACATGGGATTAACCTGCTGAGCCATAGTGCCAGCCCTAATGGTGTTTATTTTTTTAAAGATTTATTTATTTATTTTTAAAGATTTATTTATTTATTTTAAAGTCAGAGTTACACAGAGAGAGGAGAGGCGGAGAGAGAGAGAAAGAGAGAGAGAGGTCTTCCATCCGCTGGTTCACTCCCTAATTAGCCCCGATGGGCTGCGCTGATCCAGAGCCAGGAACTTCCTCTGGGTCTCCCATGTGGGTGCAGGAGCCCAAGGACTTGGGCCATCTTCTACTGCTATCCAAGGCCATAGCAGAGAGCTGGATTGGAAGAGGAGCAGTCAGGACCAGAACCGGCGCCCATATGGGATGCCGGCGCTTCAAGCTAGGGTGTTAACCCACTGTGCCACAGCACCGGCCCCTAAAGATTTATTTATTTTACTTGAAAGTCAGAGTTACACAGAGAGAGGAGAGGCAGAGAGAGAGGTCTTCCATCCGATGGTTCACTCCCCAATTGGCCACAACGGCCGGAGCTGCACAGATCTGAAGCCAGGAGCCAGGAGCCAGGAGCTTCTTCCAGGCTTCCCATGTGGGTACAGGGGCCCAAGGACTTGGGCCATCTTGTACTGCTTTCCCAGGCCACAGCAGAGAGCTTGACAGGAAGTGGAGCAGCCGGCGCCCATGTGGGCTGCTGGCGCTTCAGGCCAGGGCATTAACCCGCTGTGCCACAACAACGGCCCCAATGTTGTGTATTTTTATCAGCAATATGTAGTTGTTTAGTGAACATGGCAAATTAATTCCAGGAGCCCTCACAGATACCGAAATCTGCAGATGATCATGTCCCTTGTATAAAATGGTGGAATATTTGCATTTAACTTACATAATCCTCCTATATTCTTTAAATGACCTCTGATTATTTACAATACCTCATACAATGTAAATACTAAGCAAATAGTTATACTACATTGCATAGTAAATAATGGTAAGGCTAAAACATCAGTATAGTTCAGATGTACAGCTTAGTACAGATGCAACTTTTTTTGCTAGTATTTTCCATACTAAATTGCTTGAATCCTGAAATGCAGAACTCATGAATATGGAAAGCTCACCATGTTTCTTTCCAAGGGGAAAATTTATTATTGAAGGTTAAGAAGGTAAAAACAACTGCTGGAGAAGAAAATATTGTGACATTTTTGAAGATTTATTTCCCTGACATTCTTGACCCATTTATTGATGTGGTCCCAGGCTTAGTTAGTCATGGAATTTTCCAGACCTTAAAGATCAATTCATTTTATAGCATGGAGGCTGAGGGCAAGAGAGGTTAAGTGACTTGCTGAATTCAGACCCAGAACCCAAATTGCCCGCTGTCCAGTGCCCTTTCCAGATCTGCCAATTTTTTTCCATTATTAATTCTTACTCCTTTGATATTTAAAGCCCCATGATTTTATTACAAACCAATGCTTATTTTCACATGTAGTGAAGCTATTGTAAGAAAAGATGGATTTTTCACAATGATTTCAAGAGAAATAGATTGGAGTCATTGTAGAGAGCAGACTTTGGGGGCAAACGAGGTGACTTCAGGTTTGGGGTTCCCTTTTGAGAGACTTTCAAGCTTGCATGGCTACTCAATTTCTCTGACCCTCACTTTGTTCACCCAGGTTAATAATAGTTATCTGTATTTCATATGCACTCAATAGTTAGTCCCTCTCAGTAGTGTTATAGGTGAAATGGCCATGGGGAAAGATGACCTTGAGATGACCTTGGTTCTTTGTCTCACCTGGAAGAAGAATTTCCGCCTTCCTCTTGGGTTTTGCCTCTCTTGGAGCCCCTCTTCTGGCCACTTTGACAGGTAGCCACTGACTTAAATAAATCTTGCTTTTCTCTCTGCCTTGTCCATGTGGAAATTCTTATTCCAAAGAAGACAAAGAACCGAGGTAATATTTCCCACCACCATTTCACCCTTAGCAGTAACAGGTGCGTGGCTAGTCTCAAGTTTAGAATGTGAAAGGGAAAGGAAGATGTATCCATTATAGTTAGAGTGTCAGCCTCTTGTCACTTACAACTACATTTTTAGTCACTTCTGTAATTTTTTTGTCTTTTGGTTATGAATTCTTTTCATTAGGTAGAGCTAAATGCTTATTCCCTTTTGCTTCCTTAGCCTTTTATGTGTTTATTTTTGTGACACTTCTAAATGGCATTGGGTCATTTGTTTATACACTTTCCTTTTTTTTAAGTTTTATTTTATTTATTTGAAAGACAGAGTTGCAGAGAGAGGTAGAGACAGAGAGAGAGAGAGAGAGAGAGAGAGAGGTCTTCCATCCACTGATTCACTTCCCAAATGGCTGCAACGGCCAGAGCTGAACTGATCCAAAGCCAGGAGCCAGGAGCTAGGAGCGTCTTCTGGATCTCCCATGTGGGTGCAGGGGCCCAAGCACTTGGGCCATTTTCTACTGCTTTCCCAGGCTCATTAGCAAGGAGAGCTGGCTTTGAAGTAGAGCAGCCAGGACATGAACAAGTGCCCATATGGGATGCCAACATTACCAGCCAGGGCTTGAACCTACTGCGCCACAGTGCCAGCCCCTATCTACTTCCTTTTTTATTTTTTTAAATTCCCCCCCCCCCCCAAAGAAACCTTTTGTTTAAGAATTACAGACTTCATGAATTTCATTAGTACAACTTTAGGAATATAGTGATTCTTCCCACCATACCCAACCTCCTACTCACTCTCCCACCCCTCCTCCTCCTTCCTCTCCCATTCCCATTCCCATTCTCCTCTAAGATCCATTTTTATTAACTTTATACACAGAAGACCAACTCTATACTAAGCAGCGTTCCAACAATTTACATGGTTAAAAAAAAAAAAAAGAAAAACAGAAAATAAAACAAAACTGTTCCTCAATAGTCGAGACAAGGGCTGTTCAAAGTTATTACATCTTGAAGTTAATTTCACTTCTTTTTTTTTTTTTTTTTAGAAACTTAATTAACTTTAATGAAGCACTCAAGAATGATACATCTTTGGGAGGACTTAGACGTAGTTATAATTCAACTCTTTAAGGACAGAAGTCCTGCATGGGAAGTTAGTGCAGAGTGACTCGTTAATTTAACAATTAACACTCTTATGTATGATGTCAGAGATCATCCGAGAGGCTCTTGACATGAACTGCATTGACTATGGAAGCCTTTTGAATCCACTAGTATTTAGACAAGGCCATAAGCAAAATTGAAGTTCTCTCCTCCCTTCAAAGAAAAGTACATCCTTCTTTGATGACCACTTCTTTCCACTGGGGTCTTACCCACCAAGATCATGTAGGACATTTTTTGCCTCAGTGTCTTGGCTTTCCATGCCTGAAATGCTCTCATGGGCTTTTTCAGCCAGACCAGAATGCTTTAAGGGCTGATTCTGAGGTCAGAGTGCTATTTAAAGCAATTTTCATTCTATGAGTCTGCTGTATGGACTGCTTTCCATGTTAGAGCATTCACTCCTTTTTAATTCTGTTATTATTACCAGACCTTTAATCCTATCCATATGATCCCTTTAACACTTAAGATGGTATTTTTACCACCCAGCTTAATGATATTTGGGGTCCAATGGCAAGTTTTTAAACTGTACCCTTAGAAATAAGACCATAGGAATGTATGTAGAACTATACAGCTTTACAAACTTAATACACTTCATAATTACAACTTTAGGAACATGATGATTTTTCCACCATGCCCACCTTCCCACCCGTACTCCCAACTCCTCTTCCTCCTCTCTCTCTTATTCCCACTCTTATTTTTTACTGAGATCTATTTTCAATTGACTTTATACACATATGGTTAACTCTGTTAATTAAAGAGTTCAACAAATAGTATATATAAAAGAAAACTGTTATTCAGCAGTCAAGACAAGGGCTGTTCAAGTCATTGCTTCTCTCTCTCCTATTGTCTTTGTCAGCAGCCACTGGTAACGACAGGCATAGTGGACAGTGAGAGAGAGAGACAGAGAGAAAGGTCTTCCTCTTGCCGTTGGTTCATCCTCCAGTGGCCAAGGCAGCTGGTGCGCTGCAGCTGGTGCGCTGCGGCCGGTGCACCACGCTGATCCGAAGCCAGGAGCCAGGTGCTTCTCCTGGTCTCCCATGCGTGTGCAGGGCCCAAGGACTTGGGCCATCCTCCACTGCCCTCCCGGGCCATAGCAGAGAGCTGGACTGGAAGAGGGGCAACCGGGACAGAATCTGGTGCCCCAACCAGGACTAGAACCCAGTGTTCCGGCGCCGCAGGTGGAGGATTAGCCTATTGAGCTGTGGCGCCAGCCAGTCATTGCTTCTCAAAGTGTCAATTTCACTTCTACAGATTGCCTTTTAGGTGCTCTGTTAGTTATCATAGGTTAGGGAGAACATGTGATATTTGTCCCTTTGGGACTGGCTTATTTCACTAAATATCGTGTTTAACTTCCTTCTTCAACCATGTTTAAACATAGTTCCCAGCACATTGTTAGTATTTCCAAATACTTATTAAATGAATTAATAGATAACTAAAATGCATTACAAATCAATGTTCTTAAAGTAAATTAAATATAAGGGAGTTCCCTCTATAAGGGAAGGCTTTTGACAATATGAATATTCACCATGCAGTCTTTGTAAGAACTTTGTATATTATTATTTCTCTTCAGTCGTGCCATTACCTGGATTTCTATGAATGAGAATTTTGGAGTTGAATGGTATATAAAGAAAAAGGAAATATTCCTTTTTGTGCTGCTTCTACTTCAAATAGAATCTTAGAGGACATAAGCAATTTAAATGGACATGAAGTTAAAATACACTGAACAAATATTAGCATAATAAGCAGCAATCACTGTGTTTTCATGTAGCAATTTTGGGCCCTGAAGACTGTCTCACAGCACAGACTCTTTCCTGTGTGGGTATCCCAGTACCTTTTGAGACTGAAGAGGTAACGTCATCTAATCACCTTCAAATAGGCGTGTGATGTATTGTTTTTGTTTTTAATCACTTTGCTCCCTTCCTTTTCCTTTCCTTTCCTTTCCTTTCCTTTCCTTTCCTTTCCTTTCCTTTCCTTTCCTTTCCTTTCCTCTCCTCTCCTCTCCTCTCCTCTCCTCTCCTCTCCTCTCCTCTCCTCTCCTCTCCTCTCCTCTCCTTTCTTTCCTCCCTCCCTCCCTCCTTCCTCCCTTCCTTCCTTCCTTCCTTCCTTCCTTCCTTCCTTCCTTCCTTCCTTCCTTCCTTCCTTCCTTCCTTCCTTCCTTCTTTCTTTTTTCTTGTTGGCATTTTCTTTTATCTCCTGGGTACTTTGCCCTGGCTGCAGCATCTGGGGTAGCAGTTCACCTGGACAGAGAGCACTCACCTGGCCCTTGAGCTCTTGGAACTGTGGAGGAGGGCCCTTGGGCTTTCATCCAGAGTCCATTTAGGGTCACATCTTATACAGTTGTAAGATGTGACTTTGCTTTATGACTCACAATGAATCAGAAGCAGTCAGCATTTAGGAGGTGAGAAGTTGAAGATCATGGCTCACAAAAGGAGAAGGAAAAGGTGGGAGAACCACAGGAGAAAATAGCCCACCCTGTTGAATGGCTGCCAAGGACTATGGGAACTCTGGGCCATCCAGAAATGTTAAATAATGTTCATAAAACCAGATGTAGCAGGGAAAGATATCACACAGTTAAGTTTTTTGCAGACAAAAAGGTTTTTTATTGGCTAAAGGAGGAAAAGTGTTGCTATTGCCCTAAATAACTCAAATTCCAAAGTATAATTTTCTATATTGTTTAATCAAACTATTTTCTACTTTCCTTTCAAACACTGATTCCTGGTGATTTTTGAATGTTTTTTCTTGGTGTTTGTCTTGTGAAATAATTTACCCCATTTGAAAAACATGTAATTTGATGAATTTTGTCTTTTGTTTTTTAATCATCTTTAGTAACATGAATGACACAGATTCTGAAAGAAGAAGAAGAATGACAAGTAAGTAATAATTTTGCTTTCCTCATCTTTAAGGATTATCACATGAAAGTGATGATTTTTGGTTTTTGAAAATCAAAACCAATTATGGAGACTGAGTTTTTGTTTGTCTTGAACCAGAATAAGTCTAAGTGTGTATATTTTAATTAAAATCAAATATCATATATGGAATTTACTAATTTTCACAGATACCTCTTTTTTTTTTTTTTTTTTTGACAGGCAGAGTGGACAGTGAGAGAGAGAGACAGAGAGAAAGGTCTTCCTTTGCCGTTGGTTCACCCTCCAATGGCCGCCGCGGCCGGTGCGCTGCGGCCGGCGCACCGCGCTGATCCGATGGCAGGAGCCAGGAGCCAGGAGCCAGGTGCTTTTCCTGGTCTCCCATGGGGTGCAGGGTCCAAGCACCTGGGCCATCCTCCACTGCACTCCCTGGCCACAGCAGAGGGCTGGCCTGGAAGAGGGGCAACCGGGACAGAATCCGGCGCCCCGACCGGGACTAGAACCCGGTGTGCCGGCGCCGCAAGGCGGAGGATTAGCCTAGTGAGCCGCGGCGCCGGCTAGATACCTCTTTTTTTAAAAAGATGCTTAGTTTCTGAGACTTTTTCTTTCTCTTTCTTTCTTTTAAGATTTATTTATCTACTTGAAAGTCAGAGTTACACAGAGAGAGGAAGAGATAGAGAGAAACAGATCTTCCATCTATTGGTTCACTCCCCAAATGACCGCAATGGCTAGGGCTGGGCCAGGCTCTCCCCTATGTGGGTTCAGGGGCCCAAGCACTTAGGCCGTCTTCTGCTGCTTTCCCAGGCACATTAGCAGGGAGCTAGATCAGCAGTGGAGCTGCTGGGTCTCGAACTGGTGCCCATGTAGGATGCTAGCATTGCAGGCAACAGCTTTACTTGCTATGCCACAATGCTGGCTCCAGCAGATACCTTTTTTTTTTTTTTTTTTGGACAGGCAGAGTGGACAGTGAGAGAGAGAGAGAGACAGAGAGAAAGGTCTTCCTTTTCCGTTGGTTTACCCCCCAATGGCCACTGCGGCCGGCACACCGTGCTGATCCGAAGCCAGGAGCCAGGTGCTTCTCCTGGTCTCCCATGCGGATGAAGGGCCCAAGAACTTGGGCCATCCTTCACTGCACTCCCTGGCCACAGCAGAGAGCTGGCCTGGAAGAGGGGCAACCAGGACAGAATCTGGCGCCCCGACCGGGACTAGAACCCGGTGTGCTGGCGCTGCAGGCGGAGGATTAGCCTAGTGAGCCGCGGCGCCAGCCCAGCAGATACCTTTGAACTTAGTGGTATGATAGCTCTGCATTCAATAAGTGTGCACACTAGTGTTGAAATAATAATGTCTTGAAAGGTAGTGGTGAGATGAGGAAGGTGGTTTAGATACAGTGGAAAGAACTTGAGTTTTGGAACCTGGCAGGTGAATGTCATCTCTACCACTTTGTGGCTGTGTGTGCAAGATATTTTACCCTTCATTTCTGAAGGCCCTTAGCTGGGTTGAAATAGGGATATTTTGCTGTGATGCTGTAATAATAAGTGATAATGTGTACAAACAGTATTTTGTTATAGTGCCTGGGCCATAATATATACCCAATAAATGATAGCTATAAAAATAAATCACTTTGTATATTGATTTTCAGTTTACCTTGTGACATCCTACTTAGTTTGGAACAAAAAATTGTGGAAGTTAGTTCTTTTTGCAATGCATGTTCTCTCAAGGTCAAAGAAGTTAAAAGGGGGCTGGCACTGTGGTATAGTAGGTTAAGCCACTTCCTGTGGCACCAGCATTCCATATGGGTGCCCTTTCTAGTCCCGGCTGCTCCTCTTCTGATCCAGCTCCTTGCTGATGGCCTGGGAAGCCAGTGGAAGATGGCCCAAGTTGGGCCTCTGCACCTGTGTGGGAGTCCCAGAAGAAGCTCCTGGCTCCTGGCTTCAGATTGGCCCAGCTCTTGTTGTTGTAGCCTTCTGGGGAGTGAACCGGCAGATGGAAGACCTTTGTCTCTGTCTCTTCCTCTCTCTGTCTATAACTCTATCCCTCAAATAACTAAATTAATTGATTAATTAAAAAAGAGGAAGTTTGGCCGGCGCCGCTGCTCACTAGGCTAATCCTCCGCCTGCGGCATCGGCACCCTGGGTTCTAGTCCCGGTTGGGGCACCGGATTCTTTCCTGGTTGCCCCTCTTCCAGGCCAGCTCTCTGCTGTGGCCCAGGAGGGCAGTGAAGGATGGCCCAGGTGCTTGGGCCCTGCACCCCATGGGAGACCAGGAGGAAGCACCTGGCTCCTGGCTTCAGATCGGCGCAGCACACCAGCTGTAGCAGCCATTTGGGGAGTGAACCAATGGAAGAAAGGAAGACCTTTCTCTCTGTGTCTCTCTCTCACTTTCTAACTGCCTGTAAAAAAAAAAAAAAAAAAAAAAAAAAAGAGGAAGTTAAAAGACCCAAGTTTTTAAGTCCTTTTGTCTTGGAACTGGTATCCTGAGTGATTGTGTGTCATCAGCGTGGCTGATGAAGTCAATGAGCTACACTGCATGTTGGGTTAGAGAAGTAGACTGCTCCTTGAACACAGGACATTCCTGTAGAATCAGAGCGAGTTGAGTTTTTCAGTGACATGCGTAATCGGTTTGGGTTCAGCGTGGAATTAGTTAACAGCTACTTATGTGCAGACCAACTCAGAATACAGACAGTCCCAGCTGTTAAGGAAGAGAAGAAATTGGAAGAAGAAAATGCAGTAGCATCTGTCTTTTTAGTATGTGGACTTGTTTGGCTATGACAGAAGGGATGAGCTGATAAAATGAGAGGAATTTGGTGCGCTCAAGCCTGTAGCTTTGCTTTGATCATTTTATAGAAATAACAAGTGCTAAATAGTGTGCTCCCACAGAAGGGAAAAGGTGAGTTTCCATAAAAGCAGAGGTGTAATAAGAGTTCATAATAAGTCTGTTTAGTTTTAAAAGATATGCCTCCATATATCATTAGTATATACATTGAATTGATCCATAAATGGAAATATAGAAAAATTGGTTGTACAAACTTAGGTAGCAGTGTGTTTCAGGGATGTGAATTAAAGAGGCAGGCATGAAGAAATAAACATCTGATAATAAGAGCATATGCTGTAGTGGCATTGGAGTGTTTGGTTACCTTCTGGAACCTTCATTTCCATGTGTGCTCGCAGCCTGGGTTGACTTTGCTTAGAGGCGCAGCCAAGCATGGTCTTGGGCTTGGGCTTGGGGTTACACCAGCGCTGCTTAAGTGCTGGCTTGGCCACTTATTTCCTAAGATGCTGTTTACCTTGTTGCTTGATGCCCTGCTTCTTTTTTAAACAAACATTTTAAAATTTATTTTTCTGTAAGCTTTTGTGTTATAAAAAGACACAGTGACAGAGAAGGAAGAATACAGAGAGTAATAGAGACAGGGTAAGACAGAGAGAGAGAGATCTTCCATCTGCTGGTTCACTACCTAGATGCCTACAACAGCCATGGCTGGACCAGGCCAAAGCCAGGAGCCCAGAACTCCTTCAGGTCTCCCATGTGGGTAACAGGGACCCAAGACATCATCTGTTACCTCCTTGGCACACATGCAGGAAGCTGGATTGGAAGTACCATAGCTAGGTCTGGAGGCTCTCTGATATAGGAGACAGATGTTCCAAGCAACAGTTTAACCCACTGTACCACAACACCCACCGCAAAGCCCTGCTTCTTTTTTCTGTCTCCAATATGTAGTTTTCAACAGCTGTAATGATTTGTTATTTACATACCAGAAAGTTCCCTCATTTATGAGTACAGTGGCTTTTTAAAACTAAATTTAAAAAATTGTGCAATCATCACAATAATCCAGAGTTTTAAAATTTTTTTTAAAGATTTTTTTTATTTATTTGAGAGATAGACTTACAGACAGAGAGAGGGAGAGACAGAGAGAGAGGTCTTCCATCTGTTGATTCACTCCCCAAATGACTGCAATGGCTGAAGCTGGGCCAATCTGAAGCCAGGAGCCAAGAGTTTCTTCCGAGTTTCCCACATGGGTGCAGGGGCCCAAGTACTTGGGCCATCATCCACTGCTTTCCCAGGCCATTAGCAGGGAGCTGGAACAATCCAGTTTTAAAACATTTCTATCTACCTATCCTGCCTTAACTTTTGTTTCCTTGTCTATACAATATATTTGTGAATTGCTGCACAAGCTCTGTGAGGTAATGGTTGGCACAAAATAAGCACTCAGTAAATACCAGCTATTATGAGTTTGTGGAGGCCATTAAACATCATGTCACAGGAATACTGGGAATAGTGCCAAGAATATAAAGTTTATTCTAAGATTTATTTATGTATTTGAAAGTCAGAAGGACAGAGATAGAGACAGAGACAGAGATATCTTCCATCTGCTGGTTCACTCCCAAAGTGGCTGCAACAGTTAGGACTAGGCCAGGCTGAAGCCAGGAGCCAGGCGTTTCATCCGGGTCTCCCACATGGGTAGCAGGGGCCCAAGCACTTTCTTCTTCGGAGATAGAATTGCTGACTCACAGGACACTTTCATTTCTAGATTGTCTGTTACATTCACACATCTACACCTAGGCCGAGTGGAGTCAGTATGTTCCCGTCATTGAGGTAACTCAGAAACCATACCTGAGAGTCACGAAGCGGGGATTTCTCCAGAACTCTCAGAATTTCTCTTGTGCCAATGGGGAGAGCAATCCCCCTCCCCACCCCCAGTCAATAAATTATTTTAGAAAAGTTTCATCTCAAATACAGACATAGTTCCTAGGATTTTTCTAAATGTGCCATAACTGTGATTCTGGTGTATTCTCCTCCATTAAACCACATAATCTTGCTTTATCTTGTCTGAGTGACTGGGCACTCTCTCCCAGATTCTGTCTAGAGAGGTGCCATCTGTTCTGATAGATACCACTGCTATATATATATATATATATATATATATATATATATATACATATATATATATATATACTTTTTAATATGAAAAATTCAGATTGCTGTCAAAACCACAAATGTATAAAGAGTTTTGCCCATGCATAACCTGTCATGCTTACTCTTGGCAGCATCAGCATTAAATAGTCTTCCTGAGTCAGATTTTTGTTTTGTGCTTGAAGATGTTAGCAACTTTTCACCCTTTTGCTTGGGCTAAAGGCCTTATTCAGATGAATTATTTACTTCCTCCATGCTTTCTAAAATGCTTAGTCAGCCAAAAGTGGTGGCAAAAACCAAATTAATGATGAAACTAGAATGAAAAGCAAGACATAATGTTAATCACACTGCTCAAAAAAGTCTTTTTTCTGTGTCATAAGATATTAAATGTTGTATGTGTTTATAAATGAAGTTGGCCGATACTGACGATGTCTCCTCTTGAGTCTCCCAGCAAAGTTCTTAAAGGTAATCTACTTTCAGTGGTAATTCTGTGTGGCCTGTGTTGACTCAGTAACTTGTTCCAAAATGTGCTTTTTCCTCTCGCTGCAGCTGTGAACCCCAGGTATGTCCTGAGGAACTGGATGGCAGAAGCTGCAGTGCGGAGAGCAGAAAGGAGTGATTTTTCAGAGGTAAGATGGTGGGCTCTTCTGAGTTAATTTTTGAAATATTTTTCAAAAATTATGGAAAGGCAGGCATTGTAAAACAGCATTTAAGCTGCTGCTTAAGACACCTGCATCCCATAGGGCCGGCGCTGTGGCTCACTTGGTTAATCCTCTGCCTGCGGCACCGGCATCCCATGTGGGCACCGGGTTCTAGTCCCGGTTGCTCCTCTTCCAGGCCAGCTCTCTGCTGTGGCCTGGGAGTGCAGTGGAGGATGGCCCAAGTGCTTGGGCCCTGCACCCACATGGGAGGAAGCACCTGGCTCCTGGCTTCGGTTTGGTGCAGCGCTGGCCATAGTGGCCATTTGGGAATGAACCAATGGAGGGAAGACCTTTCTCTCTCTCACTATCTGTACCTCTACCTGTCAAATAAATTAAAAAAAAAAAAAAAAAAAAAGACACCTGCATCCCATACCTGAGTGCCTGCGTTTGAGTCCTGGCTCTGCTTCTGATCCAGCTTCCTTCTAATAAACCCTCTGGGAGGCAATGGGTGATGTACTTGGGTCCTTGCAACCCATATGGGAGACCCAGATGGAGTCCAGGTTCCTGGCTTTGGTCTGGCCCAGCTGTGTCTGTGCAGGCATTTGGGGAGTGAACCAAGAGATAGAAGAGCTCTCTCAGGGCTAACACTATGGCATAGCAGGTAAAGCCACCGCCTGCAGTGCCGGCATATCATATGGGCGCCAGTTCAAATCCCGGCTGCTCCACTTCTGATCTAGCTCTCTGCTATGGCCTGGGAAAGCAGCAGAAGATGGCCCAAGTGCTTCATCCCCTGCACTCATGTAGGAGACCCAGAAGAAGCTCTTGGCTCCTGGCTTCAGATCAGCCCAGCTCTGGCCATTGTGGCCATTTAGGGAGTGAGCCAGTGGATAAAAGATTCTCTCTCTCTCTCTCTCTCTCTCTCTCTCTCTCTAATTCTGCCTTTCAAATTATATATATAAAAAAAAGCTCAATAAATATTGCCCCCATCCTGTATTGTTATTTTTTAATTTTTATTTTTTATACCATATGGGACTCCAATTAGTGCTTATATGCGAGGCTGGTGTTGCAGGCGGTGACTTAACCCACTGTGCCACAATGCTGGCACCAATTTTTTGACCTTTAAAGATAGGTAGAAAGATAGATTTACCTATTTATTTATTTGAAAGGCAGAGTTACAGAGAGAGAGAAAGGGAAGGAGAGAGAGAGAGAGAGATCTTCTACCTGCTAGTTTATACCCCAGATGGCCACAATGGCTGGAGCTGGGCTGATCCCAAGCCAGGAGCCAGGAGCTTCCTCTGGGTCTCCCATATGCATGCAGGGGTCCAAGTACTTGGACCATCTTCCTCTGCCTTCCCAGGCACATTAGCAGGGAATTGGATTGGAAGCAGAGCAGCCAGGTACTTGAACCAGTGTGCATATGGGATGCTAGTACTGCAGGTGGCAGCTTTACCCTCTACACCACAGGGCTGGCCCCTGCTCTCATCCTTTAAAATAATTTGAGAGGCAGAGAGAGAGAGATAGAGAGAGAGAAAGAATGCAAGAAATCGCATCTGCTGATTCACTCATCAAATGTCCACAGTAAACTGGATGCCAAAGCTAGAAACCAGAAACCCAATCCAGACCTCCTATGTGAGGGGCAGGATTCAACTATTTGATCTCCCATCCATTGGTTCACACCGCAAGTGGCTGCAACAGCTGGTGCTGGGCCAGGCTGAAGCCAGGGCCTGGAACTCCATCTGGGTCTCCCACATGGGTGCAGGGGCCCAGGCACTTAGGCCATCCTCCACTGCTTTCCCAGGTGCACTAGCAGGGAGTTGGATCAGAAGTAGAACAGCTGGAACTCGAACCAGCACTCACATGGGATGCCGGTATTGCAGGCAGTGGCTTAACTCCACTAGTACATTTTAAAATGTTCTATTTCATGGTATTAAGGAAAAAAGGCCACAGGAGATAGCAGCATTTATCATTAGATAAATATGTGTGTGCGGGGGAAGCTAATCAGGTTGCTTGTTTCTCCTGCCTTCGCTGCCTTGTGTTCCTACCTTGTTTTCCTCCCTTTATCAACATTATATTTAACGACGCCGTGCCTTCTGGGCAGGGTGCATGGAAGTTTTTGCTTAGGTTCAAGTAAGCATTCAGACTCATGTGACTGTCACAGGCCACATTTGGCCATGGTCAACAGAGGGAGATGTAGGACATGGACAGGGCTCACCCAGGTGCCACCTCAAGTCTCCGGCACCCTGGACTCCTTGCAGTGGGCGTGCCAGTAGGAAGGTGCAGCAGTGCAGTTCAGAGGCAAGGAGATGAGAGCCATGTGGGCAAGATGCAGGGGCAGCCCTGGCTTCCAAGATTCGTGCTCCGCAGAGACCAGTGTCGCTTGTGACAACTCCGTCAGCATCCAAGTCCCTGCAGGAGGTGGGCCTCAGGCCTGGAGTCACGTGGGAAAGCCCAAAGCATCCTATGAGGTCTTTACAGCTCCCCAAATCCCAAGTCCAGTCATCGGCAGTGGTGTGTGGTGACGTGGCTGGCCGACCGCCTTATTGGGTTATCAGAGACACAGCCTAGAAAGGTAACCAAAGGCTGACTTCTCGTGGGAGAGAAAAAGATTCTGTCAAACCTGGATCCGCGCAGCCCTTGACACACACAGCTGTGTTTACCTTCTTTCATCAAACCTGTCCTGAGTATTTGCTTGATGCGAGGTGTTATGGAGAAGCATGAAAAACTAGTAGGTGAGATTATTAGGTGCTAGATTTATTGATGAAAGAGGTATGCACTTGGATGCCTCAGTTTATTACCATGAGAAAAATTCGGAATGAGGAAGTAGCATGAGCTGGATTCCATGCCCTTGATTTGGAGAGAGTCAAAGCATGAACACCCTTGTATTTTTGTAAACATTTTAGAAAGTTTTCTCAATGCTGTGAAGAAACCTTAAAATTACGTGTACATATACATATATATACATAGTCCTCTCTTCCACAGTTTCAGTTATCAACAGTCAATTTTGGTCCAAAAATATTAAAGATAAAGTTCCAGGAATAAAGCATGCATGGGTTTTAAATTGTGTACCCTTCTGAGTAGCTTGGTGGAGTCTCACACTGTACTGCCAGGGGTGTGAACCATCTTTGTGTAGCAGAGTATCCGTGCTGTATACTCTACCCACCTGCTAGCCTCTTAGTAGCTGTATCAGTTATCACATTGACAGCTGCAGGATCTCAGTGCTTGTGTTCAACTAAAACTTATTTTACTAAATAATGGCCCCAAAGTATAAAGGCAGTAACGCTAGTAATTTTATTACAGTATATTGTTTTAATTGTTGTAGGTTTTTTCATGAGTTATTGCGGTTAATTTTTTATTGTTCCTGTTTTCTAAATTAAACTTTAGCATATATATTTACATATAGGGGAAAAACATAGGTTATGTATGGTCCAATACTCTGCAAAATTTCAGGCATCCATCCTGAGTGCCTTGGAACATATCTCCTGTGGATAAGGGGGGACTACTGTACATACTCAGTCTCTAATTTTAATACAAAAGTAGCATATCGGTAACTTAGAAATTCTAAGTAGCAACTATAGTTCAGGCTTTAATAAATCATAAAGTACACACATATTTTCAAACAAATTTAAAATTGACCTTGCATTGTAGAAATTCAGGAAACTGATAAGAGTCTTGAGTAAGAAACTCTCTATTTACCTACTGCAATTGCTTACTAGGTCCGTCTCCTCCAGCAAGTGCTCCAGCACCCGTTCCAGACACAGTCTACAGCTGAGAAAGCTGGCTACTCCTCGCCTGCTCCTTCTTGGGCTAAAGATCTCAGAGTTAGTTGCTCATCTTAATTTGGGAAAAAATAAATGAATGAATCCTTCTATCACTGAACTCAGTATAGAATAATTTATTTTAAGACAGCATTGTGGTGCAGCAGGTTAAACTGCCTGTGATGCCAGCTTCCTATAGGAGTACTGGTTCAAGTTCCAGCTGCTCCACTTTCCATCCAGCTTCCTGCAAATGCACCTGGGAAAGCAACAGAAGATGGCCTCCGTACTTGGGTCTCTGCCATCCACCTAGGAGACCCGGACAGAGTTTCTGGCTCTTGGCTGTTGTAGCCATTTTGGAAATGAATCAGCAGATGGAAGATCTCTTTCTCTCATCTCTCTTTTTCTCTCTGTCACTCTGCCTTTTAAATAAATCTATTTTTTTTAAAAAAAGACAAACATGAGAAAGGACTATTATTTAGAACATGCAAAAAGTCAAAACTCAACAATAAGAAAATAACTCAGTTAAAAAGGCCAAAATATCTCAACAGATATCTCACAAAAGGAGATATCTAGGTGGCGCATTAGATACATGTAAAAATGCTCACCATTGTATGTCATTAAAGAATTGCAAATTAAAACAGTGAGATACCACTACACACCCATTAGAATGGTTAAACATGAACCACTGACGGCACCAAACTTCGGTGAGGTTGCTGGTGGGACTACAACCGACCACTCTGGAAGAAAAGTTGGTAGTTTCTTACAAAACTAAATATATGAGAGATCGTCACAAAGTTCATGGAAATGTGTATTATGAAAAAAATGCATGGATTCCAGAAGTCTGCATCAAAACAAACTTATCTTTTAATTCCATTTTCCCTCCAAGTTTTTGAAGTACCTTCATAACCATACAGCCCAGTGGTTGTGCTCCTGGTGACTTGAAAGCATAGCCACACAAAACCCTGCCTGTGGAGGTTTACAGCAGCCTTCTCCATAATCATTAATACTTGAAAGCAACCAAGACATTATTCAGAAGGTGAATGGATAATACACCATCGGTACATCCACATGGAGGGATAATTTTCAGCAATAAGGATAAATGAACTATCCAGCCATGAAAGTACGTGAAGGAACCTTAAATGCATATTACCACATGGAAGAAGCCCTCTGAAAAGGTTACATACTGTACAATTCTCATATGGAACAGTTTTTAAAGGGTTTAACTGTGGAGACAGCAGAAGGATCAGTGGTTGCCGGTGGTTGGGTTTGGGAAAGATCAAGGGGCAGAGCTCAGAGGACTTGGGCAGTGAAACCATCCTGTATGATACTGTAATGGTGGATACATACCATTATGCATATATAAAAACCTATAGATTGTGGAACATCAAGAGTAAACCCTAAGGTAAACTATGACTTTGAGTGATAATATTGTGTCAGTGTAGGTTTACTGTTACAAATGTACTGTTCTTTCGTGGGGTACTGTAGTAGTGTGTGGTGGCAAGAGGTTGTGGGAACTCCTTAGAACTTCATTTAATTTTGTTTCAAACTTAAAACTGCTCTCAAAAACAAAGTGTATTAAAAAGAACTGAGTGGATTGTTTAAATACAGATTAAATTGTGTGGTAGAGAGCATTTGAGAGTGGGGATTAAGATCTGATTAATTTTCTTAGAATAAAGCAATGGAAAATACACAGACCTTAGAGAATTGGGGGTTAAAGTTACTTTATACTATACATTTCATTGGAGTCACAGAAGAAATGAATAAAGAGAGGCAGTATCTGAAACAAGCGAGAATTTTCCAGAATAGTGAGCCATGTATTCGTAGATTCAGAAACTTAAGTAAATTGTCAACTTAAATAAAAAGAAGCCCACACTTAGACCCAGTCTGTGAGAGCACCAAAGGTGGGTCTTAAATCATCCAGAGCAGGCAACAAAGAGAAGACCATAAATAAATAAAGAGTCTGATAGCCGTCTTCTGGACAGCAGTAGTGGACTTCAGAGTATTTACTGTCATCCTGGAGTTTGGCGTCTAGTGAAACAGTCTTTTGAGAAAAAGAAAGAAATAAGGACATTCTACGGAGGAAAAAAAGTCAAAATTGAACTGTAATTCAAATAACCAGGCAATAATTGTGTGTGTGTGTGTGTATGTAATTGAACTTCAAGGGTTCCAAAGCCTTTGTATTGTCCAGGTTTACTTAGACTTCACTGAGTGTGGATATTATCATTACAGGTAGCCATTAAAAGAACAGAAACAGATCTCAAAATGCAGAGAGAAAAGTCTTTAATTGCAACAAAAAGGCAAGAAAGGAAGAAAAAACATAATAGAAAAATCCAGGCAAAAAGTACAATTTAAGATGTTTAAAAACTTTGTGAGAACAAAGTTTGCAGTTAAAAGATAATGATTACTCGAGTAATTATAAATACAGCAAAATCCATACTGACTGCAAGTGGTAGACCTAGCACATAATCACACAGAGTTTGAAGGTGAATGACTAGAAAGATTTGTCAGGCAAATTACTGGGGACTACCTATAAAATCTGACTGTATCAAACCAGATGAAAAAACTCAACAAACTTCAAAGTCTCGTTTTTTAAAAAAAGATGTATTTATTTATTTGAAAGGCAGGGTTACAGGGAGGCAGAGAGAGAGAATCTTCGTCCAGTAGTTCACTCCCCAAATGGCCACAATGACTGGAGCTGAGCTGATCTGAATCCAGGAGCCAGGAGCTTCTTCAGGGTCTCGCAGCATGTGGGTGTGTTAGGTAGAAGTTAAAAATTAGCCTAGGTGTGTGAGAAGGGCCTGAGGAACCAACACCTGCTGTGGAAGCCCCCACCCCCACCCCCACCCAAGCCCAGCATTTTGCACTTCAAAGTCCTGCCCGGACCCTGATAACCTTCCAAGTGGTCCCAGCCCTCCCCCGCCCCCCCAAAGCTCCCAGGAGAATTCTCTCTCCTCAGTACCAAAGGGGTTACCTGACCTGATAATATGGGGCAATAAAACCCTCATAGATGCCCTAGGGGAAGCCCCTCTTGGGGGCTTGGCCTGCCAGCAAATCTGGGAAGGAATTTGCTAATTTACACCCAACAAAACCTTTGTCCTAAAGGAGAAGAGGGAGGGAATAAAGAGACGCCCTTAAAACCTAGGAGTCTGGCCAGCACCGCAGCTCACTAGGCTAATCCTCCACCTAGTGGCGCTGGTACACTGGGTTCTAGTCCCGGTCGGGGCGCCGGATTCTTTCCCAATTGCCCCTCTTCCAGGCCAGCTCTCTGCTGTGGCCAGGGAAGGCAGTGGAGGATGGCCCAGGTGCTTGGGCCCTGCACCCCATGGGAGACCGGGAGAAGCACCTGCCTCCTGGCTTCGGATCAGTGTGGTGCGCCGGCCTTGGCGGCCATTGGAGGGTAAACCAATGGCAAAAATAAGACCTTTCTCTCTCTCTCACTATCCACTCTGCCTGTCAAAAAAAAAAAAAACAAAAAAAAAAAACCAACCAACCTAGGAGTCTGACCAAAGGCTGTTCGAGCTCTCTGCTCTCTGCTGAGCTGCCTGCCTGGCCTGGCCACCTGTAGTCTCTCCATTCAACCATGGAACCTGGGTTTTCCCCAGTCCGAGTGACTGGGCACTCTACTCTCCATCTGTCCCATCCTTGCTGACGGATGCCCTAGCCGCAATAAAACCTTGTTACTCTGCTCTGTCTCACGCCTGAATTCTTTCTTGCATGAAGACAAGAACCCCAGCACTTCTCTGCGGTGGCAGATGCAGGGGCCCAGACACTTGGGCCATTTTCCACTGCTTTCCCAAGGCTATTAGCAGGGAGCTGGATGAGAAGTGGAGCAGCCGGGACTTGAACTGGCGCCCATGTGGGATGCCAGCACTACAGGCAGCAGCTTTGCCCACTGTGATACAGCACCAGCCCCAAAAGTCTCAATTTTTAATTTGGTGATTCAGTGTCATACTAGCCTTAATTTCTATGATCAAACAAAGAGGACCTACTGGAAAATCTTTCTAGAATCTTGCATTGGACAGATTAAATCATGTTTCCCTTCAATTCTACCAACCCCAGTAGTTTTAAGTACAGTCAGTAATTCCATGGGCCTTTGTTCTTTGTCTTGTTGTACAAGAAATTCTACAGTTTATGATTCATGATGTATAATTACTATTATAATTCTTGCACTTCCTCCACCCTCCACTCCTCGCTGGCTTTTACTCTTCTCCCACATACAATTAGCTGGTCACACTTTTCATGAAAGGAAAACAAATGTTTTGGTATTTTCAGGGTGGGTCAAAATAACGTTCCTGAGGAATAGAGAGTATTACACTCACTGAGAGCTCAGAGAGGATCAGACACCCAAGAGCCTGTTTCACTGAATGGAAATCGTAGAGCTGTTAATGTGGTGCTTAGGCCTGCTGAGAGCAAACTTCTCCCTGCAGCCCGGAGTCTCTGCAGTCATGAGCAAAACCACCTTCATGTTGCATTTGCGCTGTCCAGCAAAGAGCGGAATGGACAGCCCACATGGGCTGCAGAGATGCATGGACACAGCAACCCTTTGGTCCATGAGAATTCGATCACCTTTTTGATCTTGAAACCAGTTAATGCTCTTCAGGGCTTTCCTAAAATGCATGTCACCAAGTGTTAAAGCACGCACGCGGTAGTGCTGGATTTTTAGAAGACCTGTATTTTCCCTGTAAAGGAAGGTGTGCCATGGAGAGAAGTTAGGAGACCTGAGATGCGGTTCAGCTAGCCCCGTGGAGCCTCGGCTTAGCAAATGCTCGGGCTGGTTTCTCCTCTAAGTCAGGAGTGTGTTTGAAAGGACACTTAGGGGATCTTCTCTGAAACCCGTGGCCTCCACAACCCTTCCCTCTCTCCCTCCCCAGAGCCCAGGGTCCTGCTGTCTGACCCTCTCCTGCCCACAGCAGTGGTCCTCGTTTATCAGGTTCCGGCTACAGGTGGGTTGGGGAGGAATGACCTTGACTCCTCGAGACCAATGCGGGGCTCCTTCAGGGAGTTTTCCAGGTGAGGCAAGAGACAGTCCGTCTCTCAGGAACTGAGGCGTTGAATGCCTTCCATCCTGGCCACTGAGAAACTGAGTGACACTGCAAAAATATACCAATGCTGCAGAAAGAGAGACCCTGAGGAAGTCTGGGCAGGAGCAGAGATGAGAAATGAGAGAACAGTGAAGTGTCAGGAACCTGTTGTGGGCCCTCCTGAGTGCTCAGAGGTGGGGAATGTTCGGCCCGTGGGCCATATGAGGCCCGTGCAATCATTTGGTCTGACCCTGCCAAGGCAACTATGGACGGGACTTGAAATTCAATGCATACAAAGTGGGCTGATTTTTAAGTTGATAATTTTGTATGGCCCGTGGATAATGTTATAACTATCCAAATGGCCCTTTGCAGAAAAAAATAAAGGTCTCCTACAACTAGTAGGTGTATATTTAACCTGGGGTTTCTGGGCCCCTGCCTCTGAGTCTCATGATAAATGCCCACCTTTTGATTGTGTTTACTCCAATTAGTTTTGTTCCATCGTCAGAAGCCTAACTGATAGGGTGGGCTGGGTCATTGTGAGGGTCCCCTCGTTTTCAAGAGTCTGTGGCTGTCTGCTGGAGATGGCATTTTTGCTCCCTTCTATAGCTACAACTGTGAAGTACTATCACGCTTTTTGTACCTTGAAATAAACTCAGCAAAGCACTGTTTTATTATCCTCTTCCTAGCTATTTAATTACTCCTCTCAAACACAAATGCATTTCCTGGTCTGCAACCCAGAAGGTAATTTTGATCCACATAAGGATAACGAAGGAGGATCTTCTGTCTTGAGCCTTGATTACTGCCTCATCAATCTACCAGATTAAACCTGGACAAGGCTGAGTGGCCAGGGACATCCTGTTTGACCCCCCCTCACTGGGCTGGGAATCTCCCTATCAGCCTCCAGTGAAATTAGGATGCTATCACACTTCCTCTATTCCTCCAGAGTTCTGTTCAGCTCCCAGGATTTAATCAGATATCAGAAAAACTGTTTTTCTTGCTGCATGTTGATATCAAAAGAACATCATAAAATAAGACACACAGAAGAGTATGTCACATGAGAGTCTACCCCATTAGATTCTATCAGACCTTCCCTAATAGATTCTATCCTGTTACAAGGACATGCTTGAGAAAAATTTAAGAGTGTCTTAGCAGTTTTAATCATTGAATAGTTTGGTTTCAAAGAGGCCAGCATTGTGACATAGCAGGTTAAGCCACAGCTTGCAATGCCGGCATCCCTGATGGGCACCGGTTCGAGTCCTGGCTGCTCCATTTTCATTCCAGCTCCCTACTAATGGCCTGGGAAGATGGCTCAAGGGCCTGGCCCCTGCACCTGCGTGGGAGACCCAGATGAAGCTCCTCCTGACTTGAACCTGGCCCACTCTTGGTCACTGTGGCCATTTAGGGAGTGAACCAGTAGATGGAAGATCTATCTATCCCTCTCTCTTTCTAACTCTGCCGTTTAAATAAATCTTTAAAAAAAAGAATGAACTTTTAAAATTGTCATCTTGGAGCTTTCCTCAATTATTCAAATGTAAGACTAATCACCTTCTTTAGTTAAAAAACATGTCATATTTATTATTTATTTCCTATCCACTTTAAGAAGATTTGGAGGAATTTTACAACAGGAAACAAAACCAGAAATAAACTGTGAAAGTGAAATTAAGAAAATCTAAACGCCCTGCCCTAGTAATGATATCAGAATTGGACCCCCCTAAAATACTGGAATAGGCCCCTTAAAGTTCCCCAAAAGTCCCATCTGGGGTGCCACATGATATCACCTGTGCTTATTAAGTTCTCAATATTAATAAGCCTGTGTGGGTTCTTGTCTAATACTCAGAGAAGAATTCTGAATACCGGCATAAATGAACGAGGCAGCATGATACATTTTAAGCTTTTATTTAGTGCGAAAGATGCATAGGAGAGTGAGGGCTTTAACTATAAGAGAGAGGTAGATCTGGGTTCATATTGAGTACCAGGAACCAGCCACGTGGAAGAGCATCCAGGCCAGCAAAGCAAGGGGCGGGTGGCCTGAAGGCTACACGCCCTGGGGGTGCAGGGTTGCAGCCAGCCCACTGCTGGCAAAAGGCCAGAGCAAGGAAAAAGGAGGAAATGGCCAGACACACCCTGTCCCAGGCCTTTAATCCACTTTCAAAGGGGAGTGGTTAATGCACCTGATTGGCCGGTTGGCGCTTAGGTGTGGCCAGGTAGGGCCCTGCGGTCACACAGGGGCGTGGTGAAGGAGTGGCCTTCCAGCTCACAAACCGCATCAATTTTAACCCGTAGGCAGGTCTACTTCAGCAGCAGCCCATTAGGGAAGGGATCGGCACAACAGGCACCGAGCCGGAACTGGCTAAAACTGGGCACTAAGGTTGAAGAATACAAGGGTATGTCAGAAAGTGTGTGCAAAAATGGAATTAAAAAGTTTATTTTGGTGCAAAAATTTTTTGAAATCCTTGCAGTTTTTCGTAATACACATTTCTGTGTACCTTAAGATCCGGCGTATGCACGGCTTTCAATGTTTTTTGTACCAAAACAAACAAAATCTTTTCATGTTATCTTTCCATGGACTTTCTGAAGAACTCGTGTGTGTGTGTGTGTGTGTGTGTGTTGGGGGTACAGATAGATAGTTGTCTTTTCCTGTTCCTATATTTTTATTTATAGGATACTTAACATTGCATTAGTCTAAAACTGAAGTAGCTATGTTTTCAATTATTTTATTATGCCACCATTTAAAAAAATACAATCCAGGAGCTCAAACAACCAACCAACAAGTCCCAAAGAACTCTACCCGGCTTGTCACATTTTCCTCATGGAACTTTACCGAATGTTCTTAAGGCCCCTGAGGTAGCGGTGGACAAGGCACTTCTCAGAGGTCAGGTGGCCTCTTTCTGACCCGGCGTCGCTAGCACACCGAATGTCCCCAAGGGTATTTATTTCTAGCCAGTTTTCTGCAGAAAAACTATTATTATTAAAATCCGATGCCTGTAAGCATAATACAATAAGTGAACGTTAAGGACCAAACGCAGGAGGGAAGGTGCAGTCGCCCGTGGGTGCGCGCACACACAGGAGGCCCCGTGCACACCTGGGCGGCCACGCACGGACTTGGGGACAGCAGTGTCACCTGCGCCGTCGCGGACACGAGCGGCGCGCGGGCCTAGCACACGTGGCCCCTCTTCTTCTGCAGCGCCTTCATCAGGTCGGCCATGAACGCCTGCTCGCCGCCGCCGCCGCCGCCCGCCGCCCCCGGCTGCTCCGCCCTCTTTGGGGGCGCGGGGGGCTTCCTGGCGCCCGCAGCGGGCGGCCCGGGGCGCTCGGGGGCGGGGGCGGGGGCGGCCGGGGGCGGCGGCGGCGGGGGCGGCGGCAGCGCGGGGTCCGCGGCCGGCGGCGGGGGCGGCGGCGGGGGCACGAAGTCCGGGGGCAGCTCGCCGAAGTCGGGCGGCGGCGGCGGGGGCGGCGGCAGGAAGTCGGGGGGCAGCTCGCCGAAGTCGGGCGGCGGCGGCAGGAAGTCGGGGGGCGCGGGCGCGGCGGAGGCTCGGGGCGCCGGGGTCGGGCCGCCGGCCGCGTCGGAGGAGCGCCGCACGGGGGGCGGCGGCGGCAGGTGAGACTTGGCGGCGGCCCTGGGCGCGCCCGGGTCGTGGGTGCCCGGGGGTGGCTTCCGGTCCTGCAAGGAGGCGACAGCGGGGCGGTGAGTGGTGGGGGCCAGGGTCCCCACGCATCGGGGTTCCGCGGTGAGAGGCGCCCCTTTTCCCAGGGCGTTGGGAGCTTCGCTTCCTCGGGCTGCCGGCCGGGAACGGGGACACCTGTTCTTAGCTGTGGGCATTTATCATGAGTTTCAGAGGCAGGGGCCCAGAAACCCCAGGTTAAATATACACCTACTAGTTGTAGGAGACCTTTATTTTTTTGTGCAAAGGTCCTTTGGTGCCCCCCCCCCCCCCCGCAAAAAAAAAAAAACACAAAAAAACAAAAAAACCCACCAACCACCATGAACAAACCCCTGCATTTGAGGAGTCTGTTCACAAAGTTCAGGAAAATGCGTGTTAGGAAAAACCTGCATGGATTTAAATTGTGGGGTTTTTTTTTTGGTACCGGAATTAATCTGTTCATTCCAGTTTTCCATGGACTCTTGGATCTACCCTGCCCTGGCTCAGTGATGAGATCAAGTGACATAAACGTTTGCATGCAGAGTTGTGCTGCACGTGCTGTTGGCAGAACCGGAACACCAGTTGGCTAAAGTCTAACAGGATCATCAGCCCTTCTCCTGCCAGCAGTGCAAGGGATAAGAATAGTTTACACTGAATATAGTGCAGCGCCCAGGGGTTGCAGGCACTGAATTCAGTCCGATAATTATCATTACCACTACATTTCCATGTTATTAGGCTTCCATTTTCTTTCTTTGCTTAATATCTCAGCATTGGTGATTTCATTTTTAGAACGGGTTTTGTTTTTTTTTTTTTTCTTCCCCAGCGTGCTTTGTGGATTTTCTATTTTACTTTGTTTCTTTACTTCACATGCCAAGCTAATGAATTAGTGGTGTATTTAAAATTTTTTTTTTCTGAACAGGCCGCTCTTGGGAATTTGGGTTCATACACATTTTTAATGATTTCTATTCTGGGATTCTTTGATTTCTTTCAGCATTTTGAATTGTGTCTGTTCCAATGACATTATAGAAGTTAGGAGAATAATAACAGCTGAAAGTAAATCACATAATGAGGCTGTCAGGCTAAGAAGATCGCATCCGAGAAACACAACTTAGGAAAGTACACAGTGTTTTCCAAGAAGTGTGAGAAGTGCAGTCAGTCCCCAACTTCCACTGTTTCCTGGGCTGCATGGCGGCCAGTAGGAGGAGGTGAATGAAGAAGCCTGACTCTGAGCCTAGCAGCTGCAGTGGCCCGGTGCTATGCTGTTGTCATCAATATTGAAGGTTGCTTTGCTTCACACATGGGAAGTAGCCAGCAACATTTCTGTCGCTACTGGAGATGAACTGGGTTAGTAACTAACTTCCAACTGTTCATCATAATTTTTAGATAGAGTCAAATGAGTCATTATTCTGAGGAACTGGAAAATTTGGCTGTTATTTTAAAATGCATTTTCTTCTGCGTGGCCCTGAAGAAGCACATAGGGTGCTAATGGGAAACTGTGAAATGCACCTTGGGTAGTGTAACCGTTTTATTTGTCCTAATCTGACTTTGGGGATCAGCTAGCACTTCCTGTGGAGCTTCTGGCTAACTTGTTACCCTAATTTATTCAGAGAAAATAAATAAGTAAACATCCCCAGGGCTTCCAAGCCACTTTGAGAGAATGCTAAAATCCTTTGACTGAACCAAGAAAATCACTTCAATAAAAGTAAATACCACTAAAGACTTCTGGCATGGAAAACACGGGTTTGCATTTCCCCTAAGCAGGGTGATAACTGCTGGTTTTATCCCAGTCTATGCCACTTTAGGATAAAACCTAGAAAACAATTATGAAAAGGAAATTCGAGGACCTTGCCAGCTGTTGCAGTGGTGTTGGCTCTCTTGAAAGCAGCAGTTCCGGGACTGAGGAGGTGGGTGTGGGTGACAGCTGGTCTTACCTTGGTGGTTTCAGCATGATTCTGTGCCTCCTGGAGAATGGCGCTGACACGGTGTGCAGCCAGGGGGATCTGACCGTTGGGCTGGGAGGCACCTGCTTTAGGTCCTGAGATGGAGGAAGAGAGAAAAGAAGAGCGAGTGAGGCATCTTTGACGTTCCGGAACATGTATCTGAAAATATCAAGCAGTTTGAAAGGATCCACAGGCATGGTGGAACACACAGGCCTTGTGGGCAGCCGCAGGCAGTCGCCCCTTTTGTTTACACTTAAACATATGGATGGAGACATCAGCACAGACAATTAGGCTAAGGAGATTCCAGGAAGAGGCAGGAAGAACCGTGTCTCGCTGCTAGACTTCTCACAAGAGATGATGTAGGTAATCAGCCACACCTGAAACCTGCATTGATCACCTGTGTGTTTTATTATACCCTTGTAATCTATGATTGATAACATTTTGTGATCTGTTAAGCGAAAGAACTTTTTCGGGAACTCCTCTTTGTAACCCCAAAAGAATTTTAGGTATGTAAATCCTCTGTGTGCCTTCTTGTGTACAACTAGTCATGTTTAAATACTACTGGACTTGTTGAATAAACGAGCCTTGATCAGGATTTGTCTTGGCTCCATTCTTTGCGTCCTTGTCCCTGCATTGCCACTCTCTGTTTCAGGAAACCCGGTTCTTTGTGCTGCAGGCCGGCACAAGGCCTCAATGAAAATCCTGTGTTCTTGTGGCTGTATTAGTCTGTTTCCTGTTGCTGTAACAAAGTGCCTGACACTGGGTAACTTTATGAAGAAAAGAGGTTTCTTGGGCTCACAGGTCTGGAGGTGCCAGCTTCTGCTTGGCTCTGGTTAGGGCCTCGTGGCAGATGTTGTCATGGTGGCGGGAATGTGTGTGAGTGATCACAGGAGCACATGTGTGAGAGTAGTCACATGGGGAGACCAGAAGCCAGGAGGCAGGAGGAGCCAGCCTTGCTCTGTTTATAACAACCTACTCTTTTAAATGTTTATTTATTATAGTTTTATTTGAAAGGCAGAGAGAGAGATCTTCCATATACTGGTTCACTCCCCAAATGCCCACAACAGCCATGGCTGGGCCAGGTCGAAACCAGGGGCTGAGAACTCCATCCAGGTCTCCCACATGGGTGGCAGGGACCCAAGTGCTTGAGCCATCACCTGCTGCCATCCAGGGTGCTCATTAATATGAAGCTGGAATTGCAATCAAAGGTAGGACTTGAACCAAGAACTGAGATGAGATACGGTGTCCCAAGCACCCTCCTAACAACTGAGCCAAACATCGGCCCCTGTAACAACTCACTGGTGAATCATGAGACTGAATTGTGAGACCAGCGTTGCTCCCTTTTGAGGGCAGTGTCCCCTGTGACACCATCACCTTCCTTTGGGCCCCTCCTCTTCAAGGTCCCACCAGCTCTTAATAGCGCTGCACTGGGGACTGAGCTTCCAACACATGAATCCTTGGGAGTACACCACACTCAAACCCTAGCAGTGGCAAAACTTCACATGAAATTCAGCAAAAGACTTGGGAGAGTCAATACTTGGTAAAACCCATGGAGAAAATCGGATTAACTGCAACCCTAGAGAATAATATGTTCTGATTTTGAAAACTTGCTGGTGATTGGAAAATAAAACCTTAAAACTCATTTTTAAAATGATGCTTATTTAGGCGGGCGCTGCGGCTCACTGGGCTAATCCTCCGCCTGCGGTGCCGGCACACCAGCTTCTAGTCCTGGTCGGGGCGCCAGTTCTGTCCCGGTTGCTCTTCTTACAGGCTAGCTCTCTGCTGTGGCCCGGGAGTGCAGTGGAGGATGGCCCAGGTCCTTGGGCCCTGTACCCGCATGGGAGACCAGGAGAAGCACCTGGCTCCTGGCTTTGGATCAGAGTGGCGCACCAGCCACAGCTGACATTGGGGAGTGAACCAACGGAAAAGGAAGACCTTTCTCTCTGTCTCTCTCACTGTCCACTCTGCCTGTCAAAATAAATAAATAAAAATAATAAAAAAAGATGCTTATTTTTATTTATGTGAAAGGCAGAGGGAGAGAGAGAGAGACAGAGAGAGAGAGAGCAAGCGCTTCTATCTACTGTTTCACTCCTCAAATAATCACAGGAGCCAGGGCCCTGGAACTCCATCCATGTCTCCATGTGTCTCCCAGAAATCCATGGGAAGGATTCAAGTACTTGAGCCATCAGCTGCAGTCTTCCAGGATGTGCAGTAGTAGGAAACTAGATGGGAAGCAGAGGAGCCAGGACTGTAACCAGCTACTGTGATAGGGATGCAGGAGACCCAGGAGTCTCTGAACCACTGCCAAGTGCCTGCCCCTGTTTATGAATGGATAGTTTACTGCTTCAGACAGTTGTCCACTCATTTGAAAAGCCCATTAATCTACATAACAAGTCAAAGAAGGCAGTTAAAGACCTCGGAGATTGTAGAGAAGGGACCGTTTGATGAGGAATAGGATCATTATACAGTCTCAGAGTATGTCTACACAAACTCTGAAGTACAAAATGGAAAATCCGTGTAGGAGATGAGTTGGACTATACTTTAACCAAGGGTTCAAAGTTAACATTTCCAGCATAGTTCAGACATGGCACGCCTTCAACTGTGATACCCTGAGGAGAATGCAACAGCGCTCAGGTGGTGTACCTGCCCCAACTACAAAACCTGAAATCAAAAACTAATTAAAAATTTTTTTAAAATTTTACTTAAAAATTTTTTAAAAACCCAAAAAACAAAACCTGAAACCAAAGATGAAACACCACATGAATCCAAAAATGAGGGACATGCTAAGAATAAATAGCCCCTATTCTTTTTTAAAAATTGAATGTTTTGGTAGACATGAAAAGGTCAAAGGGGACTAAAAATGCAAGATGGCCGCCAACTACAGTGCAGGCTCCTGCACTGGAGCCAGGCCGGGAAAAACACACGGCTATGAGGAGTACTTGGAAACAACTGCCAGAGCTGGAGTATCGACTGTGGTCCAGATGCAAGTGTTCTATCCGTATCAGATAATACATTTCCTGAGTTTGAGAAGTAGGCTGGTGTTACTTAGAAATAGCCTTCTGTTTGCAAACTGGAATTTTAAGGGACAAGAGGGGCATGACCTATGCCACCTACTCTCAAATGGTTCAGAAACACAGGTGTACTCAAATATGGATAAGACGTAGAAGGGAAGAGAGAGACTGAGAGAGACAGCTAAGCAAATGCAGCAAAATGTTCCATATTGCTGACCTACAGAAGGTTGCATGGAAGGTCTTGGTACCATGCTTGCAACTTGTCTGTTAACTTGAAATTCTATTTACATGGTATTTACATTGTATTAGGTGTTATAAGCAATGTGGGAGATGATTTAAAGTATACAGGAGGTGTGTGTGGACTGTATGCAATTTTTTTTTTTTTTTTGACAGGCAGAGTGGACAGTGAGAGAGAGAGAGAGAAAGGTCTTCTTTTTTGCCGTTGGTTCACCCTCCAATGGCCACTGCGGCCGGTGCATCGCGCTGATCCGAAGCCAGGAACCAGGTGCTTCTCCTGGTCTCCCATGCGGGTGCAGGGCCCAAGGACTGGGCCATCCTCCACTGCACTCCTTGGCCACAGCAGAGAGCTGGACTGGAAGAGGGGCAACCGGGACAGAATCCAGTGCCCCGACCGGGACTAGAACCCGGTGTGCCAGCGCCGCAAGGTGGAGGATTAGCCTATTGAGCCGCGGCGCCAGCCAAATATTTTTTTATGATGGACTTGAGCATCCTCTTTTTAATCAATAGAAAGCTCATCTAAATTGCTGCAATGACATTCTTCAGAAATTGATTTTAAACAATCTGATTCAACTTAAGAGAAATGAAATCAGCATGTGTTGAGCACTTAGTGTTAAGGGCATTCACATACAGCCTTTTATTACATCCCCAGAGAAACCCTGCAAGGTACTAATTCATTTTTTAAAAAATTTTTTGTCTCAACCATCTTTGAATTCTGAGCACCTGTTGTCACTGCTGTTGGAACACAGGCCGAAAGAAAGAAAAGTTAAGGCACAAAATAATCACAAATTGTGATAAGTGCTCTGAAGAAAACGGTGTAGCAAGAACACATGGAGGGAGCTCACTGTTCCCAGAGCAGTGAGACTGGACATGCTGAGGACACTGTCTTCCCGTGTTGGGTCAGATTCCCCTGACTCTTAACGGCCATGCTTTCCAACTGGGTTTTCCCTGTGAAGCAGCAAGGAACACAGACAGTGTTGCTGTGACAGTCCTTCCACAGTGGAAACCAGTAGTACGAAGCCTTCACTGTAAATGGTGCCAGTTCTTTGAATCATTATTTCCTACACACAAGGTGTCTCATCCACTTAGAAGATCTTAGAACATCTCAGCCACTTAGAAGATACCGGATACCTTCTCTCTCCCACCTTGAGTTTCCTCAGTTACAGAGTGGGAAGAATAATCCACATTTTGCAGGACTATTACAGGAACGAGAAATAGTATACATTGATTCAAAAAGTTCATAGAAACATGTATCATGAAAAAAATAACACATAGATTTCAGTGTTTTTTTGCAGCAAAATAAACATAAATTCTATTTTCCATAAACTTTTGGAACCACCCTCTCACTACGATGTCCTCTTCTTGAAAATACAAACATGGTGCTGTTATGTTCTCCTCAAGCGTCATATTTATGCTCTGATGAGAGATACCTTCCGCTAGTGCACTCTAAATTAAGGATCAGCACTGTGGCATAAAGCATATATTAAAAAAAAATCAAAGCTTTGTTCAAGATCACTTAGAAGAAAATAGATGCCTGGGTGTGTGAGATGCTGGATTGAGCTGAGGTTGAGTCTGAGCATGAGAAAACAAATATTCTGAATGCTGCCTATAAAGTTCTGTTTTAATAAAATGTGTTGGATACATTAAAATAATTTTTTTTTCTCGAAAGACAGGAGAGGGAGAGTGAGCTCCCTTCCTTTGGGTCACTGCCCTTATGCCTGCAACTCAATCCATGCCTCCCACATTTGTGGCAGGGACCCAAAACCCTGAGCCACCACTGTTGCCTTCCAGGGTGTGCATTAGGGAGCCAACTGGAGTCAGGAGTTGGAGCCAAGAGTCAACGCCAGATACTCTGATATCTGGTCTACAAGTGTCTTCACTTGCATCTCAATCATTAGCCAAACGCCCACCTCTGGATAAGTTTTGAACTTGAGATCTGAGCTTTGAATACATGTGGGACTCTCTCTCTTGCTTAGTACCTGTGGGAGGCTGAGCTGTTGTCGCTGTGGTGACGGTCCCCAGGCTCGTCCACCGAGAGGCAAGTCCAGCCCTCGCCACGGCCCGCTGATAGTTGTCATAGAGCGTCTTGCCATACTAGGGAGCAGACACAGGGAAGAAAGAAAGGAAATCACTCATGCCAGATCCTGCACTCAATTGCAACATACACATTGAGAAAACAACAACAACAACTTCATGACTGTTCTTTTCAACCTTTGCCCATTATGGAGTATATTTCAATAAATATGTTTTCGTATGTTCAACAATTCTCCATATTAGCAGAACCAATCAATACTTCCACCTGCACATTAGAGGCGAGACTAAGCCCCATAATTCTTCATGTAACTCTACCCTAGATTCCATCCTGTTTCTCAGCTGCACACCGAGCCTAACCTCTTCAGGGGTAAACTGAAGTCTTGAGCGGAAGTCAACCCTTGGGGTTCACATCAGAGGAGGGGTCTCCGTCTCCGTCTGCATCCCACCCACCTATGTGGGTGATCCAGTGGGCAAATAAGTGAGATTATGTCTGAGGCTTTACCCAAGATGGGTCAAGTGGCTCACGGTAGCACAGAATCTCAGCCCAGGTCAGGAAGGTGATTGGCAGATTCCAGGGAAATCCACATGTGGGCTCACCTTGGCAATCCGTATGCCCATGACCCACTGGTTGAGAGCTCTTGCGTCATCACAGCAGAGGTACTTGATGTACTGAGACTCCTTCTGAATCTGAGGATGCTGGGAAGAAGCAGTTTTAAAGCCAGTTTATAAAATCTTCATTTCCTAGGAACTCAAAGCATCACTCAAAATAGCTTTCAAAAGACTTAACATATATGACTTACTGAGGTAGGGGCAAAAATGGTAGCAATTTTACAATTAGGAAGAGGGGTACTGGGTACTTCTAAAAATGACTAAATCTTGAAAGAATTTAAAAAATCTCATATACTTGAGCATAAGCACATCTTACTAAATTATCAGTAATTATTTTCACTTCTGCATTTTTAACATTTGCAAGTCTTCACAAATCTATCATATTTCTATCTCTCCCAAATCTGAGTTGTTTCTGTGTCAGACAAGGGAACTTACCATTTTAAGTCTTTTATTTTTTTTTTTTTAAGGTGGACACAACTTATACTTGGTCTTTGTGGGATATTTGGTCTTTTAAACAATATTTTCATTTTATTTGAAAGAGAGTTCTCCCATCTGCTCGTTCACTCCTCAAATGCCCACAACAGTCAGGGTTCCCTTGGTCAGGCCAAAGCTAGGAGCCAGGAGCTCCATCAGTGTCTCCCATGTGGGTGGCCAGGACCTGCTGCCTCCCAAGGTGTGTGTTAACAGGAGTCTGGCCTGGAAGGGAGGAGCTGAGACTCTGATTTGGGATGCAAGTGGCGACTTAACTACTGCATCAAACACTCAAAGGGCACTAAGTCTTCACATCAGTGGCACTCTGGCAGGCAGCTGGGGACTAGAGACCTTGCCACTCCTGCCAGCGGCCTGGCCTGTGCTATGATGGCTTTGCCCAGGAAGGATAACCAGGCACAGACTCAGCGCTTGGTGAAGAGTTTAATACAGATTGTATATATTTTACAAAGAAGAAATTGAGGCTCAGAGAAGTTGCTATTACCCTGTAAACTCTTGGGGGAGGGATCTCTTGAATTATCACTCAGAATTTCCATATTCATATTAAGCTATGAAGCCCAAATTCCAGACTTTAACAATACTACAAGAGAATTCACAAATTAAAATACAATTCTTCCTTTTGGCCTTTTGAGCCGATTGAGGGACTCTGTCTGTTTTAAATGTACACTGCTTTCTTTCTTTAGATCTGGCGGCCCTCAGGATCTGCCTCCATCAGGTTTGGAGAAGGAGCATCGCCTGCTTGCTCAGGCTTCCGGCACTCTGCCTCTCACCTGGGCGCAGCAACTCCCCAGAATGCCAGAATGTTGCTGTAACTTTCCAGTCTGGCCAGCAGGTGGAAGCAGAGACACTTTCGAATGACTGCTGCACATTCCATTGTTACCGTCATTCAGTGCTTACTCCTTCATTCTGAATGTTGGATTTTATTTTCACAAATGTCAATAATCTGAACGTAGATTTTCTTTTTCCAAAATGTTACCTTTGGAGGCCCTTACCATTGCAAGTCTCCATGGATTCAGGTAGTTTGTTATGTTAATTAGCCTGAAAGTCATAGTGATGTAAAATACTAAGTTGAGCTCTTATTAGATGGAATAAAACAGTTTACCAGGGCCTGTAGCACTCCCATAGAGGGTAAAGTTCACAAGGCCAATCCAACACCCTGGTCTTTTTTGCACCAAAAACCCAGCTCCCTAAACTACAGCTTCATTCTTTTCCACATTGCCATGTAAAGGGGGTAAGCTGGCTTCTTCTTTTTAAAAAAATATTTATTTATATATTTATTTGAAGGCCATAGTGACAGAGAGAGAGATCTTCCAAATGCCCACAACGGCCAGGTCTGGGCCAGGCTGAAGCCAGAAACCAGGGGCCAGGAACTCCATCCGGGTCTCCCACGTGGGTGACAGGGGCCCAAGTACTTGGGCCATCTCCCACTACTTTCCCAGGTGCATTAGCAGGAAACTGAATGGGAAGTGGAGCAGCCAGGACTTGAACCTGCATTCCTTTTTTTTTTTTTTTTTTTTTGACAGCTAGAGTTAGACAATGAGAAGGAAAGACAGAAAAAGGTCTTCCTTCATTGATTCACCCCTCAAATGGTCGCTATGGCCGGAGCTACGCCGATCCGAAGCCAGGAGCCAGGCACTTCCCCCTGGTCTCCCATGAGGGTGCAGGGCCCAAGCACTTGGGCCATCCTCCACTGCATTCCTGGGCCACAGCAGAGAGCTGGACTGGAAGAGGGGCAACCGGGACAGAATCCGGCGCCCCGACCGGGACTAGAACCCGGGGTGCCAGTGCCGCAGGCGGAGGATTAGCCTAGTGAGCCGCGGCACCAGCCAATAAAATGGCTTTTGAACATGGAACAGAGGCAAGAATGCTTGAACTTGAGTTCTCACAGTGGCTCCTCCCATGCTGACCTTGTCTTGTCCTTTCCATCAGTGGGGCTAATCTCCCCAGATTCCTTCCAGTACACATGTGCTGTGGACAGAGACAGGGGACTCTGACGTGAGGTGACCTCCAGGGTCTCAGCTAAGCCTCCCGACAGGCTCCAGGATCCTTTCTGGCCCCGTTGTTAATGAACGAGTGAGTGTGCTTCTTCCCAATCACGTCTTGGGACCTCACCTGGGGGCTGACTGTGGGGAGCAACCCGGACTAGACTGAGTTACTGGAATTAAGACTTATTCTATGCATCTGCTCTCCCACAATATGGCGCTGGGAGAGAAGAAAACAGCTTCTACACAGGTGCCTCCAGTTCAGCCAATAAACTGTAGGACTCGCTCCTGATTGGAGGAGAGCAGCGTACTCGGCGTGTGGGCAGCCGAGTTGGGATTGGCGGAGGAGGACTATAAAGGAGGAGAGAGACGGCATGCACCGGGAACATCTAAGGGGAACATCTAGCTGAAGGAACACCTGTGCAGCCCCCGAGAAGAGCCTGCCGGCGGTATGCCGCTCCCCTGCGGAAGTGGGGAATGTGGCCAGGGGGAACTGCCCTTCCACGGAGGTGGAAGGGATAGTAGCCAACCCGGGAAGAACCAGCAGCAAACCCGGGGAGGGCCGAGCAGACGAAAGAACAGCGCAGGGTCCTGTGTTGCTCCTCCACGAAGAGGGGGAGCGACAGCTGACTCCCTAACTGAGCCTTGTACTGAAAAATTATTTGCCAAGGGGCTTAAGGAAAATGCTGGCTGCGTGCCACAGGCCAGATTCTTGTGCAATGATTTAATTGCCCTTGGCCTTACAAAGAAAGGAGCCATCTTGGAAATGCACACACAGAAGCCAGGGCAGCTGCAGAAGTTAGAGACCCTCTAAACCACAAAATGAGGAAACAGAGAGGTTGAACCATCTGTGCAAGGCCGAAGGGTGGTGGTAGAACAGTAATGAGAACAAACAGTTCTGGGCACCAAGAAAGAGACGTGGTGGGTCTTCCAAAAGTCCATGGGGAATGTGTACTATGAAAAAAACTGCAAAGGTTTCCAAATGTTTTTGCATCAAAGTAAACATATCTTGTTGATCCATTTTTTTCCCTGAAACTTTTTGAACCATCCTTGCAGATACAAAAAGGAATATGTGATTACTCTGTGCCATGGCACTTTTTCTAATAGCGTTCTTTAGGAGAAGGCACTGGGCCTCTGTGTGGCTGAGGCCTGGGAACCGCAGAGGGAAGTGGCAGGGAGAGCTGCGAAGGCACAGGAGGGAAGGGTCAGGGTCAGCCTGGGATCAGACTGGCACCTGCAGGCCGTGGGGGCCCTCAGACATTTTCAAAACCTAATTTATGGCCGGCGCTGTGGCTCAATAGGCTAATCCTCCGCCTTGCGGCGCCGGCACACCAGGTTCTAGTCCCGGTTGGGGCACCGGATTCTGTCCCGGTTGCCCCTCTTCCAGGCCAGCTCTCTGCTGTGGCCAGGGAGTGCAGTGGAGGATGGCCCAAGTGCTTGGGCCCTGCACCCCATGGGAGCCAGGAAGCACCTGGCTCTTGGCTTCAGATCAGCGCGATGAGCCAGCTGCGGCGGCCACTGGAGGGTGAACCAACGGCAAAAAGGAAGACCTTTGTCTCTCTCTCTCTACTGTCCACTCTGCCTGTCAAAAAAAAAAAAAATCTTTAAAAAAAAAACCTAATTTATTTTGAAAGGCAGAGAGAGAGAGAGAGAGAGAGAGACACTCTCATCATTGGTCTACTCAAATACCCACACACTCAGGGCTGTACATTCTTCAAAAGGAGAAAGCCAGTAAGAATACAGAACACTAAACAGTTTACATAAAACAATTTAATAAAAATTCCCACTCTTCTGGGAAGGAACTGAGGAGTGTGCTTAACACTGTGACTGTGCATGGAGGAGCTGCTTGGGAACAAAAAGGCTCCTCTTCCTGGGCAGAAGGGAGCGCACACTCTGCCAGGCTTGCTCGTGACTCTTGCTCCCAGACCTACCAGGCCCTGCTGGCTCCTCCACCTCTGAGCCTTCTCTGCCCTCTGCAGGCCCCTGGGTCTCTGCAGCACACCCAGGCCTTGCACAGCAGAGCTTTTCAAAGTCTGAGTTCAGTGCCTTGAGACCCAGCATTGCTACTCCTGGTGCAGCCCGGGGTAGCCTCTCGTCCCAGATCAGAGAATTCAGCTCCTGCCATGGTACTAGGACCTGCTCCCAAATTCTGAGTCAGCTTGAGAAGCTGAGTCCTGACCTGTTTTCTGTGTCCGAATCCCCATCCTGGGTGGATACTTAATATGGCAATTAGGATGCTGCTTGGGACACCCATATACCATATCAGAGGTCCTCGTTCAAATCCTGGCTGCTCTGCTTCCAATCCAGCTTCCTGCCAGTGCACACCCTGGGAGGCAGCAGGTGGTGGCTCAAGTACTTGGGTGGGTGACCCGCATTGAATCCTGGGCTCCTGGCTTCAGCCTGGCCTAGCCCTGGCTATTGCAAGCATTTGAGGAATAAACCAGTGGTTGAAAGATCTTTCTCTGTGTCTCTGACTCTGTCTCTTGCTGCCTTTCAAGTAAATAAATTTAAGAAAAGACCAAACGTCTGAAAAATTTTAGGCAGAGATAACAGTCATTGAGGGATGCCATTTGAAGTGAAAGCAATGCTTCCCTTTTTTTTGTTGTTGTTGATAGAAAAAAACGTTATGATGTTACACTTGTGGTTAACTATGCAACATCCAACACTTTATTCCTTAAAAGAACACGGGAACTCAAATGGTTTCCAAATGCAAATTAGGGACCCCTTCTGCCCTACCTTTAAAACGAAGCAGTGGTCCGTGGGCGCTTTATATTTCGCTCTACACTGAGTACCATAGTAAATGTTGACATTCTCAAACTGTATGAAACAGGCCAGGTCCCGAGACGTCTGCAAGACAGGGAAAAAGATAACCCGAGCTGGCACTCAATCATTTGCCAAGGCTGCGCTGGATGGCACGACACAGGAGTACATTTTAAAATAGAGCAATGACTGAACAAAAATTGATGTGAACACTGACTCTCAATGGTTTTCTCAAAGCCAGGCCTGTCCAAGAAATGAAAGCATGCAAGGAAAGAAAGATGCGTGCCTTGGGCCCAGGCATGGTGTGCAAGATGGGTGTGCATAGACTCTCACATTCCAGGACAGCCTGCCCTTGAGACGTCATTGTCATTCCTGATACAGCCAAGACCAGGTGACCACCCAGGCAGAAATTTCATTTTTGGCTTTCGCCATTCTAAATCAGGGATGGCTTTTGTGATTGAGCATTTAAAAAAAAGAAAAAGAAAAAGAATCCCTCAGGATGAACAATGAGAGGCGAATTGGCCGATGAGTAAATCAGCACCCGTGTCATGTTCTTCCCGGGAAGGATGTCTTTCCTGCTGTCAGCGTCGCCATGGAAACAGAGATGGCTCTTTCATGGGTCACACGCTCCGTGCAGACTGCAGGCTCTGCTCCAGGCTCACGTTGGCTCCACTGCTATTTTTCCTCCTTTGTTATCACACAGGGTTCTGTGCCTTCTGAGCAGATACTCTGGGAGGGGTCGTCCGAGCTGGAGCCGCCACTTGGAAGGACATTCCCGTTACATCTGCATGACTCCCGGTCCTTGGTCCTTGTCCCCTGCAGCTTCCTCTCCAGTGCTCATGTCCACGAGCGTGGCCTCTCTGCTCACTCCCTCCGGCCCGAGTCTGGACATGACCAGTGTTGCTTATTGCCTCAGTCTCTGGGGGAGACACCTCTCACTGCTTGTAAGAGAGAGCACCTTTCGTGATAGTCTGTGGCTCTCGGTGTTTCTTTTTCTGTGGATTCTCAATGCATAAGCTGAATCTGTCTTCCAGGAGTGTGTCTATGGTTTTCTTCCTGACTGTGGATGTCATGCCTGGTTATCCACGCTGCAGCTGCCCTCTCTGGCTCTCTGCCTAGGCTTTCCCTTATCGTGTGGTGGTTTGGGCCAAAAAGAATTGGAAACAACTTGACACCATCCAATCGGCCAGTTTTCCCCTTGCCATTCTGAGAATCTGCTTTTGCTCAAGATGGCTTTACCCATCCCAGTTATGAAAAGAATAACCCATATTTTCTTTTATAATTGTATACTCTTTTTTTCCCCCTAAAGACATTTTAATCAACCTGGAAGTTAGTTCGGTACAATGAACGGGGTAGAAAACCATTTTCTCCAAGTGTATGTACAGTCATTTTAGTGCTGTGTGTTGCCTGCCGCTTTCCCCATCACCATAAAATGCCAACTGTAGCTTCCCTTCCATTACGTGGCTGTGTGCTGGTCTGTCTGTCTCTACCTGTACTGTTTTTATTTACAGGTTTGACTTCTGGGAGGCAGAGGTCTATTTCAATGGTCTTCACAATTTTTTGGAAGGAGGGACTGTCTTCTTTGGTGCATTGTCTCTTTCTGGTGAATGTTAGAATTAGTCTGTGAGCCTCAAGTAAAAAAAATCCTGTTGAAATTTCAATAGGGGTTGCATGGAACTTACAGAAAAATTTGGGGAGAATTAATATCTTTTCATCCAGCCATGTGATACATTTCCATCTATCCAGTTCTGCTTCATTTTCTTTATTAAATTATAATAATGTAATAAATTATAATAAATATAGTAACAATCTTATATATCCTGTGGTGTATGGGTCTTGAACATTTCTTAAGTTTATTGCTAGACATTTTGCATTTTTTTGTTTCTACCATGCATGGATTCTTTTGCATTGTATTTCAGTTTGTTTTGTTTGGGTAAAGGAGAATACTTATTATATATTTTTTTTGGTCTTCTTAGTTTTCTTCTCTTGTCTTGTCTTATATTGTAAGGTAGACATTTATATGAACTGTGAATTTGAGCGTTTTTACCTCTTCTTCACTAATACTTACACTTCTGATTCTTTTCTTCGATTTATTGGTTAGCTCCTCCTTCCTAATGTTAATGGTAGCAGTGGGAGAAAGCATTCTTATCTAATTCTATTGTGAACACTTCTAATTTTTAGTCAGTGTGCTCCTTGCCATAGGTTTATGTCTAGATCCGCACTGAAATTCTAAAGACATAAGATTTCGAAAGCAAAATGAATTATCTGTCGATCAACTGTTAGGTCCCTGGTGTGGGCCTGGAAGACGGCACAGATGGGAACACATCAGTTCTAGACTGAGACCCGGCTAAGATGCTGGTGCCCCAGGAGGAGCAGAGCTGGGGCTGCCGGGGGCCACGCGTTGCTCATGGAGCGCTGTGCCTTCCCACAGGGACACCGGACCTGGCCGGCCACCGTGACGTCAGCTGTCTGGGAAGGCAGGTTAGGCCATTTCAGAGGCAGCCTGCAATCCATCAATATGCCATTTGGTGGTGCCCTGGATTCAGAAGTGAAGGAAAAATGCTTTGGTCCACCCCAGATCCAGACACGAGATCCGACTCTATCCCCCAGCTTTTCGCAGGAGGACCACAGACGGAAGTGCCCTAACCCTTTAAGCAGGGTCTTAGAGGGCGTCAGCGGTGAGAATGAGAACTCAAATGACTTCTTAGAGAAGAACAACTCATTCTATGTGTGTCGATTTGAGGCCGTCATCTCAAATCACCAAGTTAAAGTGAAATGGTGTCTAAAATACTTTGCTAAATGAGACGGGGAAATGCTTGGTGTACCTCAGAGAGCAATTTAAATGCTGCGAGCGTAAGGGCTAGAAATCTCAACCAAGATCTTCTCAAGACTTCTAACACTTCCGTGAGCCAGGTCTAAGAAGCAGTACTGAGGTGAGCGCGGCACAAGAGACTGAGGAGTTTTGGGGGATAAAATTCTTTAACCTTCACGAGAGAGCAATGGACAGAGCCCAAAGGACTGCAGCAGTTCTGTCCCATAGGACATGTCCTTGTGTAAATGTTACAGCACCACAGATCTCACAGCCACAGAGAGGCCAGGGAAATGTGCCCCTAAATGACTGGTAGCCACAGTGCTTTTCTGGTTTTGTGTGTGTGAATTCTGACCTTCGTCTTTCCCTTTGGGACATAGTAAATTCCAGAAGCCCGTAAGAGGAAATAGCGCCGTTTCCAGGATTTCTTTCCGTCTTCTTTCAGATACAGAGCTCCTTCAAGTTCAGGTACAATGATGGACGTGCCACAGAAGCTTTCCTGAAATTGACATGCCGTTGAGGTTAAACACAGGGAAAGGAAAGCTGGCACAACACACACTCTTGTCCACACTCCCATAAACTTACAAATTAGCCTTTAGACAGAAAGTCAGTTTTGCCTGCAACTCTCATGGGATGCACATGTTTGTACTCTATGGCATTTGTCAGAGAGGAGGAAGAGTAACACGGGAGTGCAGGGCCATGCTCTGTGGGGAGGGTGTTTGGCCTGGAGGTTGAGACAGCCACATCCCATCCTGGAGTGTCTGGTTTGAGACACTATAGGGGCCTGGTCTGAGTTCCGGGTTTTTAGCTTCAACCAGACCCAGTCCAGCTCTGGCTGTTGTGGGCAGCTGGGGAGTGAACCAGTGAATAGGAGCTCTCGGTCTCTCAGCTTCTCAAAAAACACAAATCAATAAAAATAATAGAGTTCTGGCTCCTGGGTTAGCTCCCCGCGTTCTTGACCATTGAGCTCTAGGCCCATGGGCCGTGACCCAGCAGTCTCCTTACTTGTGAAAGCAGAGAGATGAGAAACAACCCATTTTCACCAGGTACATTGTGAGTGTATATAAACATGGTTTATAAAAGCAATCACTTAGAAATGGGCACTGCTGTTATTACAAATAGGAAATGAGAAAAATGATTATTCTTCCTAAGTAAAATGACCACTGTAGTTGACCCTCGGTATCCATGGGGAGCAGTTTCTGGATCTCACGTGGTTACCAACGTCCTTGGCTATTTAAGTCCCTGCTATGAAGTGGCATGGTATTTTCACAGAACCCATACTGCTCCCCATATACTTTAACTCCTCTCTAGATCACTCACAATACCTAATACAATGTAAATGCCATATAAACACTCTTTGTGGGGACCAGCTTTGTGGTAAAGTGGGTACAAGCTGATGCCTGTGACACCAACAAGCTGTATAGACACCAGTTCAGGACCTGGCTGCTCCACTGCTGCTGATCTAACTCCTTTTTTTTTTTTTTAATATTTGTTTATTTATTTGAAAGACAGAGTTACAGAGAGAGGTAGAGAGAGAGAGGTCTTCCACCCGCTGGTTCACTCCCCAGATGGCCGCAACGGCCGGAGCCACGCCAATCCAAAGCCAGGAGCCAGGAGCCTCCTCTGGGTCTCCCATGCGGGTACAGGGGCCCAAGGACTTGCGCCATCATCTACTGCTTTCCCAGGTCATAGCAGAGAGCTGGATTGGAAGAGGAGCAGCCAGGACTCGAACCAGTGCCCATATAGGATGCTGTCCTTGCAGGCAGGAGCTTTGCCTGCTATGACACGATGCTGACCCCAAAAACAATTTTTAAAAAATTAAAAAAGGAGGCTGGCGCCGCGGCTCACTAGGCTAATCCTCTGCCTGCAGCGCCGGCACCTGGGGTTCTAGTCCCGATCAGGGCGCCCAATTCTGTCCTGGTTGCTCCTCTTCCAGGCCAGCTCTCTGCTGTGGCCCAGGAGTGCAGTGGAGGATAGCCCAAGTGCTTGGACCCTGCACCCGCATGAGAGACCAGGAGGAAGCACCTGGCTCCTGCCTTCGGATCCGCACGGTGTGCCGGCCGCAGCGCGCCAGCCGCGGCGGCCATTGGGGAGTGAACCAACGGAAAAAAGGAAGACCTTTCTCTCTGTCTTTCTCTCTCACTGTCCACTCTGCCTGTCAAAAAAAATAAAATAAATAAAAAAATAAAAAAGGAATTCTTAATCCAATTTTGTGAAAAGCAAAATATGTTGTCGGAAGTCATATTTTTTACAACTGGTAAAACAGTCAAATAATGTAAATAGCTATAATTTAGTGATAATTCGATTTTGGAACCTCGAGTTGACATTTTAGTGCACGATCCTGAATTTCCTATTGCTCTGCAAAGCAAATAATCTAAAAACAGACACAGCAAACATCCTAGTGTGCTCACTCTGCAAGCCAAGCTCACCTCGAGTAAGGACTCCTTGTTCTTGGCATTCATTTTCTCATTGCTCTCCTTGCCTGCATTTTTCCCTTTGTTATTCAGGTAGAAATTCTAAAAAAAAAAGTTAAAGATCAGATCAGGACATGTTCATTATCACGCTAGACACCTCAAGGGACTCGTGATCTTGTAGGAGAGAGGGACCCACAGGACACAGGACACAGGGGTGGGTACGGCATCGGTCACCCGACAGGGCCTTGCAAACGCATCACCAGGGCAGGAGTTACACGTCTCCTTCCTCCCACAATGCACAGCCCGTGAGGAAACAGACAACACTGGCAGCCTGAACTGCTGGATTCCCTGGAGTAGAGCATCTGGGTCCGATGCTAGAATCTGGGAGACACTCACGGGCTGGAAGGGGCTATGAGCGGAGTGCAGATGGCGCCAGCACCCACATCCGGGACAGCCGGAGCCCCTGTGGACGGGAGACTCTGGCTCTTAAAGGGAAACCTGAAACCTGGATTTTTGTCAACAATGCCGCTGTGATGGACACTGCATGGGTCCATCACAACACAAGCTCTGATACTTGGCAACTTCTAAGACCACACAGGAGTGAATGACATTGCTGGAAAGGGAGCCAGCCTCAAGGAAGGGGAGCGAAAAGACAGCTGGAAAACCTTCCTGACTGAGCCACAGGGTCAAAGCACAGTTTGTAGTCATCAGGTATCAGACAGGTATCATACCTGTTACATGGCATTGATGAGACGGCTGAAAGCTAACTATGTGAGCGTCTAAAAGACCAGCGGCACCCAAGCACTAATTCTTACATTCTTACACCACCAGGACAGCTGAGGTGCCCGCAGAGGCAGAACGTGTGTCACAGACAACAACTGTCCCCGGGAAAATTGAGGATTTCACGTGCAAATGCAGCGTTCTAGAAAACCAAGAATATGTTAAAAGTGGAGAATGGGCCTCAGGAGCACCGTGGCCAGGGACCCTCCGGAATCCAGACACAATTGTCTTTCACAGTGTAGGACTGTTTCTCCGAGTGTGCGCTCCGCAATGTCCTGATGTTCTATAAAATGTGTGTTTCTGGAATCCTAACCTACGGAACCAGAATCTCTGGGGAGAGGCCTGGAAATGTGCCTTCCAATAGATTTCCTGAATGATTTTTTTTTATGCACATTGAACTCCGATATACAAATATCCTGGACAGAAAGTTAGCAAACAAACTGTAGGTAAATAATGTGTACAGAATTAGGGTATGTTATAGAAATGGAATGCATAAAAATGGTGATTTGCTAACTTAAATAGAGAAATGGGAGTGGGTGTTGTGGCATAGTGGGTTTAGCCCATATCCCCTATCAGAGTGCTGGTTCTAGTCTTGGCTATTCTGCTAATGTGCCTGGGAAGACAGCAGAAGATGACCTGAGTCTCTGAGTCTCTGCCACCTATGTGGGAGACCTGGATGAAACTCCTGGCTCTGGGCTTCAGCCTGGCCCAGCCTTGGCCCTTGTGGCCATTTGGGGAGTGAACAGTGGATGGAAGACCTCTCTCTCTCTCTGTCTCTGCCTCTCTGTAACTCTGCCTTTCAAATAAATAAATATTTAAAAATATAATTAATTAGTGGACAAATAATAATTATGTGTATTTATGGGGTACAATGTGATGTTTGATCTATGTGTATATTACAGAAAGTTCAACAAAGCTAATCAACACAGGCATCAGCTCACCAATTTATCTTTTTGGGGGATGAGTATGTTAAGAATCTGATTTAGAAATTTTGAAATATATGAGACATTATTATTAAGTGGGGTCACCATGCAGCACACAGTAGGTCACTCAAACTTATTCCCAGTCTCACTGAAACTTGGAGCCTTATTTAACAGAGGTTTAGCTAACACAGGAGTCTTCACAAATGACAACCCAAAGACCCAGGCAAAACCGTATTGTTACGCTAAGTCTTGTCAAAGAAGTAGGTATGTGCGGGGACCCGGGATTGGACAGAAAAGGGTCTGATCTATCTAATGGGGACACACTGGTTGTGGGGCAGGGCTCAGCCAGGCCGGTTTGCTCAGAATCCTTCCCCAGGTATAGGGCGTGACGTCTGTTATAGGAAAATTTTTTGGGGAAGGGGGAGGGCCGGTGAGAGCCCTTATGAGATTTGCTGGCTTGCTTTGGGGAGAAGAATTCTAGTTTTAGTGACTTTGGGGAGAGAGAAGGTCAGAGACAACCTGTTGCTTCCAAGGCCCTCCTCATTGTCATTGCCAAGTACTTAGTATTCCGAGTTGCCACACTTTAGGGAGTTGCATTTTGAGCCCCGACATCCCTGCCCTCATCCTACTCTCTTGAGGGTCCCTGCTCCGATCCTCACCTAGCCACTCTGCTATTTGCAAGGTGACAGTGACAAGTCAGTTTGAACAAAGAGACATGCCTGCCTGGAGCCAAAGACCCCGTCCCCATCTCCCACCCCACCCCCACCTTCAGCCCACAGTCTGAAAACCCAGGGTCTTGGGGTTCCCTGCTTGAGACTGCCCTGTGCCACCCTCCTGAGCATGGAGGTATCACTGGTGTGGGCACCCCTGGCCAGAGGGGTGTCTAAGAGGTAGCCGTTCGCAGGGGACTGTGGGGTGTATGGAGCACTTTTGGGCTACAGTGTTCATCCACCGTGCATCAGCCAGGGTCCTGTGGTGCAGAAAGGATGCATACATGGAGGCTGTGGGTACCACACCACCACCTTCCTGCCCAGAACTGAAGAATCTAAGAACTCTGAATTCAAACCTCCAAGTCATTCTGAAGGCAGCTCTATGAAGGTGGGCTAGAACACATTTTATGTAGCTGCTTGTGAACTTGGCTTGTAAGTTTAAGTACACAACTAGATGGTATGTGAGCCTTCAGTTGGGCATGCGTGTTATGGGTGGCCGTGCCCAGAGGTGAGTCCTCTGTCCTCTGCAGGATTCCACGCTGCTGGAGCAAAGAGCAGCGACAACAAACAATAATAATTTAATGGTACCATTTTTACCCACAATGATTAAGAACACTGAATGGATGATGGCCCTTAATTCTCGCAACACATGTTTAGAATAAATTATCTCATTTTTTTCAGACAAGAAAGTAAAACTTGTTGAAACTGAATAATTTGTCCAAGGACCCACAGCTGGTAAGTGACAGAGCCAGGCCTCTGACCCTTGTCTGATTTTAGGGCCCTTACTCTCAGCCACTCTATGACGCTGCTTTCTGGCAAGAGTTTCTTTAAAAGGCAAATAATTTTGTCACTCTCTTAAGTCTGGCCTGAGGGTTTCTCTTCCACACAGTGGACGATAGCCTAACCTGATGTGTACACAGGGTGTAAGTTACTCTGGCAATAAGTACCTGAGTCTCAGCCAATCACAAATCATGTTCCAATAAGACCGACACCAGCTGCAACCAATCACAACCGTTTTCTGTCTGCCACACTTGTCCTTTTCTCTGGCTATAAATAAAATCTGCCCACGTCCATGTTGTGGCAGGACAAGGGCAGGGATCCTGAAAACCTGTGTTCCAGTGAACTGTGAAACCGTGCGGGAGACCTCTCCAAGGATATGCAGGCCTCGATTTCCACATTCTCAACCTCCAGCTCTGCCTTTCACAGTCAGCCTTCCGGGCTGGAGAAGGCAAAGCCCCTCACAGCAAGGCAGAGCCATACTGCCCCGTTGGACAGCTCAGAGGCCCTCAACCGACGGTGGAAACACTGGTGCCCAGAAACCGGAAGGTTCAAGGCCAACCATTTTGGAAGTCTAGAGTAACGCTTTGCTTTCAACACAATGGAAAATACCGAATGATCTTGACAGCGGCCGGAAAGCACCATCTCTGGGCCTTCTGTAACTTTTAATTCGGAACCTGGAAGGTGTTATAGACCTGCATGGCGTTCCACTTACTGATGTGAACAAGGGTTTTCTTGACATTTTTGTCTCTGCAGAGTACTTAACACAAAAATGAAATATAGGAGTAGAATTGATGGGGAGTATCCATCTTTTGTTCCTGCAATTGATCAGATGTAAATAAGCCTCCGTGTACTTATGTGAAGTGATGGTATGGTCCCCACTGCTGTCCTAGGGAGGCCTGGCCATTCTTCCAATCTCCTGGAAATACCTATGAATCCTTCAATGACCATTCAGAAAAAAAAAAAAATCACAATTAGAGCCATATTTGTTCTTGTGACCAAAGATCCACAGTGACAGTGTCTGGCTCAAAGGTAGCAGTCTGTGGGCTCAGATGTCAGAGGTGGTTGTGCAGAACCACTGAGGGTCTTGGACCCTCACCAAGGCTCAAGAGTCAGACTCTGATGTGGCTTCTGCCTCCTGGGAGTGAAGCTAAAACAGTGACTGACACAAAAAGCTGATAACCAGGGGAGTGCAGGTATTTCTTCTATAGACTGATTTCATTTCTGGTGGGTAAGTGGCCAGTAGTGGGGTTGCTGTATCATATGGTGTTTCTAATTTTAGTTTTTTGAGAAACTTCTACGCTGTTTTCCATATTGTACTAACTTACATTCCCACCAACAGTGTGCAAGGGTTCCCTCTTCTCCACCTCCTTGTCAGCAGATATCTTTTGTCTTTTTGATAATAGCTCATCAAAGAGATGTTAAATGTTGAAGGAGACAGACATGTTTACTCTGGCCGGTTATTGTACAATGCATACAAAGATCAAAAAGTCACCTGGCACCCATAAATATGTGTAATTTTTATGTGTCTGTTAAGACAAGCTGATAAATTGCTTTAAGATGACCAGCAGAAGGCTTCATTAGTTGATACTTTATTTTTCCTTATTTTAAAATGGCGTGATCTGTTTCTACCTCCCAAAGCACAGACGAGTCATCCTACTAGAATTCCTTCTTAATTATGCAACTTCTGGGCCACAAATTTGCAGAACTTGGTTTTGTGCCATAAATTTATTACAGATGATCCATTTTAGGTGACTGTATTATAGATGACTGCTGAATTTCAGCTGAGATCCAGCTCCTCACATTTAGACAAAACTTCACAATGTATCAAGCGGTTTTCACGTTGGATATGATCCTTTGAGATAGGAAGTGCAGTGGCATCACAATTCAACAAAAGGAGAAGCTGAATTTC